TTGTTTTTATTTGTTGTATTTTAGCATAAAAATAGCGCCGTCACAATAACATTCTATCGACATGAAAACGGTTGGCTTTGGATGAATCATACCCCGAATAGCTAATAAAGTTGTATCTTCATTTCAGTCTTCGCCGGCTCTGAAGTACCTCTTGGAGAAGGATGTGCAGCTTTCGAAGTACTTTGTCGTTGCGGTCTCAAACTCGACGTTCTTCAAATCGTTGAAGATACACAGCCGGTTCCTTGAGATATCCTGCGATGGCATTGCCTGGTTCGCATCATGGATTGCGTTTATTTATATGTTCAGCTCCAAGAACTTGTATCAAATGCAAGTAAACATGCTTTTCGGACTAATACTCGATGTTGTTATCGTGGCCGTGTTGAAAGCGCTTGTGAGGCGAAGAAGGCCGGTGGCAAGCAAGGATATGCTTACAATCGGTCCTGACGTGTTCAGTTTTCCGTCAGGACATGCGTCTAGAGCCTTTTTCGTTCTTCTGTTCTTTACGAAGCTGTATCCCGTACATTTCATATTTATGATGCCAGTAACAGCATGGGCCGTCAGCGTAGCTATCTCAAGACTCATACTGCAACGCCACTACATATTGGATATTTGCGCTGGAGCTGTGATTGGGGTCCTGGAAGCATTGATCGTCGGCTTGTTTTGGATAAGCGAGCAGTCGGCCTTCAACATTGTTGGCTTTGTGTCTAACGAAAACGTTGAAAGCACAGCTGAATGAAAGAATTCGGAATTCTTGGTCAAAAAGTAAATGTTATTTTTTGTTTTTACTAAATACTTCGTTGATATTATACAACTATTAGCATTACAATGTTCTTCAGGCAAAGAACAGAAAAAAGCTCTTTGAAACGATAGTATAAAAAATAAAGACCAAAGAAAATCTCGTAAACCCTAAAACTAATAAGATGTTTATCAATAGCCTATAACGTTGTTATAGTATTTAGCTAGGGCGTGACATTTTAAATTTATACACCTAGGAAAACAATTTTTTTTACCCCTTGGAATGTAAAGGGTGACTCATAGAAATAAGGAAACACAGTTCCAAAACTTTAATTTGACTTGACCGGAGGGTTTTTCGTGATGGGATCCCTTGAAAATGGGATTTTCCCCTATAGGGTCCACAGTGATGTCTATATCTTCCCCAATCCTGATCCGATTCTCAAGCGGAGTACCTTAAACGATTTCTGGATCGATTCTCCACCATTCTGCATCAAAATCCTGAGACAAAATATTTTTCAGGTTTTTTGTCCATTTTTGCTGATGGGATCCCTTGAAAATGGGATTTTCCCCTATAGGGTCCACAGTGATGACTATATCTTCCCCAATTCTTATCCGATTCTCAAGCGGAGTACCTTAAACGATTTCTGGATCGATTCTCCACCATTCTGCATCAAAATCCTGAGACAAAATATTTTTTAGATTTTTTGTCCATTTTTCGTGATGGGATCCCTTGAAAATGGGATTTTCCCCTATAGGGTCCACAGTGATGACTATATCTTCCCCAATTCTTATCCGATTCTCAAGCGGAGTACCTTAAACGATTTCTGGATCGATTCTCCACCATTCTGCATCAAAATCCTGAGCCAAAATATATTTTAGATTTTTTGTCCATTTTTCGTGATGGGATCCCTTGAAAATGGGATTTTCCCCTATAGGGTCCACAGTGATGACTATATCTTCCCCAATTCTTATCCGATTCTCAAGCGGAGTACCTTAAACGATTTCTGGATCGATTCTCCACCATTATGCATCAAAATCCTTAGACAAAATATTTTTTAGATTTTTGGTCCATTTTTCGTGTTGGGATCCCTTGATAATGGGATTTTCCCCTATAGGGTCCACATTGATGACTATATCTTTCCCAATTCTCATCCGATTCTGAAGCGAAGTACCTTAAACGATTTCTGGATCGATTCTCCGCCATTCTGCATCAAAATCCTTAGACAAAATATTTTTTAGATTTTTTGACCATTTTTCGTGATGGGATCCCTTGAAAATGGGATTTTCCCCTATAGGGTCCACAGTGATGACTATATCTTCCCCAATTCTTATCCGATTCTCAAGCGGAGTACCTTAAACGATTTCGGGATCGATTCTCCACCATTCTGCATCAAAATCCTGAGCCAAAATATATTTTAGATTTTTTGACCATTTTGGGTCAAAATACCCGTTAAGATTAAAATTAGCTACATCTTAAATATTTTCATATAAACATAGAAGTTTTCCTTTAAAAATTAGTTCACCAAGGATACGTAAGGAAGGATACGTTTCAAAAAACATATCGATTCATCGATAGGGAGAAACAACCCCAATTCTGCGCAAAGGGATGAAATATTGTATTCCTTGCCGAGTTTTCGCGAAAGGACAAATACAAAAATATTCTCCTAAGAGACGACATGTCAATTAGGGCTTTGGAATAACAACAATTTTCGTACCGCTAACCGGGATGTTCACCAAAATGAATAATAATTATTCAGCATTTCTTGTTAGCTTGTCGCTAATGCTTTTACTAAAAAACATGGATGTGGGGGCCAATAATATGGACTCGGGAATATATGGGTAGGTATTTGAGGTCCGAAAAAAGCACGCAAAATGTCTTTATTATTTCCAATTGTGTGGCAGCTGGTTTTAGCGAAAAATAACCCTTTCGTTAAGTTATTTTTAATTTTATTAATGGATTTACATTTTAGGAATAATATACATACATATGTATTAAAAAACATATTTTAATAAATTTTAATTTAATTAATAAATTTTCTTATAAAGGTTTCAGCAATCATCAGGAATTTGCCATTTATACAATGGCACTATTTGTCGAGACGTTTTGAGCAACGCCCACGTTTTCGTGTCACCTAATCTTACTATGAATGATTTAGAGGAGCGATTAAAAGCCGCCTATGGAGTAATTAAAGAATCTAAGTAGGTCCTTTTACAACCAATTTTTTTTAACTGATATAATAACTAAATACTTTTAGGGATATGAATGCTAATTGTCGGATGTATGCTTTGCCTAGTTTGTGCTTCAGTTCAATGCCAATTTGTAGAACTCCAGAACGCACGAATTTATTGTACTTCTCCAACGTGGCTACAAATGCCAAACAGTTTAAACACTCCAACTTCACTATACGACGCAAAAGAACTAAATCAAAGGATATTAAGAACATAAACATATTTAAAAAGAAATCCACCATATACGAGGACGTGTTCAGTACCGATATTTCCAGTAAATATCCACCCACCAGAGAGTCTGAAAACTTAAAGCGTATTTGCCGCGAAGAATGTGAACTTTTGGAAAACGAACTTTGCCAGAAGGAATACGCCATTGCCAAGAGGCATCCGGTAATTGGTATTGTGGGAGTGGAGGATTGCCAGAAGTTACCGCAGCACAAGGACTGCCTTTCCTTGGGTATAACCATTGAGGTTGATAAAACTGAGAACTGCTACTGGGAGGATGGTTCAAGTTATAGGGGCGTATCAAATATGTCGGCATCCGGAAAACCCTGTTTACGATGGTCCTGGTTAATGAAAGAAATTTCCGACTTTCCCGAGCTTATTGGTCAAAACTATTGCAGGTATGTATAAGTCAACTTGTTAATCGTTTTAAACCTATGTATATGTAATTAATTTATTTTATATTTTATTTTAAGAAACCCTGGCAGTGTCGAAGGCAGTCCCTGGTGCTTCGTGGATTCTTCACATGAGCGCATAATTGAGCTCTGTGATATCCCAAAATGTGCAGATAAAATTTGGATTGCTATTGTGGGAACGACAGGTGCTACTATTTTCGTTTTCATTATAATATTTGCAATCATACTCTTCAAAAGACGAACTATAATGCACTACGGAATGCGAAATATTCATAATGTAAGTTTAGATCAAGGGCTTTTGTTGTCTTTTAACTTTCAATATTTATATATTTTTTTCAGATTAATACACCCAGTGCTGACAAAAACATATACGGCAATTCGCAACTGAATTCGGCTCAAGATTCTGGACGGTCTAATTTGGGAAACTTATCGGAGCATGTGGCTTTGAACTCCAAGCTCATAGAACGGAATACACTTTTAAGAATTTCCCACTTTACTCTGCAAGATGTGGAATTTTTGGAAGAACTGGGCGAAGGAGCATTTGGTTTGTACATTTATAAATAACATGCCAACATATTTGTGTAATTTTACCAATTTAGGGAAAGTGTACAAGGGGCAGCTACAACAACCTAACAAAACAACTATTACTGTTGCTATAAAAGCATTAAAGGAAAACGCTTCTGTGAAGACCCAACAAGATTTTAAGCGCGAAATCGAACTTATATCCGACCTTAAGCATCAGAATATAGTGTGCATTCTTGGAGTTGTCTTGAATAAGGAACCCTACTGCATGCTTTTTGAGTACATGGCCAATGGCGATCTACACGAGTTCCTCATCTCCAACTCACCCACCGAAGGCAAATCGCTAACTCAACTAGAATTCCTGCAAATCGCCTTGCAAATCAGCGAAGGAATGCAGTATCTTTCTGCGCATCATTACGTCCATCGGGATTTGGCTGCTCGTAATTGTTTGGTAAATGAAGGATTGATTGTGAAAATCTCCGATTTTGGACTTTCCAGGGATATATACAGCTCAGACTACTATCGGTAAGAAACATATACTAATAGGTGATTTGAACAAGAACTTATAAAATATATTCTATCACATAGGGTTCAATCTAAGTCACTACTACCTGTACGATGGATGCCCTCAGAGTCTATACTGTATGGAAAGTTTACCACAGAGAGTGATGTTTGGTCGTTTGGCGTGGTTCTTTGGGAAATCTACAGCTACGGCATGCAGGTAAATTGTTGGCTTCTTTATTAATAAGATGAAATCAACATTACCAATATTTTCAGCCATACTACGGATACAGTAACCAAGAAGTAATAAATCTCATACGGTCTCGCCAATTGCTATCGGCCCCAGATAACTGCCCAACTGCGGTTTACTCTCTTATGATCGAGTGCTGGCATGAACAATCAGTAAAACGTCCAACATTTACAGACATTTCAAACCGTCTAAAGACTTGGCACGATGGTCATTTTAAATCAAGCAATACAGAAATGTAAGCTTACACATTTATATCCAGCTATGCATTTTCAAAGAATGGACTGTATCATAAGTAGAATTAAGTAATTTAATAAATAAAAGTTCTTATAAACCATTGCATTATCCTTTGACTTTTTTATTTCATGAGATTTCTTTATAATAACCATATGGTATTTAAATATTTTTTGTGCATATATAAATTAACTTAACCAGTAGCAATGCCTAGGGCAACGCCACCGAAAAATGAAGCCAAAAATATGTGCAGATCGTTTACTTTCGGTCCCTCTTCGTCGCCAATTAATTTTGTGTACCACTTGGCTACTTTCTTGCCTTTCCTGGTCAACAAGCTTTCCGCTTTATCCAATTGGTTGTCGACATATCGTTCCGTCTGAATTTTAAATATGTACATATATAAAATCCTTGCTCACAACGATATGAAATGTCATTTTACCTTGTCTTTCCAATTTTTCTCGCGACCCAATGAGGATTCTACTTTGTCGGCGAGCCTGTCGACGCTTTTATCCAGCTTTGACCAATTGATTTTAATCAGTCCTTCTTGATGAGCGACTTCTAGCAAAATGATGCTTCCGCCAACAGCAAAAGCGGCAAATTTGCCAATCTTCATAGTTGTGAATCCAGTTGCCCTGAAAAATTATGAAACAATTATTGTGCTCATGTTTGCTTAGTGTTTTGCGCGAACTAATCCATGTAGAAAGTTCAACTTTACGTGATGCCGACTGTGACAGTTTTATGGTAAAGTTATCTTAATAAGTCACAGTCATAATCACTTCTGAATGGTTGGGAGCCTTTCAGGCAGGAGGATGCAATAATGCCGAAACCATTTGTCTATGGGAGTACCCATTCTTAAATGCCTCCATACAGGCGTTTATTGATTAGGAGTCGTTGTAATGATATAATACATACCATCCCGATGTAACTCCAATCAACATTTGCGAATAAGCAGAACGCCGGCTTATGTCGTTAAAGACGCTTTTTAAAATTTCCGAGTAATTAGTCATTATTATAATTAGATCTTGACGTTAAACTGAGAAATGCTGAATCCTTACGTCAAATTCGCACAACAATAATATAAGGGTGTCAAGATAGCTTCGTTTATTGGACGCATTGGAACGTGTGGAATGAAACGATAATTCCATTCGATTTTATTTTAACCCTACGCCCCAAATCGTTTCTACTGAATTTAAATATAAACTAAAAAACGGATTAAAATCCCACTCTTCTGAGTTCCTTGATAGCTCTGCCGTTCAAATTTTATCTTACCTTGAATTTTGCCTTTTCAAAACTGGTCGAATAAAATATACAATACAAAATGTACATGAGTTTATTTAAAATAATTTTTAAAACTACTTAAATAAATATCATACAGTATATTTACAAATTCGAATAGATTAGCCAATTACTTAGCAATTTTAATTACTTTGCTAAATCACCAAGAATTATAAGTCCGTAAGCATTGATTACAGGTATGTTGATTCACCTAGAAGAAAATAAAAATATATTTATTAAAAATGTATCCTCTGATATAAATTTATAGACGAGGTTGAGATGAGTTTATGATTGAGAGAAATACATAGCGTCAAACTAACTAAACGTTCTACAAAGTTTTAGGAATTTTTATTTATTATCAGGGTCATAAGAGTTAAGGTCAAAGTTTAACTATTGTTAGTAAGAGAATTTTTTAAGAATAGCTACTAGTTCCATCAAGAAATCCTTTCCCAAAGTAAAAACTGTGAACACTGATACAAAAAAATGAAATAAATCCTTAAAGCCTCATTATAACTTTAAATATTTGGAATCGAAATGAAACCTTCGGTTGAGGAAAACCTTCGATAGACATGATATGAAATCAGACAAAAAATAGTTCTATCTAATCATTGAGGAGGGGTTTTGTACTGCAAGTTTTGTGTATCGCAAGTTCAGAAAACTCACCGGATTCCCAATCTTCCTCGCCTTCTTCGGTACCACAGTTGAATTTTGGGGAGGATTGTTTACATGTGATGTATGAATTGTAATTGATGTTTTTATTTTCATTTATACTTCGAGTGTCAGAGGTGATATGAACTTCACTATTCTGCCATGTGATTAAATCAGTGTTTTTAATGGACGGTTGATTAAATATATGATTTTTTTTTATTTCCTCTTTTGTGGAATCATTCAAGCTTGATAAAAGAGGTTTACTATTAGGCTGTTTGCGTTTAGACGCTGTCGAAGTATTTTTTGAATTGGTTGATGTGTCGTTTTGAATTTTAGTCTACGAATATTAGATTTTTGAATTAAGCATATTGATCTGCGCGAAACGTGTTTACACTTACAACTATATCCTTATGATCCAGGGGTTCTATTGTTTGACTTTTCGATGTGTTATCATTGACGATCGCAGTTAAGACATTTTTTTCAAGAAAACGGTTTGATGATACACTGTCATATTCATTTCTTTCAAAATTTAAAACGTCATTTTTTTCTTTTTTAGAAGCTTCAGCTTGAACATCATTGCAACAATTTACTGCCTCAAATGAGATTGTAATCTAAAAATAAAATGTAATCAGTTTTTATTTAAATGCAACAATTTACAGCCTCAAATGAGATTGAAATCTAAAAAAAAATGTAAGCCATTTTTATTTAAATGCCATTTACATATTGAAACAAATACTTACCTTGAAATCCTCTGAAAATTTATGTTCTCTTTCTTTATGTACATCATCGATCTCCGATTTATTCAAGACTTGCGTATATTTATTTACCCTTCCATCGGATTCACAAACTAAACATTAAAAAGATAACGAATTAGATTTGGGCGAATATCATAAAAGTATTCATGAAACTTACGTGAATAATTTTTGACAAAATATGTATTGAGCCAAAAATGACAGATTATTTTCCGCGAATTCTTCTGTGGCTGTGCAAGTTCAAATTTAACGTCTCCAGCAACTTCCAATGACAACGACAATACAAATGATTTCTGAAAATCAATCTGCCAGGTTTTCAGTCTCTGCAAAAAATAAATATACGTTTTATACGTTATTATTTTTATGTTTTAATCAATAACTTACATGTGGCTGAACATTTTCTGTTGCGGAGTCGTGTAATTCGGATACTGAACACTCCAACGGGCCTAAATTTTGCAGATAACTGGACTCCGAGAATCGTATTTCACAGACCTAAGATATTCAAACAGATATATAAGTTATTTATTTATGTAGATTAGCAAATAAGTAACACAACACTTACGTTAAGGCTTATTTTCGAATATGGAACACTTGAACAAACTAGTTTGAAAAAATACTGAACATATCGACGCTGAGATGGGATTGTCACTCCCTTTCGATCCTTTGTACGTTTCTCATCATAACAGGCTAATGCCTCATCAGCAGATTTTTGTCGTCCACTGTACAGTAAATATGCGCAAATCATGGTACCTAAAAATTAGAGTTGAAAATACCGGATAAAAAATAGGAACATTTAGGAATTTTAAATTTCTTCATTGCCTACCGGTTCTGCCTTTTCCAGCTTTACAATGCACAGCTACGACGTTTGAGGGGTCTGCTTTAAGCCACAAATCAACATCCTTGCAAAATCGTTGCATTAACTCAATCGTTGGCGGGTTATGGTCTTCGAAAAGAAAAGAGGCCACTCTCTAAAATATGAATTCAGATTAAAGTTGGTTTTTTTGTGAGAAAAAAAGAAAAATTTGTTTACCCCATTAAATTTACTGATGTCATATTTTCGTTCTAAGCATAGATTGTATATTTTGTAATGTTGGCCATGATTTTCTTCCAAAAACTTATAGACATCTTCTAGACGGTTTCTCCAGATTCCCTCTATTTTATCTGGAGCTGGATAGCCCATGGCAATTATGTTATCGTAAATATCTGCAATAGAACAATTATATTGTCATAAAAATAATGGTTTATACGTTTTATAAGCTTTAAAAATGATATACATACACGTAAGATCCAAGTTGTATCCTTTTTCTATGTATCGTATACGTTTTTTGCTCACTACATTGCGTATCACGTTAGACATTAGTGAAATGGTGTTTGCCATATTTTTTACAGTTAAAAGACTTGTCTTTTTAAAATTATTTTAGTTTCATCCATTCAAGCTTATTCAGAAATCCGTGTACGTCTATTGTTTAATCCATTTTAGTGCTTATGTTCTGCAAAAAGAAAATAAACTTAAATTAAAAGTCGAGTTCATGATTAAAAGTCTATTGACTTACACTATAAGAATCCATTATCGTTTGATGGTTATATGCCTGGTGCCTTTAGTTTCTCCAACTTTAGGTGTTTTTATAGAAAGAATATTTCATGAGTTGGATTGATTGACACATTTCTGTATGTATAAGTCTGTAATAATTATTGAATTGAGTGAGTATGACTGTAAGAGCTATTTTGGTGAGAAACATTAATACATGTTTGGAGTCATTGATGTTTTCAAAGCAAAATTCCCTCTTTTTCGAACAGTTATGAAATTAAATCTTTAGGGAGTTCCCAAAACTGAAACCTTAGAAACGGAGTGGTGGAGACATCTTAGGCCCTTGAAGTAGGCTCAAATATTCTTGATCTGGATCACCTCCTGAATTGATATTTCTAGTTCCCTTTGCTACACACCTTCTTTTTCTTAAAACGCAGTTTATACAAGTCAAAAAGGTCCTATATCTTGCTAAAATATCTACCAGGGTACTTCGACTGTCGTTTACCCTACCCGAAAGGTATTTCTCCATAAGACTTTTTAGGTTTACAACTATTAGTTGATCAGGTTCTTAGAAAGGGTGCGGCGATCGGACAGGATCGGAAGTCAACTTTTCTAAAACACCTCTACGATGAAAACACCTCATGTCCTAGGAACACCTTGATGCTTACCACCTATTCGAGCGGCTCCCCATTATCTAAACTGGCCCGGAAGAGACGAATATACTTTGAGATTGATATGTTCTTACTTGAACGATATTATGCCCAATGCATTTCCAAAGGTTTGGAAACGCTTCAAAAAAAAAATGCATCAATGTTTCTCCACCTCTATTTTATGTACTTATACTTGCCATTCACACACAGCAACACCTTCGGCGTACAAGTGAAATGTGCATACTTACATGTATCGGCATATTTATCAATGATAAACAAAATAATGATTTTCCACTTGGCATAATACATTCAGTTTAGGTTGCCGCACAGTTGCACTTGCCAAAAAAAAAAATGTATATAGAAGTCAATGCACGGAATTTCAACAATTAAATTGGCTGCTGCGTGAACTTCTGATTCTTAATCAATCAAATCCTAATTAGAAACACTGAATATCGAAATTACTTAACATAGCGACATGATTTGGCAACCGTTTTTCTTTTTTTTTTTGCTTGTTTTTTTTTTCCTTTTGTTTTATATTGTAGACACACTTTCTTGACAAACTGTTTGCGAATGGGGGTATGTATTGTAGTTGGAGCACATATGCATGTACAGAAATATGCAGATATGCATGGGCATGTGCGCATCTATGCACTAATTTCTTGCGTTTATGTGCATATTTTAACAATTAAAAACATATTTACAAAATCCACTGACATTTTACACATTTACACTATCAGCAGCACACGAATATATGGGCCTACTGTTTAATACATATGTATGTGCATATGGGTATGTTTAAGTCAATAAGTTAAATGTATTCAGGTTCAACCGAACAAGTTTTTGTTACTGCATTTCAAGAGTTATCACATTTTTTATATTAAGCCACGAAATTCCAAATTAAAACTTTAAAATTATGTGTAAAACTTAAACAATAGCTCATGCTCTATTAAATGTATTATTAATTTATCAAGCGTGAGATTACAGGGTGTTTCGGGTAAGCGATACCAAAAGTAAATTGCGACGTGTGTGGAGCCTCAAATTAAAATGTGTATGCAATGTATATAAATTCCATAGGGGGTATTCGTAAATAAATCGAAAAACACAAAAAACACTAAATTTAATCAGCTGTTTAATTATATTTGCAATAAAAAATAGTAGCGGGTTCTGATTTTAAAATGCCGGCACCAATAACAAAATCGTTTTATTTTACATTTGGTATAATACGTTTAGTATTATTTAAGCAAATTTATATATTCTTTCCTAATATTAAATGCTTAATTCTCTAAGTAGTTTCTAAAATTTTAAAAGTATTTTTTACAATAAAGAAAGTTATTTAGCTATAGCTTTTCTAAATATATTTGACCAAAAAAGTCCTGACGCAATTGAAATGCAAGAAGTGTGACCGTTCCTTGATAAAAAAATACTAGAATTTTATGAACATGCGATGAGGTAACCCATAGATGGTGGATAAGATGAAATATTACATTTTTGAATTTTTCTTTTAAAAGATTTAACAAATAAGCCGCACCTCTAACGGATTTAGAGTAAATGATTCTAAAAAGCTTTTTCGTTTAGCTTGATAAATACTTCCTTACTATGCTCTATTAACATAGGGCTGTCCCTATATTAAATATTTCAGATCAAAGATTTTGTTTTAAGCAATTTTACTTTTCTTATTCGAAACTACCGGTACTCTATTGAGTGGCATAATTTTGGGTGCCAAGGGGAGTTCGTATATGCAGCCATTGAAATTCCCCTAATAAAATTGGGAAACCAATTATATTCTAAATTCTTAGAATATTGGAATGGTCGGAGAAGATTTTGAATTTGTGGGACTGACATTAACCTGGATCAAGTTTCTCCCAAGTTTTTATCTTTTTAAGAAGGGTCTGGTTATAAAAAAGTTTATCTTAAAAGCAAAGTGTTGTTAGAAAAAATGGTAGGATGAAAATCTATGAAAAATTTCTTTGCAAAAAACTGACCTAAATAAATAAATCAAAAAGTTTTTCCAATAATGGAGTTTTCTAAAAAGGTATGTAAGGGTACTCATTTACTTTCCCACGGGGTTATTTATATCCATTTTGGATAGATATGACTAAAACTGAAATAAAAATGAAGCATTTAAGGAAAAACAATTAATCGTTTCGATGGCCAATTTGATTTTATTATTATTATTATTTGTTTATTGTTATATGAGTAAAAGAAGATTTTAAAGTTCATCCAAATGTTTTCCAATCCCTAACTAATCGACATTTCATTAGACACCTATTGCTTGTTATTTTATGGAGCTTAAGGCAATTTATTCCAAATCCATTTTTCTGAGCAATCCAAAATGTAGAAAAATACTTTTTAGTCTAATGTTAACGTTATTTATTATTTATTTAACTAAATAAAGATTAATTTCCTCACAATAAGATGCATTCAAATTAAAAGCTTTAAGGGAAAAAGAATCAATTTAATAATTCAATGCTTCAATATAAAAATGATGAAATATATATCTTACCTAATTTAAGTTTATAGGTTTAAGAATATGTCAGTATTTGGTTTTTTGCCCATTATCAGAGCCTCCAACAGAGTGTTTATTTCCAGCACTTTTATGTAGATGAATAAAACGGGCCATCAAAAACAGATTTATCGCCTAGCTTCTGAATACAATGTACCCAGGTGTTGCAAAACCAATGTTAAGATGGCAATTTTGGAAGTTATCATTACTTAAAGTATAAACGTGTTGACTAGCACAAATTCAATAAATCTGAAAATTTGAATAGGAATAGAAATTTGTAGTTTCAGACCAATTATTTTGCGAAGGGTACGAAGCATACGAAATTTTTTACGCATTTTCTTTATTAAAATTGGGTACTTCTAGAATTTGGTTTAACGTAGATCGAGTCTTAGCGTATTGTTTCTTAGTTGATTTCTACTTTACAACTTAAATTTTATATTCTTGCGGTTGTCATTTTTATGATTAAAATGTATTCCCACTTTCTGCATTCATGAAATTAGTAATGAAAAGACGACTATCAGTTTTTGATGGAGTTGATCGAAAATGATCAAATGCTACAAATTTAAATATTTCGAGGATACGTTTTACGGTCGCACTTAAGTTATTATTCATTATTCATTACTCATAGGTAACCCTTAAGCAACTATGAGTCTTTTTCTTATTAGAAGCGATGATTTCCAACGGGCGAGCGGGACCTGAAACGTCCTCCTTGTCCACCAGAGCGACCGTAGCTAGCGCTGCTTCCGCTGCTGTAGCGGCCGCTGTCGCGTCCTCCGCCATACACTTCACGACGATTAAAGCTGCTGCCTCCGCCGTCTCTGCCACTATAGCCACCACCAGAACGACCAGAGCTGTAGCTCCGTTCGCCATGGCGGCCACCGGATCCGCTGGATCCGCGCTGTCTGAATCCGTTGCTGCTACTGCTAGTTATACTGTGCCGGCCGAAATCGCCGCGCCGGCCACGGTCGGTAGGACCTCCGCGCCTACCTTGACGTGGACGGCCCTTGGAAATCTCCACACGCAACTGAGATCCCAAGAGTTCGGACCCATTCAGTATGTCGCACGCCTTTTCGGCATCATCACGATGCTCGAACTCCACAAAGGCAAAACCCGGGGGGTTGAAGGCGATCCATACTGAATTCAGCTTCCCGTACTTTGTAAACTCCCCTTCTAGATCGTCCTTCTTTACTTTGTCGGTCAGGTTACCGACATACACTCTAGTCCCACGCTGGTCGCCCATATTTGTCATCTAACTATGATATCTCTTCAGATACCTGCCTTGAAAAATAAATAATCAATAAGTTATCACCACCGGACGAATTTTTAGCGTTTGTATCTATATCAAGTTTTCGACCAGGGTGGTTACACTCGCTGCAGAAATGCAATTTTTAAAAATAGGTCTTTATTTGGAACACTGAAATTGGGTGGCAAATGGTATATTTTTAGTATGACCTAATAAGGGACTTTTTATGGCTCTGAGGCTCGCCATATAAAAGTTCATTAAGCTTCTTATGCCTAAAGTTGAACAAATATGGAACTATGTTTATAATTTTAAGTTATTAAATACTCTATTATTGTTATTCTTTATAATCTATATTCTAACAATGAGTAACAATTATGAAAATTTATATTTTAAAAGTTAGAAAACTATGAAACTAAAGAAGGAGACTTTTTTAGCTAGAATATCTATATAGAATAGTATGAAAATATTGATATTTTTTGATCATATTTATTTAATTTTTTAACTCCAATGTATCGAATGTATTAAGGTTAGGAATAAATTAATTCAAATAAAATAGTAAAAAATAGAATAGAAAAAAATATAGAGCAAAAGAACACAACATAAATTAATAATATTCATAATAAATAATTTTAATTAGTTATTTATTAAAAAAATAAAATATATTTTAGAACAATTGAATTGAATACGATAGTTTTATTTTTGTTTCTTTCCTTTGTTCCAAATATCGCAAAATAATTTATGGTTGTGTGCAACTTGATGTGCGTGTGTGTTTCGTTTGTTTATCATCTTTTACAAAGGACGCAAACTATTTGGAACCCGATTTTATAAATATTTCAATAATGGCAGAAATGGAGTGTCAAAGCAGCAAAATGTCGGTCACAAAGGAAACATCCACGGTAATGCACTATTTGATGTTTGATAAGTATCCATTTAACTATGGATTGCTTCATACGCATTTGTTTATTTACCTTGATTTAATGCGCAGTTAGTTTCCTTTGTGTGTTACTTGAAGAAAAAATTAACATTTTAGTTAAAATATAAACATTCAAACATCGTAATTAGTAACCACTAAACTTATCATTAAAATAAAAGAGAAATACTTTATTTTTTAATTAATTTTTATTATTAGACCCGCAAAGAATCTGGAAAACGAGGTCGCAAGCCTGGGAGAAAGACATCTGCAGAAAAATTGGATATAAAGGCGAAGCTTGGTAAGAATTTATCATTTAAACAAACTCTATTTGTCTTAAATTCTTATTAAAACATTTCAATTAAAATCCTTTTCTTTCGCTATTTTAGAACGAAGCAGGCAGAGTGCTAGAGAATGCCGGGCCAGAAAGAAGCTACGCTATCAATACCTTGAGGAATTAGTTGCGGATCGTGAGAAAGCGGTTGTGGCTTTGCGGGCAGAACTGGAGCGCGTCGGTATAGAAATTTTAATGTCTAGTTCAACATTTTTATTTATTCTTCTCAATGTTGCAGTTAATTCAATGGAATAGACAAATGAGTAAAAAAGTCACCCCAAACAACAATGACCAGTTGCTAAAAGAAATCGGAATTCTTAAACAAGAATAACATTTCAAATACATTTACCTGATTTATTACATTGAAGTTACTTTATTGTTATTTGTATAATAAATATATATTTAAGACAACCCACAGTGTTTTACCGTTAGTTAAACAACATTTTAATAGAAATTAAAATGGGGTTTCATTTTTCCAGTAAGAAAATATTAAATTATATCAATATCTTACAATTTCGCATCTGTGGGATAGCCCATCTCAACCCTCATGTCCGTCGAATTAGCGTCGCTCAGTTAGCGTTCCGCGATAGTTCCGCGAACGTTATCGCCTATCGATACTTTTCGCGCAATATTTTTGGTGGTTGTGCCATCTCTTGTTGTAAACTGGACGCCTGAGTGTAAATTTATAAACATTTCATAAAAAAAAATAAACAAATAAACCAGTGAGCGTCACAATTTAACAGTTTAAAATAAAATGATGGCACGGCGCGGTGGAAAGCGCATTCGGATGGATGATCCGCCTCCGGAATACGAAGAACTCCACAGGTACATTTACTGACAAAATAAGCCTTTGGTTTCAATATAATTTTTATAACGTTGCTCATATATTTTAGCGATGCGTTAAATGAAAGCACGTCGGATGCGGATAGCCCCACCAAGCGTATGACCCGGCTACGGGCCAGAGGTGGAGTGCGGGATAAGCCACCCATTATTGATGATGACGAAGATGAGTTCTTTGCGCCAGTTGCCCGAAAGCGAAAGACACCAGCCACCCGAAAGCCACCAGCTGAACGGAAGGAGCGAGTGGAACGGCCACGCAAGGAGCCTGTGGATAAGGGCCACCACGAGCGTATCGATCATGAACGGGAAATAACCACTGACGAGAACAGCTTGTACTATATTGTGCGCCACTCTAAGAATCCAATCGCCGTAAGACCTACTTTTCTTATTGATTAATCAGATAATTGGCAGTTTTTGTATTTTCAGAGTATTGTTGACCAATGGATTGAGCAGTATAAGGCTAACCGGGAGACAGCGCTGGTCGCTTTGATGCAATTCTTTATAAATTCCAGTGGCTGCAAAGGCAAGATTTCGGAGGACATCCAATATCCAGTAGATCATACAGCAATCATTAGGCGTATGACGGAGGAGTTTGACGAGGTACGTTTGTTCAGTGATATCTTTAGAAAAGAGTATATATCATTCTGCTATATTATTATAGGAAAGCGGCGAATATCCATTGATCATGACTGGTACCCAGTGGCGAAAATTCAAAAACAATTTTTGCGATTTTGTACAAATGCTTGTGAGGCAGTGCCAATACTCAATCATTTATGATCAGTTTCTGATGGACAACGTAATTTCACTGCTTACGGGACTGTCAGACTCCCAGGTGCGAGCGTTCCGACATACAGCCACCCTGGCGGCTATGAAGCTAATGACGGCACTGGTGGATGTCGCCCTACTCGTTTCAAACAATTTCGACAATGCTGCGAAACAATTTGAAGCGGAGCGTGTAAAGGTAGTTATGAATTAATAAAATACGAGTTTTATCATAAAACAAATATATTTCAGTCTCGTGATCGACGCGCCTCTGACCGTTTGGATTCACTAATGACTAAACGGTCTGAGTTGGAGGAGAATATGGACGAAATCAAGAGTATGTTAACCTATATGTTCAAATCTGTGTTTGTGCACCGCTACAGAGACAGTCTGCCCGATATTCGTGCAATTTGCATGGCTGAAATCGGGATTTGGATGGAAAACTATCCACAAAACTTTCTTGACGATTCGTACTTAAAATACATCGGCTGGACTCTCCACGATAAAATAGGAGAGGTTCGTCTACGATGTCTCCAGTCATTGCTACCGTTATACGAAAAGGAGGAGCTTAAGGGCAAGCTAGAGCTCTTCACCTCAAAGTTTAAGGATCGTATTGTAGCCATGACCCTGGACAAGGAGTTTGAGGTGTCTGTTCATGCGGTGAAGCTGGTTATTAGTATTTTAAAGTAAGATTATAGTTTTATTTTAATTTACGAAATGAAAATACTTACCCAAAATCTGTTTTTTCAGAATACATCCTGAGATATTGGCTGACAAAGATTGTGAAATCGTGTACGAGTTGGTTTACTCTTCCCACCGAGGAGTCGCTCAGGCAGCTGCTGAGTTCTTGAACGTTCGCTTGTTCCATTTAACTTCTGACATGGAGGAAACCAAAACTAAGCGTGGAAAAATACGTCTGCCAAATACTCCGCTAGTCCGGGATTTGGTCCAATTTTTCATTGAATCGGAGCTTCACGAGCATGGCGCTTATCTTGTCGACTCCTTTATTGACAGCAATGATATGGTCAAGGACTGGGAATGTATGACCGATTTGCTTTTAGAAGAACCTGGTCCCAATGAGGAGGTGCTCGACAATAAACAGGAGTCGACCCTCATCGAGATCATGGTCAGCAGTGTGAAGCAATCGGCCACTGGAGAAGTGCCCGTCGGACGAGCCAGCAATAGAAAATTCACTCTCAGTGCAAAAGAAGTTAAGGCCATTCAGGACGAGAAGACCAAGCTGACCGAGCACTTTATTGTCACGCTGCCTTCGCTGCTGGAAAAGTATCAAGCTGACAGCGAAAAGTTGGCCAACTTGCTGGCAGTTCCCCAGTATTTCGACCTCAATCTATACACGACTAATCGTCAAGAGGGAAATCTTCAGTCCCTCCTCGATAAGATCAATCAGGTTATGAGCATGCACACGGGGCGGGAAGTCCTCGAAACGTGCGCCAAGACGCTAGAGTGCCTCTGTGCCGAGGGTAGTGCCACCTACACAAGGTGCAACATAGCCAGATCCAATATTATCGAGAGTGCGGTTAATAAATATAAGGACGCGATCGAGGAGTGGCGGAACCTAATACAAGGTGAGACTTTTCATTTGTTCGAATCGACATAAATATTTATTTTCATTTATTTTTAGGCGAGGAAACTCCCAACGAAGATGACATCTATAACATTACGATCACCCTAAAAGTGCTCTCCATATTGTACTCCTCGCACAACCTCAATCCTTGGTACCTATTCAAGACCCTCTTCCAGGACGTTGAGGAAGCTCAGTCCAAGGAGAACGTGGATCGCTGTTTACCAAACGAAGCACTGGCCTATTGCATAGAGGCCTGCTATTTTTCTATAAGCTGGGGTCTTCACTACGTGGAGAATGACTGCGAAGCGCTTAATGTGACCGAAGTGGTAACCGAATTGCGGGGTAACCTGGATACTTTCATGTCAGCTTGCTTTGAGCTCACCCGAGATGGTCCAACAGTGCAAATACAAGAAGCGGTTGGTTTCATTTATTAAAAGTTGTTATACTTAAATAATCCAAAACGATTTTTCTTGCAGGCTTATCAGTCTATTTGCGACTTGTTGATTATTTTCTCCGAGAAATTGTCGCGCAGCGAAATCGAACACATCCGCGGCTTGGTATACAAGTCTCGAATGGATGAGCACTTGATCTTGGACAACTTTGTGCAACATTACGTCTTCTCTCTGAAGCAAGACGTTGTCCAAGACGAAACGCGCATAGAAGAGCTTCATAAGAAGCGAAACTTTTTGGCCTGCTATTGCAAATTAGTAGTTTACAATATTATACCAACAATGCGAGCAGCGAGCATTTTTAAATATTATGTCAAGGTAAGGCCATTAGGTTTTTAAACTTAAAAGCATATATGACCTTTTATTTTCTTTTTTTAGTGCTACAACGATTATGGGGATATTATTAAAGCCACATTGGGCAAGGCACGCGAGATCAACAAAGTCAATTTTGCCATGACGCTGCTCCTAAGTTTGATAACCGTTTTCAAGAGTCTGCAGGAACAGAGTGACGGTGGAATGGTTTCAAAGAGTTCCCAGGAATTTGTAGATCTCAAGGAGTTGGCGAAACGATTCGCCCTCACATTTGGCTTCGACGCGATCAAGAATCGTGAGTCCGTGGCCGCCATACATCGCGGCGGAATCTATTTTGCTGCCAACAAGCAGCCGGATGATCCTGTGCGAGCACCCACACGTATTCTATTCCTGGAGGTGCTCAACGAGTTCAACCACAAACTTCTTAAACAGGACAAGAAAGTAATTATGGCATTCCTGGACAAGATCATTCCACCTGGGATGCCATCAAGCAGAGCAGAGGAATGGCAACCCCTCGTCATGTATCGCAATTCACTTCTTCACGGGGAAACGGATCAGGCGCCGGTCGCCAGCAAGCGAGCTTACACCCGAAAACGACGGGATCATGGTAAGGATATTCAAGTGTTTTATTTTCTGAACATTAAAAAATAATACAAACTTTGTCCTTTAACTTAGATGAAGAAGACGAGGAAGAAGAGGATGATGAGGAGCACAATGATCCCGATTACAGGGGCTAGGACCCTTTTGTTTAAGTTCAGAACCTAATATTTGTGACGATCAAGTAGTTTTAAGCTTTAAGGTTAAATGTAAAAAGCGTCCAGTTCGTTTATAATTCAATCTACTATTCTAATCTCTACTGGTAATCATATTAAAGTTCGATTTGATTAGTAATATTTTGGAAGCGTTTTCGAGACTCAACCCCATATGGATGTCGTTGTACACATGTGAAGATTCTTTGAATAATCCTTCGCTGGCAATACTTGCAGCCGGCACCGATAAGAACCGTCGAACAATGGGAAACATGGCACTATATTTGGCGTTAGATTTCCACCACATTAATGGGTCTATTTCCCTTCCGATTCTCGGCTCGGAGTTATACAAGTACAAGAGATTTTTAATTTGCGATTGAGATCCGAAGGATGTGGTTGCCTGCTGGCTGTTGGTAGAGCCATTCGTCAGCATGGTGTCCAGTATACTGTCAATCTTGGACTCATTTTTAAGGGACGCAGATGAAGACACTTTAATCATCTTCATGAGTGGCTGCCCTTCCGGATCTTCCTGGACTCTAGTCAGTTGCATCAAAATCTCATTGGCCACCAATTGTTCCTCTCGTTCAGTAAAGAAAGCTTGCTTGTACCGCGGATCCAAGTAAGTGGCCATCAGAAACTTTGTATCACTTGTAACATGCGAGAATTTCATTTCCAATTCCTCAAGTAGTTTTCGAGCAAAACTGGAAATGGTCTAAAAAAACATATTTATTAAAAAGCGAGAAGGAATTTGGTAACAAATATTTACCACAGAAGAAACATAGTTGTGAACATCCGTTCTAAGAGAGTCCCTTAGAGCGGCCACAAGTGGAATCACCGACGAAGCTGATGTCGTGGGAGAACTCCATATCTTTATAATTTCTTCGCAAGGCTGCATTACCTTGTTGCACAAATCGATGTCTACCCATTCATCTGGATATATTTGAATCAGGCTGTACTCTTCAGCATACAGGGTAATAGCATCTTTCATCCTTAGCAATCGTGCCATCATTTGAAAGGTTGCATTCCACTTGGAGGAGGCCACTTTTAAGATAGAACAGGGGTCCCTTTTTAGACGCATTTTCTGAATAAATTTTAGGTGATCGTGGGCCACTTTAGAAGATGCAAAGTGGTCAACAATTTGTTTGCATTTCGATGAAAGATTCATGAGGACTTCGTTGGATTGCAAGGCGAATCTTACGCACATTTGAAGGCGATGGACACTGCAATCGGGAAGAGATCCTGGAGCGGCGCTTAACTCATCTCTCACCACGCAATAGATTTTATCTTTGGGTAACTCAATGGTCAGAGTGGGTATAAGATCGAGAATACTGGAGGACACTTTGGTGGCCGTTTCATAATTAATAGCTTCACACCTGAGCATGAAACTATTGTACCGGAAGTCCCTGGTGATTCCAGAACAAGATAAACTGAGAAGTCCTTCAGCCTGGCCTCCCCACCAGAGACTAATGGATAACGATATGGCGTCTAACAGATCCACCTGTTGCTTTATTTGAGAATGAATTCTCCGGAATACATCCTGGCACAGTATTTTCTCATAGTAGCTTTTTGGGTGGATCACGTACCGTGGCTGCAAAGTCTTTATAAGGCTGATGAATCCACTTCCATCGATTAAATCAAATGACTGAGTTAGAAACATAAGCGCCATCTTTTCATCACAGCGAGCATGCATGAGGAAGTCCTCGGAATCTCCAAAGTTGCCATGACCTGTTTCCAGTGGATCTGGGTCTGGTTCCTAAAAATATGAATATAATTTAAACTTCAAAAATGATGATAAAATTTTAATATACTTGAGAAAATATTTTTATATTTAACATGTTTTTAGAGAAATAAACACGTTTTTTTTTTTTTTTTTTTTTTAATTAAAGATTAGTTTTATAATTTTTTACAAATAAGTGGGGAAAAAGCCGCCCACTCTCTTTTTAGGGGGATTCACCAGAACCCACTCCCCCTTACCCCTTCGCTTCACAAAGAAAGTATAAGCTATCGACCTATTGAAAACCACTTACGTCCAACTTAAGCTCCAATTTCGCCGTAGGATGCTGAGATGGACTGCTACCGATCTCTCGCTTAACCACATACTTGACATCTTCGGACAAAGTAAGGAACTCCGCAGGATGTCTGCTTTTGAGGTGATTCCTTAGACAAGTTGTACCTCGTCCTTTTCGCGAATAGTTCCTTTGGCACAGGCAGCATGTGGCAACAGTGTCCGAAGCCTTGTAAAAGAACTGCCACACATTGCTTTTCTTGCTCATTTCTTTTTATATGCTGAGCTTTTACCAAAGGTACAAGTAATAATTTTTTGCGGATGTCCACATCCGCCCAACATCCGTTCTGCGGCAGAGTTTCAACATCCCTGGTTTAAAAATGAGAAATCGATACACAAACTATCGATAGGTTTACAGAGTTGCCCGCCAATAACAGCAGTTGCTGAGAAACAGCAAGAGCATTGGGGTCTTTGTTCATTTATTTGCAAATTACTATAAAATGCCATGCGCCATGGATTTGCCAAGGACGCCCGATGAACTGGCCGACCAGGCCATGGAAGGCACCGCTTCGAAGGATTTGCTCAAGGACTCCAGCCGCTGGCACTCGATTCCCCTTCTTAACTACACACCTCTTCATAAGCTGAAGGACCAAACATTGGTACGCTTCCGCGGAATGATTCAGGACATGATGGACCCGGAGATCTTTCTGGAGAGGTACGAGGTGAAGTCCTCTAATGGGATCAAACGCTTCCAGGACGGCAAATTTAGAGATTGCTTGCGTGTAGCGCCTGGCGAGGAGATAGACTACAATGCCGAAGGAAATTTGCATGGCGAGCGACGCACGTTGTTTGTTGTTTCCGTGCCGGGGTTGAATGACTGGAGTAAAGATCATGAGAAACATTGTGCTCCGCAGACGGATTTGGCTACCGGCCAGGCCCAGTCTCCAGCTTCAGTAGCTAAGAAGCGCACTCTGGAAGAGCAAGAAGGCATGGATGTGGATGACATGGATGATGGCACCCTAAAGCGTCAGCGTTTGGACAACATACAAGGCAATGAAGTCGCATCCGCATCTGCCCCATCACTTGGCTCTGAGTACCTGCTTAATTCACCCTTGCCTAATCGCCCCAGTATGGCCTGCATGGTTAAAGTATACGAGGACTTTGATTCCTATCAACTAAACTCGCTGGTGGACTTTGTGGGCTTCTTGTCGGTGGATCCTTCTTTGGATGCCGCCACCCTTGATGTCGATGGATATGAAAGCTTAAGCGAGCTGCAGGCGGCTCACCCATCGCCTTTTCTCATTCCCCGTCTGCATGCCTTTGGAGTCAAAATGCTGCCACATGCCAATCCGCTGCTAGATGAAAGTTTGCGGCAGCCACCCGAAGCCTGCGATGACCCAAATCCCTCCCAACTCGCCATTCACAAGGATTTGCGCATGCTGTTGAAGCTTTGTTTATTCGACGACGATCTTGCTGCCGAGTATTTGCTCTCGCATTTGATTTCGACAGTCTACAGCCGTACCGATATGCAAAGCATTGGAAAGTTTGCATTGAACTTGTGTAATCTTCCTAAGGAATCCGCCCAGGAGTATACCAAGAAGCTGTATCAAGTGTTGGAGTTGCTCCTGCCGGCCAGCCACTACCTACCAATGACCCTGGATATGATGAATACAGCTGCCTTTGCTCCCAAGTAATTGGAATAATCCACTTTTAAAGCACAAACTAACTTTCTATTTTTCACCTAACAGGAAGGACTACGATACCAACAAACTAGTCTCTGGGCTTTTGCAGCTTGCCCCACACACTCATTTAGTGCTGGATGAGACCTCCCTGCAACAAGGCAAGCTGGAGGCTAACGGCGTTCAAGCCGTTCAGCACTTGGCTCACCTTATCAACAACCAAGAGCTGAAGTGCGACTTTCAGTATTACCAAATCGATTATCAAGCAAACATTCCCGTCCTGGTCCTTAGTGAAGGGCGCAGTATGTTGCCGGTAAGGAAGAAATATGGATGATACAGCATTCGTTTTATTTATTTCATATATCTTTTCCAGAGCGATTTTATTGTCCCCATAAATGCCGACGCTAAGGCCGTAGAAATGCTTGACGAATCTCTTAAGGCAGCCCATCATTACCTTCAACCGTCGCGGCTTCACCAGTTTCGCAAGTACTTGACTACGGCAAGGATTAGCCCATTTAGTGTCAGCGACGAGCACACCGAAATGATCCAGCAGGAGTTTGTGGATATGCGCAAAGCGAATGTAAAGAGCAATGCAGACGACCTGCATGGGTTGCTGGTCCTTTCCCGGCTACTGGGCATTGCCCGTGGAAAGGAGGCACTCGATAAGGAAACTTGGCAGCTAGCCACTGAATTTGAGTCCAAGCGGCGCCAAAGGCTCCAATCCCTTCCCAAATCTTCTCAAACTCGTAACTGAAACATTTCATTTTTACATGCCCCTTTTAGTTTTTATAAAAAATAAATCATATTTTTCATATAAAAGTACTTTATTATAAGATAAGCTTTTATTTTAAATGTGTAGGAAAAAATATAATGCAAATTACTAAATCTATTCTTATTTTAAGATTCACGGTCCTCCACAACTTCGTGACTTAAATGTTCGAAGCGTTCTTCAAGCAACTGACTGGTCAGGCAGTCGCCACATAAGTTAAGATGGCAGTAACAGCTGTTGCAACGCCAGTGCGTTCTGGTTACCGATGCCTCTTCGCAGTCGGCGCACTTCGGTGCCAAAGGATCAGGCTCATAACCGCCTTCCACTTGCTGCTTTTCGCTGTAAACAGATGAAAGAAGCTTTAGCCGCAAGTCCTGCCGCCGCTTTGCTTCCGAATAAAAATCTTCATTAACGGCTTCTGGTTCGGTCTTTGGTTCCGCCTTGATTCTTAAGGACGCCGCCGGCATACCCATCTCCGAAGCAGGCGATTGAATGTGCAAATCGTCGTCCTCTACCGGCATTTGAAGCGATAAATTCTGGGCAGGAAAAAAAGTCGACCGGCGTAAGCTGAGCTTTGCTTTGCCGTGTCCCGACCGGCGATACTTTGGAATCCGGCCAGGCACTGGCATGCCTGCATCGTGTAACTTCTGAAAGTATTTTTGTACGCGGCTGAATACTTGCTGGGCGGTACGATTGCCAAGCGCCTTCGCTATTTTCGTAAACCGGCGCATTTCAATTTCCTCCGGCGGATATTGAATCAGAAGCTGTTCTAAATGGCGCTGCTCCTCATTTGTCCATAAGCGGGCAAAGCTTTCTGATCGTTTGTGAGATTTAACTTCAGGGTTCCACGTACTACGATCTATCTCAGATGATATATCTTTTAAGGGCACTATTCCTTGAGCTCCTTTGGTGTCATCCTGGGCACTCAGTGTGGGTACATCGGGCAATTCTGCCGTGATTATGTAATTGTCCGAAATAAGAGGCTCATTATTCCGCAGCTTGTCCAGTAGCAGTTGCGGATTATCCAAGTATACTTTCCGTGACGCTTCCAGTTCCTCAATCTGTTGGTGGACTCGAATCCTTTGCGCCTGCAAAACTGCAATAGTTCGCAATAAATTTGCATAACTTTCGTTGCCCCGAAGAGCCAAGTGCTCCGTCTCAAATTGAAAGACATCGTCGTCCTCCGGAGAAGAGTCCTCCTGGGTTTCCAAGTTATCTGTCTCGTTAATCATAACAAACACAAACAATATTAAAAAAACGTTTTCTTAGGGATGGACCGCTAGCGATAGACAGCTGATAATGTTTATCGATCGAGCCAACTGATAAGCAACAGCTGGTCGGCCTGGATCGGTGGAGTGGGATACGTAACATTTATTTACATATTTTTCGCCATGCAAATTTCCCAAATCCTGGCCCTGGGCTGTCGGCCTTCTGTTCGCTTGACCTCCACGGTACTACTTTCAACAATATTTATGGTTAGAGAAATTAATCTTATCAAAACCAACAGCGCACCGCTGTCACGAGCCCCTCCTCCAATTCGGTGCGTATTGTAGAGGTGGGTCCACGGGATGGACTCCAAAACGAACCCAAACTGCTCCCCGCAGCCACAAAGATCGAATTGATCGATCGTCTCTCCCGAACGGGTCTGAAAACCATAGAAGCCACCAGCTTCGTGAGTGCTAAATGGGTGCCCCAGATGGGAGACAACACTGAAGTGTTCTGTGGTATTCGTAAGGTTCCTGGAATCAACTACCCCGTCCTCACGCCCAACATTAAAGGATTTGAAAGTGCTCTGGCGGCTGGAGCGGAAGAGGTAGCCGTCTTTGGAGCCGCTTCTGACGCTTTTTCCTTAAAAAACGTCAATTGTACAGCAGCGGAGGCTATCGAAAGGTTCAAGCCAGTTCTTAAAGCCGCAAAGGAGAATGGAGTTCGTGTCCGCGGCTATGTATCAACCGTCGTTGGCTGTCCCTATGAAGGGGCTGTGGCTCCGGCTGCCGTTGTCAAAGTAGTCGAAGCGTTGCATGAAATGGGGTGTTATGAGATATCGTTGGGTGACACCATTGGAGTTGGCACTCCGGGCAGCATGCGTCGAATGCTTGATGAGGTGACACGAGTGATACCAGCTGAAAATTTGGCCGTGCATTGTCACGACACTTACGGCCAGGCTCTGTCCAATATTCTTGTCTCCCTGGAGTACGGCATTCGTGTGGTGGACTCGTCTGTATCCGGCCTAGGAGGATGCCCGTATGCCAAGGGTGCATCTGGCAATGCGGCCACCGAAGATGTAGTCTACATGTTGCACGGCATGGGCCTCAATACCGGCGTTGATCTCGACAAACTCATTCAAGTGGGTCGGTATATTTGCTCAGAATTGGGCAGGCCCTCGGAGTCGAAGGTGAACCGCGCCTGGAAGGGACCGCTGCCGCAAAAGCAGTAATCCTACAAATATTCTACAATTGAAAACGATGGCATTTACTAGGACTAGTTATTCAATACATATATTCTTGTAGCAAGTTTAACCCCTAAAACATGGACGTTTTTCTTTATAATCTTAAAACTTTTGGGCATCCCGAATCGTATACAAGGAGACATCGCCAGAGGCTAGTGATAGATCGGCCAGGCTATGGTTAGCGCGGCGTGGAATGTGCGAGGATGTGGAGGTTTTTGGTGGCGCATCGCTCGGCATTTTCATTTTTCCATCGTGACGGAGGACGGTAGGTTCCACGGCCGAGTTGAGATACTTCTGGATGCGTGGCACACTGGGCATAGGTAATGGAGTGCGCTCGTCCACCACCTAAGAATACAAAAAAAAGGTCATATTGGTGGAATTGTGGATAAATATTAAACTTACGTGTTTGATTTCAGATGATATGTATGCTTTTTTAGGCAGCAATTGAGCCGTGGAATCAATGCCTTCGAGTAAACATCCACTTATTTCAGCAGAACCAGCTCCCTTGCCAAAGTTAGGCTTTGGTTGACACAGGCGGGACTCCTGCTCCAGCTCAGTAATGGCCAAGGTACTAAACACATCGGCGCTGGTCTGCCTAAAAAGAGCCATGAGGGGCGCAGTGCCAGACTTCTGGGTGTACGTGCGAATGGGACTGACGATATTTGCATAAGCCGGCTGCTTTATCTGCTGCTGGCGACGTTGCGGAATTCCCGAGGACGCACCGAAGAACTTCTTTCTAGTCCACTCCATGTTAAGATCATGCTTAAGAGGCTGCTTAGCCTTGCACGGTGATGATCTAAGGGTTTGCGGCTTGTTACTAGGACGAAGCGGCAACGATGGTTCCAAAAACTCAGACTTCGGAGTCTTGCGAATCGGCTTGGGTGACATCACAAACGTGTCTGACTTGGCCAACACCGGAGTTTTGGGCTTGGCAGCGGCAAGGGACGGAGCGGTAGCAGGAGCCGCCGCTCCAGTCATGTACTCCATGCCCTTTTGCATCATATACTGCATTTCCTCCATAGTATCATTAAAATGCATGGAACGATTTTCATCGTTCTCCTTGTCCTCCGGCTCATCTTCGACTGTCAATACATCGGCCTCTGGAGTAACATCTAGAGTTTGTTTTTCAGTAACCGACTTATCGTCAAGGCGAGAGATATTTTCCTGTTTAAGTTCAGGAATAAGCTGAACATCTTCATTGTCAGAAGAAGACAGCTCAATTATTGTGTTTTCGGCATACTCGGATTCCTGCTCCTCCTCAACTGGCTCATTATGTCCCTTTGATGCAGATGTTAGCTCCTTAAGGCTACCGTGAAGATCGCTCAGGAGCTCCTTCTCTTCACCCTTCGACATTCCTGGTGGTTTAGCCTTTGCAATTGCAGCATAAAACAAGTCGTCGACGCTTAGAAGAGTTCCGCTTAAAGAATTATCTGTGGCTGTTTCGTAGCAACTGGATGCGTTCGTTTTTAAAGTGCGAGCGCTCTGGAAGCTAACCTGCGATGAGATATCAGAGTCGAGTTCGTTATCCTCGATAATAGTCGAGGGGCGCATCAGGCCCACCATCTTCACAGGCGAGACCTTGGGCTTGGGCTCCATGCTGGACTCGTCAAGCCCAGCCAGGGTATTATCGTTATCCCAGAATCGCGAAGGTGCCTCCACATCCTCTATCTGAGTGCATTCCACGCCCTTGACCGGACTCTCGTTATCCAGTAGATCCTCGGTGCCCACTGCTTCGAGCATACGACGCAGAGCATCAATCTCCTTCTGATCATCGGCGTTAAGGTTCCGGGAGACGCTGCGATCCTTGGCCATTGCAACAACCTGGCTTTTATCCTCACTGTGTAGGTATTGGAACAAGGTGCTATCTGGATCGGATCCAGTCTTATCGCACATGCGTTCGAAGGCATCAAAGCTGTCATCCCGATCCGTAAATTGTCCCATAGCGCCTTCGTAAATAGTATCCTCGTTGATATTAATGGTGGTTTGGCTGGTGGCAGCCGGCGGACCTACTTTCTTAGCCCTATTGCGGATATCCTCGTCGATATTCAGGCTGTAGCGCATTTCTTTAGACTCCTCCATTTTTGCAGGCTTCTTAGGTTGGCTGAAATATTGAGGAGCGTTAGCAAGCAGAAACAAAACTAATCAAAATTGATATTTGTAGTATGTAGGTAACTCGATTTTTGACATGCGGCATTCAAGAATACACATTCGTGTTGTTGGTGATCAAATTTCTATGGAATTTCGATTCTAGGTGTCTTGCTACCCAAAGAAAATGTATTTACCAATCGTTTAAGAGATAGGCGCGTAGTTTCTGACGCCAGGCCTCGTTGTCCTGAAATTTTCTAAGACCACTCATTTTTCCCTTTTTATTTATGCGTTGTTGTTTGTGTGCTTGTATACGTGTGCGGCAAGTCCTTGAGCCACAAATCCAGGTACTCCGGTTCGATCAAGCGCCTATAGTTTAAAGCATTTAGTCTCATATGCGGGTCTTAACTACCTACCTTCTTGCTATAAATTTCCCGTGCACACACTATATGTATATTTAAATATATATTGCTTGATTCGCGGTATGCCAGAAAACGATCGGTAATTTCAAACGCGACGCTCCGGTCTTTGAACGAGAGATGGGGAAAAATTAATCGAAATTACGATTCATAATAGGGATGGAATTTCCGAACTTTAAAATTGGCGCCATTGCATACAAATTTAAATGAATCATAATTTATGATACTTAAGTCAAGATAGATTACAAAAAACATTAAAATATTCTAAATTCATATAAAAAAATCAAGTAAAATCCATTTCTATAAAGTTTCCTTCTTGGTGGGGTTTGGGGGAATGGAATGGAGGAATTCTATTCACACTAAAACATAATCGCATAATTATAACTACTATATATTTATTTTAAAACTGTTTATACTAATATTTCTATTTAAACCTAAACTCTTAAGAGGTATATTCAGATTTTTCTGTTAGGCGGTCAATACTGTGGTTGGGGCCGATACATCGATAACCGAATACGCAACTTCAAAGGCCGGCTAAAAAAAAAAAAAAAGATAACAAATAGTTTCGTTCGAACGGAGCATAATTTCATTGAGTTAAAATTTAAAGTAGGCGACATATAAAATGAACGCATTGCGGCACACAATATCCTTGGCGTCGCTGAGTACGTTCCAGCTTCTTCGCCGATCCAAGGGCCAGCACATACGGGGCTTTCTCCTGGGTACCGGGCTGGGACTAACTACCTTTTCAGTTGTCACGTACGCCGATGCGGCGGCTGCAGAAGACCATGCAAAGGTCAAGCAGACACTTAATGCATCACGGTTCATGGCCGAACCCATTACAGATCCTAAGGAACTTCTGGCGGACAAGGACAACATGCGCCATCGCATGGAACTGTTGATTTTAGAGATTCAGGCAGAATTTTGTCGTGCTCTGGAGGCGGAGGAGAACTGTGGCCAGCGCTTCGCGGTGGATCGGTGGAAACGTGCGGAGGGTGGTGGCGGAATTACGTGTGTCCTGCAGGACGGCGATGTTTTTGAGAAAGCCGGCGTCAACATCTCTGTGGTCACCGGCTGGCTACCGCCGGCCGCTGTCGAGCAGATGCGAGCCCGCGGCAAGAAATTAAACTCAGACAAGAAGTTGCCGTTCTATGCAAGCGGCGTGAGTGCCGTCATCCATCCTCGTAATCCGCACGTACCCACAATCCACTTCAACTACCGATACTTCGAGGTAGAGACGGCCAAGGGAGAGAAGCAATGGTGGTTTGGCGGCGGTACCGACCTGACACCGTACTATCTTTCCGAGAAGGACGCCTGCCACTTTCACCAGACCCTCAAGTCTGCCTGCGACGAGCACGACTCTACTTACTATCCACGTTTTAAGAAATGGTGCGACGACTATTTCCGCATCAAGCATCGAAATGAGAGCCGCGGTATCGGCGGAATCTTTTTCGATGATATCGACACACCCAATCAGGACTCTGCCTTCAAGTTTGTGTCCAGCTGCGCCAAGGCCGTGATCCCGTCTTATATGCCATTAGTTCGTAATAACAAAAACCGAGAGTACGGTGCCAATGAGCGCCAATGGCAGTTGCTTCGCCGAGGTCGGTATGTGGAGTTTAACCTGATCTATGATCGGGGCACCAAGTTTGGGCTCTACACCCCCGGAGCCCGGTATGAAAGCATTCTAATGTCACTTCCCCTGCATGCTCGGTGGGAATACATGCACGAACCTAGCCCCAAGTCCGAGGAAAGCAAGCTATTAAAGGTTCTACGAAACCCCAAGGAATGGGTCTAAGCCTCTATTTATTCTGTAATCATAAGCGGGGAAATGGTGCCTTTCGTTTCATTTTTCTAAATGGCAATATGTAAATACAAAACATATTTTATTTGTTGATGATAATAAATTTCAAATATTTAAAACTGTTAATAAAGCAATTACCTGGATGTTTCAAATTTTTTAAAATTATTTTCTGAATTTTATATTATAAGTTAAAATTTTATCTTTTACTAAAATGTCAAGTTCTGAATCGAAGTTGTCTTCAATTTGTGGATTTAAGGATTATGCATATTTGGTCCTAATTATTTAAAATTTAGTTTAATTTTTTTTATGAAATTAGCATGGTATGCGATAGAATGAGATACATTAGGGTGACCCACTAAAATGAACCTTTCGTATTCCAAGGTTGCAATATTTTTTTTTTTATAATTTTGAAAGTTGAGAAGCTATTGATTTTATAGATTAGAATTATCTACGAGACTGTACCTCTATTCACCAATACATACAAAACCAAAATAAGGTATACATACACAATCGCCATGTAGTTCCCAAGTCTAGAGCCTACATGGCATATCTTAGCTGGTGTTAGTAAATTTTAAGGTTATGTTCAGAATATGGGTCATATTCAGTGTTTAATCCAGAACATTCCGTCAAGTGATGTCATGTCTAATTTTGTATTTCGATCTTTAGGGTTATGTTTTACGGGCCTTTGCAGATTTACCTGGGCACATACCCCAGTACCCTTCCCGCAAGTCCAGCTGGACTGATTGTGTATGTATACCAAGTTACACATACACAAGCACGCTTTCTTCCCCCCTTTGCAAAGTGCTACCTGTGTGTGTGTGTGTGTGTAAGTGGCTGAAACGAGGGATAGGAAGCGGGAATTTCGCGCCACCGGATCTTACAATGAAACCAATACAAGACGCATATAGTTTATAAAATGCTTTATTTCCCATTTTTTGTATGCCATAGTTTTATCTTTGTTTTGGCGATTTTGTGTAGACAAAATCAGCTCTTGTTTACTAAACGTATTGAATTCTTTCAATGATGCTGTTCGCCGGTTGGTTGGATTCTTCTTACTTTTTCTTATGTTGAGTTTGGGGGTTTTTTTTTTTTTGTTGTTGTTATAAAAGAAGGAGTAACTAACTTAACTAAGTAAGTATATTAATAGACAGCTCCACCGGTCTGCTGTTGGTATACTTCAATGGTGTCGCCCTCCTCCATCTCCAGCGAGGTCGGAGTATCGTTCTCGTTAATGGGCTGGCCGTCGAAGCGGAAGCGCACCACCTGCATGGAGAGACCGGCCCGGTCGCAGTAGGCATTCATAAGCTTTCGCAAGGGTGTGTGCTTCTTGATCTTAAACTGGACAACAGCATTGTCCTGTCCCAGAACTTTCAGATTGATGTGCTCAGTCTCGCCTCCTTTCTTTTCGTCAGACATGTTGTTTTTTTTTCGCTTGTTAGTCCGTGCACAGAAACCAAAGAGAATTTGCGGTGATGCCGGGCGTGCTGTACAAAAAGGTAGCGCAAAAAAGTCGCGAAAGAATCGAAAATAAGTCGTAAGTTTGTGCAAATTGTTTGTTGTGACGCTGGTAGATATCTAAACACACGTTTTGATCAAAACTTACATTCCTACTTGGCGTTTTTGATGCTCGATGCTGCTATGCTGTTGAAATTTTCGCCAAGCGGCTTCTTTTTGCTTCTGACTACACACACGCTAGAGGCGGGTAAAAAGTCGCTTCCGGAATCGATATATCGATGTTTTGGGCTATCCGTGTTGGAAAATGATCAAAAATATTCGCCATTTTAAAACATGGCCACACTTTTTGAGCTGGTCTTTAAAAATTAATTTAAAATAAATTTTATTAATCGAAATATTTGTGTGTAGTCAAATTTCTCTAAGTAATCTCTATTAAAAAATATTAATAATAAAATAGCTTACAATTTTTTCATAAATTGTTACTTAAAGTAACCTTTTTTTAATTTTCGAAAAAAGATAATATTTTTGATAGTCTCTTAAAGACAGCTCAAATTATGCAAATTAAATTAGATTTGTTCATTTAAGAACCTTCGGATATTTTTTGAAAGCCCTCGCATCGAAAAGTCAATGTCAAAATAAAGAAACTTTATTGATTTACCTTTTTTTTTTTAAATTAAATTAAAACAATGAGTATAGTTTTAAATATTATTTTATTTGTTCAAACTCCAGTTGTTTGAGGATGCAAAAGCCATCTCAGTTAAATATCCAAGTAATATAGTTGTATGATCATTTTATAAAATACATGAGGACCCTATTAATTAATAAAATTCTCAGCCAAAAAAAAAAATGGAAAAAAACCTAAAACTTATGATAGTTTGTAAGCAGTCATTGTGAATTAGTTTTTTTTTTTTTTTTGGAAACTTTAAAACCCCTGAGGACTTGACCTGAACAGTAGTGGTTACCAGTTACCAAAATCAAACCTTTGGTGCAGTTTTCTTTTCAAATGCGAGTTTCCGCCGCGATTTCGTCTTCTGTACGAGAAAAACCAGCGCAAACGTACATGAAAAGATCGAAATGGTAAATTAATTACTGACATAATGTGTAGATTCTCACAGACCATCAGAGCATTTCGCAGTGTGTACCAAACAGAGGAAAGCTCGCTTACACTTACGCCCTGGCGGCGATTGAAAGTCTTACCGGAGGAGGAAACCTTACACTGCCTCTCGCCAGGAAGGGGGTTCAAAAGTATTTTGAAAATATACCCGATTCAACTTACACAACACCACGAAACCCGGAGCGGAGAATAGGAGGGAAGTGTCGGATCAGTAGCCCTGACTCGATTCTAGAGCTGTCCTAGAATGGTAGACGACGCATGGATTAGTGAGGTTTGTGCTTGGACCAATTTACCTGGTGCGGCTTTTAAATATTGAACTTGGAATTTTTTTTGTATGGAATTCTTACGGAACTATTTTCCGTATGGTTTCGATTCGGGGTTTTTGGTTTTGAGTTAAATACTTATGCTTTTCATATCACACTAGTCATTAGTCAGATTTTCAATTGATTGAAAACTGGAAAAAGATAGAGAAAAGAAAAGGCACGGGTTAGTGCAAGGGTTTGAGTCAAGTTTCGTTTTTGAGCTTAACTTAAGTAATTAAGAAAGAGTCCCAGGAACCACCAAGGGATCATACCATCCAATGCGCTTGAACTCCATTAGCTCCTCTCCAGACTCTCCGTCTTCCCTTTAACCCCCTTACCAAAGGTGGGGAAACAAACACGTCAAGGGCTAGCTTTATTTTACTTACTTTTCTTTCAATATTCATTTGTTAAGATTTACTTAATAATTAAAATTTTTTTGTAAGCTACGCATATTAGTAAAGTCTGCGTTCGGCCGTCTGCTGTCTAGGGCTTGAAAATGTCGCCAGCTATAATTTGCGGCTGCACCTTTCAAATTGGATGTATAAAATGGAACCTTTTGCCGGCGTTTTATGATTACTAAAGGATCCATCGCGGATTGCTTCGATCAATGGGCTGATTTTTACAATTAATAACCTTGAATAATGCAGAAGACTCTATAATGAAAAAACTCTATTGACGCCACCAGCTCTGGTCACCGGTGTTTTGCTGACCGTTGTCGGGATTCGGATTTTGATTGGCACCAGTAGCAGCACCACGACCCAAAATGGGTGGCGGTGGCACACTAAACATGTTGTGGTGTGCAGGCGGTGGCCTGTACTTCTCCTCGTTTTCGTCGTCGACCTCTCGCTTAATGGCCGCATTCTGGTAATCGTAAGTGGGATAACCATCGTCGATTGGCTCCTCCTTGATCTTGATGATGTCCATTTCACGAAACTCGGGCTTTCGTTCCTTAATGTCTCCGCCGGCTCCTGGGCCACGCTCGCGATCCCTTCGTTCTCGCTTGCGCTCCCTTCTTTCCCTGGAGGACTCACGTTCCCGCGACTTGGAGCGCTTCTTTTTCTTCTCACGCTCGCGATCACGATCCCGATCGCGATCTCGCTCCCGTTCCCTGTCACGCCTGTCCCTTCGATCGAATTCTTCGTAGCCGCGGTCGCGGCTGCCCGCACGACGTTTTCTGCGTTCGCGGGATCTACTGCGTGACCTACCGGCTGCCACAGCGCCGCGTCCGCGGTCGCGCTCCCTGTCTCGACGATCTCGGGAGCGGGAACGACGCCGCTCGGGGAAAGCGCCACGTCCGCCCCGGGGCTCCAAGCCGTTACCTCTGTTGGCGCCCTCACGATCCTCTCGTTCTCGCTCCAGCCGATAACGCTCTCGTTCCCTTTCGTTATCCTCGCGACCAGAGTGTTTTATGTTGACATCGTTGCCTCCGCGACGCGTGCCTCCTAATCCGCCTCCCAGGCGTCGTGGCAGCCAGCCTTTAACGGTGCGGGCTCGCTCGACGTCAACCAGGACGCGCTTGCTATCGATCTTCTTACCATCGGCGTGCTTGTAGGCGGCGTGCATGTCACGTTCGTGCTCGTATTCGATGAAGGCATAGCCCTTGGGCTTACCTGATTCCTGGTCGTGGATCAGGACTATCTTCTTAATGGGACCGTAAAACTCGAACTCACGTCGCAGCTTTGACTCCGACGTGTCGTAGTTGATTCGCGCGATAAACAACGTTCGGAAGGGGTCCTCAGTCGCGTTCTTTATCTCGGTGGGGTCCCATAAAGCAATCTCGCGCTCCAACTTATACGCCACCTGTTCGGCCTTCTCTTTCCGCCTTCTTTCCAGTCGCTCCTGGCGTGTTTCCACAGTTTTAGGCAGCGGCGTGTCCTTAGGGTCCTCGAAATCGGTCATAAAGTTGGCTACTCCCAGGTAGCCGCGAGACTTTTTTTCATGCGGCAGCTTGTCCACCGGCGGCATAAACGGGATGGGATCCCGCGCCGCGAAAAGCGCCAGCAAGTTTGGCGGCAGATATTGAGTCATTATGGGGTTTTTCTATTACCTTTCGCTGCGTCTCTGTACTTCGGAAAAAATAAATATTTAGGTTAGGTTTCGATTTGTTTACGCCGCTCATCGAGCAGGCAACCTACTTTAGGCAGCCATCCGTTTGGCAAGAATATAGTATCCGGTACTTGATCCAAGTACCAAACTATAAAACCGATGGTCTGCAAAGGAAATTCTTCAATTTTTCCTAACTTTTTCGGCTGGCTTGTGTAGCTAGGGTTGGTATATCAAAATATCGATACATCGATACTGGAAAAAAAATGATTTATTTATATCGTGACCTGGATATCGCCAAAATATCGAAGTTACAGTACTATCGGAACTAATAACATGTGGATAATTACGTTTTTTTTTACAAACATTTTTACCTTAACATTTATGTTAAATTTTTTTTTAATTAAAAGAACTAATTTTTTATTGCAGTTTTAAAAAATCCCTCAATTTGAAAAAAAAATTTCATTCTGATTGGAATGCTTGTAGTATTGTGGTTCGTGTCATCGCTTAGTTTCGAACATGGGCATGGCAGTGCTGCCATATCCACAAGAAAATCGATATAATCAGTTTAAATTACCGCCAAACATTTAAACTTAAAATAAAATCTATTGGATAAAATAAAGTATAGGGAATGTCTTTGGGATGTGATTTCCCTTAAATGTATTATGCTTCTAACAAATTCTTACAGAATATTGTGCCTACTTAAGCGGGGCTTATGCTGTCATATTCCTCTAGTATAGGGTTAAAATTTCAGCATTGATATGTCAACATATTAAGCCATTTAAAAATTTTTGTTAAAATCCTTTTCTCCGTCTATTTTTGGCTGAACTGATCATCCTCTTCTGCTTTCCACTCTTCGGTCTGGTATATTTTCGCGGTATTTTCCAATGTTCTTGCCGTCTCATCGTACCAAAGCCGAATAACGGATCTTATGATCGATCTTGTGTTAAACGTGATTTCGTTCTTTTTGAAATAGTTAAATTTTTCCATCTTATCAAAGGTTTTCGTTTTAAGTTTTAACCAAGAACCAATACAGCTTTGTAAGTATTCCCTGTTGAAGTAACCAATTATCCCTATCATGATTATAATTCTTACATAGCATAAAGTGCAATGCAAATGGCTGAAGCTGATCAAGAAAATGGCGCTGGCGCCCCGAAAATTGCCACCAACCCGGCACCCAGCCATCAGCTACTTTCCATGCCCAAGGATGAGCTGGAAGAGGTGCTGACCCCCAAGGGCGAGAAAGGAAAGTTTGCGTACCCGCCACCACCACCGCCCCCGACTCCTGTACAAGCTCCTCCGCCACCGGCTGCCAAAACTTCTGTTCCGGTTCAGTTACCGTTGGAGCATGACGAGGACGAGGCTAATTCAGAGAAGTGGGAGGATCCATGCGCCCCACCCCCGCCGCCACCGCTCCCTGGTAATGGTTATCTGTCTACTGGCCTGGGCTATCTAAAGCTGCCGGCTGTCAAGCTAAAGGATGCTCTCGAAAAGGCCATCAGCAAGCTGGAGGCCAATAGGAAGCTTCATAAAGGCAATCACGAAGTAAGTAGAGTCCTTCTTATCATATTTTAGTTCGTTAGTCTTGTAGATAGTTTTTTGTTTTCAAAAAATTCAAGTCTTCAAAATTATAGAAATATTGAATAAATTTTTATTGTTTCGCAATAGTCCAATCGCAAGAAGGAGATCGTTAAAAAGGAATCCATCGAAATGCTAGCTAGATTTCCAGAATCGAACGGAATGGGCGATGCTGCTCCTTTGGTGATCTCCACTTCGATGGACCTCATTGAGCACCCCTCGACCAAGAAACCGGCTGTGATAGTGCAGCTTCAGAGGCGGTTGAAAATCATGGGCTTGCTGGACAAACAAAATCGGATTTTAGGAGCCATTTCGCGCGAGGCAATACCGCTGTACGCAGCCGAGGATGAGGGCCTTGCCTTGCAGGTACTCTCCGCTCGGGCGTCCACCCCTTACACTCAACCCACCAGCATGTTGTCCTGCACGGCCGTCAGCTGCGACCTGGAGCACGATTCGCCAAAGAAGCAGCAAGCCAAAGCTGTTGTGGTTCCCGAACCACGTCTAGCACAACAGAAACGTACGACTGGCACGCCTAGCCACAAGCCAGGCAACCTTCGAGGCCCTAAGACGACTCGCAATGCTTCCGTTGGCAGTGACAAGCCCAAAACGCTTTACTCCCGCTCCAACCTGTTGGACATTCGCAATGGCATGTTCAGCGCGCTAATGCACCGATCCAAGGAGAGCTTTGTGATGCCACGCATTGCCACCTGCGACGACATTGAGTTGGAGGCGCGTCTCCGTCGCATGAACCTATGGCGCACTTCAGATGGCACACGTTTCCGGCCTCGGACCAACACGAACAACTCCAGTGCCAACGGAAATGAGTGTATGCCAGCCTTCTACAAGAACAAGAACAAGCCGCAGCTAATAAGTGACGAGTCCATTATCCAGAGTCAGCCACCGCAGCTTCAAACTGAATTCCAGGTGAGTCTCCATGCCAGCCTCCGACCTCGATGAGGTCTTTAAAATTTTGTAATGTTGCTTTTGGAGGCTTAAGTCATCTCCCTCTGTGGTTTCAACTAGCTGTGATCATTAGGTAACCCAACGCCGCATTAGTCCCGGTCTTATCTGATAAATCAATGATTGCATTGCTTCACCTCCAGAGGTCATTGACAATCTCCCTGATCATTCCCTCGAGCATTAACGCGTTATTCTAGAATATTTATTTGTCGCATTTCATATTATTTCTCTAATAATTTTAACAGAAAATATAGTTTATAGTTAATAAAATCTTTTTAGCAGAATATAGGTTCTACTTCTCAGAATAGTGCCTTGTGCCATCCACTTCCCGCAACCGCTGAGCCGCCTGCTCGGGTGTCAGGTCCCGTTGCGCCATGGCCAGGAGCTCGAAGCCCACCATGAACTTGCGCACTGTGGCTGAGCGTAGCAGTGGGGGATAGTAGACGGCGTGCAGGGTCCAGTGGGCACTGGAGGCGTGGGCGTGCTCAGGACCGGTGGGCGCACCGTGCCAGCCCATCGAGTACGGGAAGGAGCACTGGAACAGATTGTCGTACTTGGTAGTCAGCTCCTTAATGGTCAGGGCAAGATTTTGGCGTTGCTCCAAAGTTAGATCGTTGATGCGCTTGTTGTTGTTCCGCGATATAAGCATCGTCTCGAAGGGCCAGGTTGCCCAGAAGGGCACCACCACCAGCCAGTCTGGATTCTCAATCACAATCCGCTCCCGCCGCTGCAGTTCTCGTTCCACGTAGTCGGCCAGCAGAGGTCGCTCATTGGTAGTGTAGTAGGCGCGCAGACGCTCCTGCTTGATCTGCGGTTCGGTGGGCAGGAACGAGCAGGACCAGATTTGGCAGTGGGGATGCGGGTTGGAGCAGCCCATAGAAGCTCCCTTGTTTTCAAAGATCTGAACCCAGGCATAAGTGGCACTAAGCTCGTTAAACTGCCTGATCCATCTAGATAGGGGGCGCGAGATAAAAGTGGGTATTATTACTAGTGTTATCTGAGCTGCCGTAAATCCTCCACTTACTCGTCGATAACAACCTCAATTTCCGCTGCACTCATCGTGGGCAAGGTGAGATTCGATTTGGGATGAAAGCACATCACACGGCAGTTGCCCCGAGCCGGAGAGATCTGGAACAAAGGGTCGTCACCGTTGGGCGGGACGGGCACTGACTCCACCAAGGCCGGAAAGTCGTTGTCGAAAACATAGGTGCTTTCATAGGCGGGTGTTTCCTAAAAAAGTGGGTACAGTTTAATATTATTGTTAATTGTTATGTTATCTTTCCGCTTACAATTCCATTGGGGCGTGTCACTCCGGGGCAGAGGGGATTGCTGGGATCGAATTCGGGGACCTCGTTCTTCTGCGGTTTCTCCTGCTGGCCCGACCACGGGCGTTGGGTTCGGTGTGGGCATACCAGGACCCACTGGCCATTCAAAGGATTTAGGCGGCGGTGTTGGTGTTCTGAAAAGTATGTTAAAGAATCTTTATTAGTTTCTTCAAAAGCTAATTGGAAAATTATTTAATTTAAGTCGATTTTAATGACACCGCCTGTTCACGAGACCTCTGGGTGTTTTTCCATACGCTCCACCTACCACTGGCCACAAACTGCATCGTGTCGAAAGCCTGGCGATCGTATCGCTTCGATCGGATGGCGACTACTGTGTTTACAAATATTGGCGCGGCAGCTCCGTAATCGTGGCGGCCCACGAGCTAGCACAATGTCAACTGGCAGCTTTCCGATTATGCCCGCTTTGGCTGTTGCTGTTGCTGTTCCAATTTCTTGGTCGGGCAGACCGTATTTTCCGCATTTCTCTCCCGCATTCTGATGAGACTCTCTTTCCGCTCTTCTCGCTCAGCTCTGCTCTGCTACGGCAACTAATGTATATTTGATCCAAGTACTCTGCTATTTTGATTAAATGTTGTTACCTATCTCTCCCACTCAGCTGATTAGTGAGAGGGGGAGGCATAAAGACCACCTGCCGTTGAGCTAGTGATGAGCTAGGGGCGATAGGTTGCCTATCGACATTTTCCGCAGCTTTTCGATAAATTTGATCAAGTTTAAATTCTTATATGCATACACTTTTTTTGACGTCTAGGATTCCGCTATTGTCAATCAAAGACGAATTGGAAGCGGTCGTTTTAATCACTCCAAGTGGGGCTATAACGACTATAGTACAATGTCAGGGCACCATAATGGCAAGGCTCATCATGATGATGCCAATTTGAAGCACCAGAGCAGCAGCAACATGACAGTTCATCAATTTTTCGACAGCGGCGATATTAGCAGCAACCGCCACATGAATGCACGGCCAAACACCCCGATCATGGGCATGTCGAACAACCGCTCCGAGAACGATACTCTGGGCTCGAACGAGTCCAGCGAAGATCTGAGTCGTGCCAACGAGAACTATGTGAAGCGCGTCATGTCCGGATTTCTGGTTGTATCGAAGCCCAAGTCCCGTGAAAACGAGGAAAAGCATCACAGGCGCTATCGGAATCAGAGCGAGGAGCCGGAGTGGTTCAGCTGTGGTCCAACCTCCAGGCTGGACACTATTGAGTTGTGCGGTTTCGACGAGGAGGAGGAAAAGATGCTCAAAGAGGGTCACAAAGCTCAGCCGGCTGGAAAGATCGAAAGGGAAGGTCAAAAGCATAAGGTTGGTATAAGCTACATGTAGTTATCCAAGGGATATATCCTATATCCTTTATTTCCCTTATCCTAGATGGAACCGAACAAGTACAAGTGGACGCACTCGGATTCGGTATCTGGTAACAAGTTCATCCCCAAACACGATACCAACAACAACCAGAATGTGGAGAACATGAACAAGGTGCTGTCCAGCGAGCAGCAGCCTCCACTGAAAGAAGACAAACGCTCGGGCTCATTCCGCCCGTATCAAGCTGATAAATTTAATCAAAATCAAAATGCGTATGAAAACAGCAATCATGCCAATCAGCCACAGCCGCCGCCAAACAATAATACCAACAATTCCAAATTCATGTCATTTTTCGACCGTGAAAGGAACACTTCGTCGTCATCGCTTAATGAATTCTTCAAGCAGGCTATGAATCAGGGTCATGCCACCAATCCCGAGCAGCCCAAGTCGCTGGGCAACATGAATCAGATGCCGTCAGTGGAACAACTTGAGGCCAAGTGGCGGCGCAACTCCGTGTCTTCTGCGGGCGAATCTGCCATGAAACAGTCTGATAATTTCCAGAAACTTATTGGATCCCTTAGTGCGGCCAAGCCACAGGTTCAGACCCAACCACCGGCTGTTGCCGGCAATGATGCCATTTCCAACTTCATCATTCAGCAGCAGCAATATCAGCAGCAACAACAAAAGCAACATATGATAATCCAGCAACAGCAACAACAGACCGCCTTCTTGGCTGGTTTGCAATTAAAGGCTATTTTGGGAAGGGCCGATACTCAAATGCTTTTACTACGTCTGACCAAAGGTGAGCCGTAAAATGTAGTCATTATTATTACTTTCATAATTCGTCTTTTAGGAGAAATATCCAAGCACGGACTATTGGTGCAGTTGGCCAATCCTCGCCTCTCCAATATGGATCGCGAGGCCATCACAGCCGTGCTGCAGTTCACCAACACCCAGCAGCAGCAGCAGCAGCACCAGCAGCAGTTGGACATGCTATCGAGCACTGTGATTGCCAGCCAGCTACAAAATCTCCACAATCTGGCCATAGTCCAGCAGACCCTGGCCACCAGACAGCAGCAGCAGCAGCAATTGCAACAGATGCCGCCGCAGCAACTGTCGCAGGAGGATCTGCAGGCGCATGCTAATGTTATTATGCGAAATGCTGTGATGAAGCGCAAGTTGGAGGAACAGACCTCCAAACTGATCAATGCCAGTGCTAAGACAACTCAACAGCCGCCGCAGCAGTCGCGTGGACAGCAGCGTCATGGTCGACCGGATGCCTCCTCGAATGCGCTGTTGCAAGCTCTGATCTCTGGCGCTAACAACAACAACCAGGCTGTGGGCCATCTCATGACAGGGCAGCACACCAACCACCGACGCGTCGCCAATGATGGAAACTTGCGTTTCACCGAAAATCAGAACTACCAAGCCGCTGATGCCAGTCAACCTCACTTTGCCACGCAGTTCAAACCGCATTATCAGCAACAAGTCGTCCAGCAGCCACAACAAGTACTATCGCAGCATTCGCACATTCGCCGCCAGGATAGCAACTCCCAGATGCAGGCTCAACAACCAACCATTGCGATGATGCCCAGCGGTCGAGGTAAGTGGGATTTTGCAGTGGGAATAGCCCCAAGGGACATGATACGCCATTATCTTTACTAGAATGATCCAAGAGCTGTTGTTGAGATGACTCAAGTAGTCCCTTAGGTCAGTTGGCTTCAATTAGCTTCCATATTCCCTTTGCCAGCACGAGTATATTTATCTCCGGGTTGAGTCAGGAGTCGTGATTCTCGAAAGCAGAGCAAATATGCACTTTATGAGCACTTTCACGTATTATTTATAAACTGGTTTTCGATTACAAACATTGCACACCGTGTTTGCACGTCACAACTGCATACAAACAGTCGGGGTAAGCTTCAAGATGTTGTTTCTGGATATCATATAAGCCCAAGGATATATATCCAAAGATTCCGTAGGTATGATGGTACAATGCAAGACAGTTCCTGGTCCAAAGTTTAGACTCTCTTGGCGTAGAACTTCTCAGTTCCCTGACTCATACGTTGTATTTGTGGCTGAAAGTGTGCGCTCCACCCATTGGATATCGTTAATGTTACGTACGTGGGACATTCCCAAAGTCTCTAAAGGTATTTGCATCTCTCGGAGGAGGCATAACTGTGTGTACACAATAAATAAACTATAGACAGTACCAGAGAGCACCTAAGTTTATCAGCCAATGGAGTGGAGTACGAGTCCCCCGATGAGGGGTAATCGGGTCTCACACGCACGATTATTATTATAAAATGCAGGTCAAGATCAGCGGCAATCAACGAACAAAAAAAAAAAAAAAAAAAAGTTAGATGAGGGACCCCATTATTCCCTTCCAAGATTAAAACCAGATCGGGAATATATATACTTTCGTCTCTAATTTTTATTGCATATTATTTATAAGTTCACTGCATGACGGGACTGTGGACTTTGCCGGCAAACATTATATTGCCGGTGGACTCCTCCTCGATAAAGAACACAAACGGACGATTCACGTTGAACTCCTCGATGGTGGTGCTGCCGCCGAACTTGTTCTCGATCTCCACGACGGTGGCAGCGTAGGCTTCAGTACCCTTTTCGTTTACCACGATGCCGGCCTTCTGGAGGATATCAGTGACCTTGACATTTCCAGCAACGTCAGCGCCGCGAGTTAATCCCGGCAAGGATGCAGTATTCTCGAAGATCTCACGCACACCCAGGCTGCGCAGTGTCTCCTTTAGATTCTGCTGGAATTCAAAGTGGAATTTGGGCAGGGTCACCTTCACCTTGACCTCCTCCATGGCCCACTGGGCGCCCTTCAGCTCGTCGTTCTCCAGGGTTTGGGCCAGCTCGTGAATACCATCGATGGTATACGGGAGCAGCACGAACATAGAGTTCTTTCCCTTATAGGGGAGGCGCAGGATTTGTGCCCGCAGCTTCTCCGAGTTGGTGTAGTAGAAGAAGTCCGTCTGCTCCATGTATTCCGCCCGCGACTGCGAGTCCTTGGTCCGGAAAAAGGGTCCCTGGAAGGTGGAGGCGAACTGTCTCCGCCACAGGCCGTTGAAGTAGATCAGATTGGTGAGCAGCATCACGCTGCTTTGGACGCTGTCCGGAGTAACAATCTGCTGGAGCCGGCCCTCCGTTATGTTCTTGGCCCAGTTGTTGATGGTGGCGGCTGCCGCATCCGCTTTGGTGAAGTCCACAGCCTCCACCTCGCTGTCGTAGAAGTGCTTCAGGGTGGCGGTGAACTTTTGCTGCGTCTCGATGAAGCTGTCCGTGAAGAGCTTGGTGCGCACGCTGAGCGTGTCGTGGACCTGGTTCTCCTTCTTGAACGAGTTGAGGGTTTTGCGGTAGAACTCGCGCACATTGTTCTGCGACCGGATATCGGTCTGCGTGTTGGCCAGTTCCCGTTGGGTTTGGGTTCCGGCACCGGCGGCCTCGGCCAGCAGAGCCAGCACCAACTTGACGGAGAACGGCGATAGGATGACATTCTTTCCAGCCGTTGAACCGTCTTGGAGCACGGTCTTGAGCAGATGCCACGAGAAGGGATCGTGTGAGTCGCTCCGGAATGGGACGAAGGTGTCGATGTCGTCATAGGATCCACCACCTTGCAGAGCTCCAGTACCAGTGCCGCTCAGGCTGGGCACCTTGTCCGTTCGGGTCTCAAAGACGCCCTGTGGCGTCGTTAGCGTCGTGGGTATGGAGTTGGCCTCGGTGGCTGCCAAAAATATGACCGCCACCAGCAGCCCAGCCAATTTTCTGCTTATCATTCCCATTGTTGCTTGCTTTGATCTTCTGGCGTTTGCTTCTCGTTTAGCTGCTTCTTCTTCTGCGTTGTCGCCGTCGTCGTCGTCGTCTCTGGGAGGCAGGCAAAACAACTGTTAAATAGATTCTTTGGAGCGGTGGAGCGGTGCGGTGGATCGGTCGGGCGGGAGGGCAGGGCGCAGGAGAGCGCCAGCAAGCGATAACCGTTTGACGCGCCGTTCCAACTGAGAGTGACTCAAGAGCCAAGCGGGCTGGCCATTTTAAAAACCAGCTTCAGTTTCAAAGCTGCCCTCAGTCGCTGTCTCCGGTTCTGCCGCAGTCGCGGCCGGCTTCGACGTGCTCTTGATGGGACTCCCATTTGGGGGCTTCATACACACATGCACATACAAACAAATACTTTCCTACTAACGTCACGGAATTCCTAAAAGAAATCTCTTCAAAGGAATAGAATTAAATTAACGGTTTTTTCTTTTAAGATTTTTTCCCATTTAACGACAGAGCACTGTAATGGGTTCCCTATCCTGTTTCTTTTTCCCCATTTCCCGTTAGTTTGTGTTTTTTGTTTTCCAAGAACCTGATATTGGTAGATTAGCATATAGTTTTTGACGTCATAGTTTTCCTTACAAAGTCTGCAAGTCACCCGGCACATCGATATCTAATTGCTTGTTTAATTAATAAATAATTCAAATTTAAATAAACCCCCCCAAACCCAACAGTGGGGCCAAGTGGTGGCAACCCTGCTGAAACAGTGTTGGTGAACCGAATTTTCGTGTCAGCTGTTTCCCCCAAAATCCCATCCATGCGTTGATGTAACAGTAACCGGCTGAGAAAATTTCGCATTTAATGTTAAATAAATAATTAAATTAAATCAACGACCGTGCCATGCAAATTCGTCGTCCTCGAGGTGTTACAGTTCCGCAGTTGATGGTGGTAACGGCTCTTGGGGTCCTGGGAGGAGTCTACATTTGGCAGCCACTAATTCTAAAGTACAAAAACGATAAGAAAACAGAAGGTGGTGATCCTGCAGGAACAGAAGCTACACCTCCGACAAAGTGGGATACCATTCAGCGACATTCTCGAGTTTCTTACTAACTGCTTTCTGTATTTTTCTCATTTTCCCCAGATGAGTTTCATTAATGGATTCAGGAAGTTTGCATCGACGACTGTCGGTCTGATGGCCATTGGCCTTGGATCCACTGCCCTAATCTACGGAGTAAATCGCATATTTATACAGCCCCATCAAAACCAGAAACGCCGGCTGCAAGCCGAAGCCTGTGCAGAGTACTTGTTTCATCAGGAGTTGCAGCATCAATCCGCCAAATCGAACTCTACTCGAAGCGAACAATGAGATGAGATGGAATTAACGTGATTTTACAAAAATCTTTTTTTTATATATCTAGCATAGCATATAGTAGTGTTTAGCAACCAAATTTCAAAGCAGTAACCATGGTGGAACGATGGAATTTTACTTTCATAAGTCCATGTTTGCATAAGCAGAGGAGAGGACCAATATTAATTTCGAGAACTTGGCATATTTTCTTATTTTCATCATACTGTAAAACGATTAGGTTAATATCCAATGAAATTTTTATGAAAGAAATATGAATTGATTAAATAAATTGAATAGCACGATTGGTTGAAATATAAATTACACATTTTCTATTGATTATTACACATTAAAGAACACAAAATAATCCTAACAGGTCACCGCATACCTTTAAACAGGCACAAAGAGCTACAATTTTCTTTGGACTTCTGAAGTTTCCGGAGTATGGCGTATTTCTTGTGTGTGGGAATGAAATTCCACAGGGAAAATGTCTCGTCAAGGCCACCTGTGGCTATATTGGTTCCATCTGGACTCCACATCAAAAACAACGTCCCGCGGCTTTGATGCGACAACAAGTCAACCACTCGATTCAACGAAGCAAGCACCAGGATTTCACACACCAGATTCATGTTATTATCTGAGAGATATGAGAGGTCATTAGAAAATATAGGTTTTAATGTGGATGTCATCAATCTTACCCTTTCGAATGATATTGACCAGCAACTCTCCCGTGATCTTGCTAAATGTAACGGCCTTAATAAAGATCCTGTCGTCCTTTCGTCTGTACGAAGCCACAAACTTTCTACTCGTCATGTTAAATATAAAAATAGAGGCAGGACGACGCTCAGCTAAGGGATATTCATTTCAATAAAGTTAAATAAATTTAAAAAAGGTAATCAAACTCTTACCAATTACCAAGTCCTCGCCGGTCCATGGATGCCAATCAAAAACCGCAGATCTACAGCCCAGCTTGAGCAGCCGTTTCTTTGAAAAGGCATCGAAGATGAAAATAGTTCCATTTGTATCACTGGAGGCAATGTACTTCCCGATTGGGTCAAACTTAATATTGGTAATGGGGTGACGGTGTTCGCGGATCTGCGTGGACTTTAGTTTGGGATAGGTGAGGACAATAATCACTCCGCAGTTGGTACCACAGAAGATCTCATCGCCGTTGGGAGACCACTCGATACAGCAAATGTGTCCCATGGACTTCATAAAGTATCTGCGAAAGGTAACCAAGAACTCCATGTCAGACATTATCTCCCAGAAGTCCAGTACTGATGAATTTCAAAGGAGTTAGTGGATGTCAACGAATGGGTTTTCGAAATCTGTACCTGGATAGCTGCCGTCCATGCAACCGATGGCCAAATGCTTGCCATCTGGAGAGTACTTGAGCGATGTCGGCGACTCCAGCTTGAAAACCATGGTCTTCTCGTCTAGGTTGCGCCACAGCATGATATCCTGGCTGGAGGAAATAGCCACTTGATCGGTAACAGACCAGTCCATCATATTGTTGTCGATGGGGTAGCAGATGCCGGGCATCTCGTGTGTGGCATTCTGGATGCTGTAGGGACGCGCACGTGGATCACAGGGCCAGTCGGAATCTATGGAACTGCTGGCACCCCCTTTTACCCTGGAACCCTGCAGGTTGTTGAACTGTAAAAGGCGGCGGTCCTGAATATTAAAAATGTGATTCATATTGGAAACGAAGCTGCTCTGCCGCCAGTAACTATCCGTCACCGTGACGCCCTATTCAAATAAGAGATATTGTATTGGTTAGGATATTGGCCAATCCAAACAATGATCCTTACCGTTTCCAGAATATCTCGCTCCTCTTGCTCTCCAATGTACTTTAGATTTAAATCCATATTCTCCCGGTCAAAGCGCTTGGGTATGAACCTTTCACCGTAGTAGGAATGCTCTGGGATTTGGCGATCACTCTGATAAAATCGAAATTATAAAAGTGTTCAGTTTCTATTAGTAGCCAAGGAGCAGGTGTACCTTAAAGACCGCCTCCTGTTGCCAGTTTTTGCGGCGCACCTTTGTGAAAGGGGTGAGGGACTTTTTGTCCATTTTGGAACGTTTATCGGGACTATAACAAACACTCATCTCGTCGAGAATTGATTTCGTTCTGCGATTCTTTCGCCATTTTATTGCAACGCTCACCCTGAGCACCGATATTGGAGCCTCGAGAGAATTAAAACAGTTATTGGGGCCCACAGTAATCATCGGATAAAAGGAAACTCTTAGTCTAGCACCACAATATGTGTGTAACATAATCTTTAATTTCTTAAGCTCTATTTTACATATAGAACATTTGTCTTAATTTTAAGGTTTCATAATGATGATAATGAATGAAATTTTATCTTAAAACATACTTTTTTCCTTGATCTGGCTAGGATGCATCAGTGGACTTTCGCAAGGGAGTTGTCCATAAGTTGCTGCAGGAAGGGCAGATATCCCGTTTCTGCAGGTACTTATGTATACATTCTCGATGGAACTGGATCTGGCAAGACGAACACCTGATGTCCCACATCACCAGACCCTTGCATAGCGTGCAATTCTTTATATGTTCCGAATAGTTCGAGCTCAAGTAGAAGCTGAGTTCGACGAGGCTGCGCGGCCCGAGGTAGAAGCTGTCGTCAATCTCCTGAAAATACCCCATATTGCACCACTTCTTCAGGAGTTGCTGCATGTGACCTTTATGCAATGACTTGCTGTGCATGTTTTCATTGTAGGCTGCGTTCCACGGGATGCAACAATCCTCTTGTGAGGCAATCCGGTCCAGCAACTTGGAAAAATACTGGCACTCCTCTGCGGTCAGTCCCGTGTTTACAACGGTGTCCGGCGTCGCATCGGTCTTGGAGTACACCAGGTACTCCTCACTCGCGATGTTGTACTTGACGAATACCAAAGACTGGCCAAGATTATTAATAGAGTCGTTTATTTCGCCAACAAACGCTTTGATTGCCTCCTTGCTTGTGGGCTGCCTGACTTTGTGCGTCTCACACAGCGGCGTCAGGATTTGGCTGATCATTTGGAAGGACAGATAGCTGTGATTCTTGCAAGCGCGGATGAAGCTGCGCTTGACTAAATCCATGGTGGCAGGATTGCAGGTTTACACCATTCCTTAAGAGGCAGAAGGTATTGCAATGTTTTTGCGCGCTTTCGTAGTTAGCTGTCGATATCGATAACATTTTCCCCATACCGATTATTTAGAGAGGGGTCTGCTTCGATAAGCTAAAAAAAGACCGCCATAATTCAAATATCATTCGTTTAATAAATTTTATTTTTCATGACTTAATAATTAACAGCACAACAAGTAATATCTTCAAAGAGCTTTGCTTTGATTTAAGTACAGCGTATGTATATAGAACGAATTTGCAGAGATACAAATTAAAATTATAATGGAATAAAAGGTTAGTTTGAGAATTTTAAGTACATCAATTTTAGCCTCCAAAACTATATATTTACACTAACTAGTTTTTGGTAAATCAGAGATAATCTTTTAGTAAAATTTTTCCAAAAATTATGGTTGATTATTGTATCCTTGCCTCCTATAACTTTTTGCCATAAAATCCTAAAAGTCTGATTCGCGTCGACACAGGACTTTGAACGTGCTCCAGAATCTCCATCTGAATTCAAAATTTTTATTTCACGCGAATATAATTAGGTTTGCATCACATTTAATGCAAATAAAAAAGAGAAAGAAAAATTCTGTAAGTATCTTCAATAAATATTTATATTTTTCATAAGTATATTTATTAACTATGGCGAAACTAATTTACATACATATATGCAGAGAAAAACAGTTTAAACAATATTGAAACAATGGACTTAATATTTATTTGTGTGATAAGGTATAGGTGATTCATATTGTGTGAGCTCGATGATTGGTAGCCAGTTTCAGCAAAGACCTAACTCAATTTTTAATTCGATCGGTATCAGTAAACGCTAATTTATTTATTTGTATAACTACAGTTCCAAATCACATTGTTTAAACAAGAAGAAACATAAGAGTAATAATCTAATTTGTACATTTTTCCATATTTTTCATTTCAAATGAGACCAATTAAAATAAATAACAAAAAAGTAAACTTAAGTATAAACGTTTCGATGCTCGTCTTCAACCTAAAATATAGAAATGAATAACATTAAAAAAAATAATAATTGACTTGGTGGTGTTTTAAAAAATAAGCGAAAATCATAGGAATGATAAATGAGGAAATAATCTGCATTTAAATAATTTGTACTTACATGGTTAGTCGCGTGTTAGTATCTAAGAAATAAGATTATGGAAATAAATACAAAAATTAAAATTGTACAATAGAAACGAAGATCTTAACAGCAGTGCGCTATAAGAAGCCATTGGTTAATCATTTCTTAGACTGACAGACAGGCTCTCTGGACTACGGTTATCATTATGTTTGGGTCTCCGTCTGTGCCACCATATTTAGTACATACAATATTTGTTTTACCAAGGAAAAGTAGACAAAAAACAAACAAAGGTTGGATATTAAAAATACTAAAGAAACTCTCTAAATATAAGATTGTTTTTTTTTAAATCGCCCGTTTAGTCCGGAGAAATCTTTTTACATGAAATTATTAGTAACCAGGCTGAGATCATTTTCAAGGTGATTGGCCGCATTTAATTGGATTGACTTTTGCGTTAGTAGGCATACCAATGAGTTATATAGATAGATAGTGTCAAGAGATGTTTTTGTATTTTGAGATGAATGCAGTTTCGTTGGGAGCAGAGGAATTGGCATTTGTTGGCATTGTTGGTTTCGTATTTCGTATTTTGTTGGTATTGTTAGAGCAACCAAAGTTAAATTGATAAATAGTCCACATGAGTTTGTTAGATGATTAGATTAATTGTTCGAAGGAAAGACAGAAAGAAAGATGTCGCAGAAATGATTAAATAAGTAAATTAATATCATCGCTGCCAGAGTTAGGTTTTGAGTATATAAATATATTTCGTAAAGCATGCATTAAATAGTAGTTAACAGTCAAATCAATATTACATAAGTGTTTCAATTTTAGGCTAGAATCGCTCGCTTGCCCTCGCACAACTTATACAAATAATTAACAATATTTAATATACATAACAATTCCGATATCATACACCCAATGTAATAGATAATAAAATGATTTCCATAAAAAATGAAAAACAAAAATCACGTTTTGGCCGAGATTAAAGTAATAACAATATGTCTACTTTGCCAAAGTATCTAAGGTGTGGTTTTTTTGACTATTTTTAAGTTTGGCATTGTTCTCGAGTGTTAATGGCCGGCTTGCTATGCCTAGATTAGTCTTTGGTTCTGGGTGGGGGTGCTTCATTCTTTCGGTTATTCAACATTTCGGTAGCTAGCAAGTAGATGGTGGTTATCGCCGGTGTAACGGATACTTACGCGACTAAGTGAGTTGCGCCGCCCCACACTTGCGCCTGTTCCTGATCCTGGCCCACCTGCCGGCCCCCCGTCCTGGCTAAGGCCATTGCCAGTGTCATTGTCTATGCATATATCGGAGTCCGAGTCGACACGCCGGAACTCGCTACCATCCTTTTGGTTGGTAGAATTTAGATTAATGTGGGCTAACTATAAAAAAGATCTTTGACTTACCTGTGTCAGTTGCTGCGTGGTGGTGAGCAGCCTGGCGATGGGATTGCAACAAACGGGCAGAGTCTCTAGGAGTGTGGGTCTCGAGTGGGTCAGCAGCGGTTTCATGTACCTGGCGGATCATAAATAATTTTTTGTCAGAGACGTATTTGCTTAGACTACCTTCATCTACTCACTTGGTGTCAAAGCTTCCCCAGATCCTGGCGAGAATTGCCTTTTCATGACTATTGCGGCGACGACCGCCACTAGTACCGCCCAAGCTTCCGTTTGGACCATCGATTGGCGTGTCCAAGTTGGACTCCGTGCCTCCCGAGATACGCAACTTGCCGCGTCCTCCGCCACCGCCCTCCACATCCTGCAAGTAGCCATCAGACTAACACAGAGTTCAATTAAATGGTATTAGCACTACTTCTGACAGGGTTTTTTGTACAAAAAATAAAGCTAATAAAAAGGCCTAACTAAAGTAAACATAATGGGGAATGAAACAGAAATAATATCTATAGAAATGCATTGAATGATCGTTTCCAAACCTACCGTCTGCGGATGTGAATTGTCCATTGAATTGTAAACCTTTTTAAGTGATGGTTTGATTTTGTGAATTGCGCAGAAGTGTATAAACAACAAAAATTAAAAGTTAAATTTAATTATTGGTGAGAGAGTTAAAAAATGTATTTTTTACAATTATATTCAAGCGAATATTAGAAAATTTCGGCAAGCTACACTTACACTTAACGAGATCTAATCTAATTTGATGGCCTACACTTTATAAACTCAAATGAGGGCATTTGTTTTCATATACTCACACTGTGCACTTGGTAATTATTTAATTGTTCAGTCTCATCGTCAACCCCAACACTGCAATTAAGATTTTCCAGCTATTAGGAATTGAGTTAAATTGAATGTTTAGTCACGAACTCACGGTATTTTCAACCAATTGAGCAGAAAATTCGCCGCTCCACCTTGTATAATGACCGTAAAGATAACAATCAGGGATGTTGCCGTCAACATGGTCTGTCGAGCATCAGACACTGTGTTGCGAATCGCCAGGGCAAAGGACATGGCGCCTCGTAAGCCTAAAATATATTATTTATAATTAGAAATCGATATACCATTTATCAGTTGATTTCCCTTACCAGCAAAGAAGAGCATGTGCTGGAAGTTTGTTGAGATTTGGGGTTTTCGCCTAATATTCAGCAGCCAGGATAAGGGATAAACGTTGACAGCGCGACCTATCGCGGCGCAGATCTACAAATTAAAGTCTTTAATTAATTTTTAAAAGAAATATCAAGATCAGAGAACTCACAAAAGCTGTTATAATGAATCCTGGATCAAAATGATGTTTTGGAAAGGTAAACATCGACACTCCAATGTAGGAAAAGATAAAGTTCTCTGCCAGGAAGTTCAGTAACTCAAATATTTGTTTTGTTCGCTGCCGGGAATCCTCCGAGAGATTGTTGTAGGTGTAATGGGCCTGACAGATGCCACAGAAGAGCACGGCCACCACTCCCGTCAGCTCCGTGGCCTCAGCTAGCAGGAAAGTGCTGTAGCTCATGAGGACGAATAGAGCAGACTCCAAGAGCGGGAAATCGCGTACCCGCGTAAACTTTGTCATGTGCGGTGGGAGTTAAGGGAACCATATACTTAGCTGTAACTTTAAAGATTATTTTAAATATATAAATGTTTGTTTAAAAAGGATATCAATGCTGTCAGACAGCCCATCGCAGCTCCAATCATCAGCGAAAGTAGGAAGATGGAGAAGAAATCGCTCAGAGACCGCAAAAACGCCGTCGTTTCGAACTCTCCAGAGTTGGAATAGTGTTCTCCATAGTTTTGAATAGCTCTGAATAAAGAATGGACATAAAAATTAGAAATACTTTTATAATTAAGAAAGTAATTCAATGCTTACCCGCTCAGAACTATAGCCACGGCATCGTTCAAGACAGATTCACCCAAAACCAGAGCGTATAGATTGACATCGACCTTCAGGTCACTGAAAATGGCCAAAATGGTAAGAGGGTCTGTGGGCGAAATCAGGGCTCCAAAGTAGAGGGTATCCAAGAACGTTAAACTGCTGCTTAGGTAATTGGGCATCAGCTTAGCACAGCCGTACATGAAGCCACCGATGAGGAAGGCCGACAGTGTGGTCCCCACAATGGCAAAGGTAAGAATGGCACCCAGATTTCGAAAGAAATATTTCTAAAATAAACCAGTATTATTAATAAAATGTTATCGAATCTTTTAACCAAAGCATCTTACTTTTTTTAGGCTATACCCCGCGTAGAAGATAATCGGGGGCAGTATGATATTGAAAAACACCTCCGGATCAAATGTCGCCTTCAGATCAATTTCATTCTCATCCTCATTGTAGACCTGCCCACGGAAAACATAAGCATATGTTTTAATGCTCATGCCCTCCGGGAGCTTGGTACTATTGGTCTGGTTAACTGGATACTAAAATAAGACACAAAAATATATTAATATTGGCATTGACATTAAGAGGACCCTTTGGGACTAACCTTAAACCAGAGAGTATCCGGTGGCAGCTTATCGCTGTACGTCGGAATGCCCTGGGGCTCAACCTGCATGTGGACAAGGGTGGTGGAGGTGCCGGCATAGCGTATTATGGCTCCCACAATCAGACCTGAAATTAAATAAGTAAATTAATTGAATTAGAGATTAATTGAATTATTTGTTGAGTTTAATCTCTCATAATATTTAATCAAAGCCTGACCTATCACAAATATGAGAGTAACTAATACTATGGGGCCAAGAAGTAGACCCTTATCAGTTCGGAAACAAGTGCTTAAGCGGTTTCTCTTATCGTAGTGCCGTTTCGTGCGGAATCTGAGTTTTGCGCCATATATTCATAAACAAAAAACCCGGCAGTAAAGGCCACTTGAAGGGATGATCAAATCGCGTCGTGAATAACAAAAAGCTTTCACCCCGCTCCCAGTTTGCATACTAAATAATAATTTCTCATTTACACCGACGACTGGGTGCCCGCCTAACCAGTTATATTGAATTGTTTCATTAGCTTTAATTAGTCGAAAGAAATCTTGTTGACTCGTCCAATATTACGAATGACCCTGGGTATTTGGATATCTAACTAGAAAAGTAGTCGTTGGATTCAGACGATCGAGAAGAGAATCGAAAACGGAAAACCCCAATGATAATGCATGGGTAAGCACGTCAAGGGCACGTGTCTAATATATATTTGTTTGCAAAAATAAAAGAGTTTGGTCTCTGTTGCGTGCCGGTTCGGTTCTATCCACGGTATGTACCCCTAAAACTGTTTATTGCATTACTTTTTAGCCTATCGCGGGTGTCGCTTAATGCCTCCCCAATTCCTCCCCAATGTCAATGGCGTGCACAAAAGCCTCATTTCGAATATATGTGACAACAAAGAGGTGGCAATGAGGGCGCTACGGTTACGGCTGCAGGTGCTGGGGTAACCTAGGTACAACTGGTAACCGATAACACTAGCCATTAGCATTGTTTTCTACATGAGTCAGTGTTATGGTGGACTTATACAGGATTTCTAATCAATATTGAAATTTAAATTTGAAGCTTAGGCCCTCTCTCTATGTTTCCATCATGAAAATCAATAAGCCATACCGTAAATTACGGCCAGTCCGGTCTCGTGCAGCCAGGATACTCGATGGTGCTTGAACAGCCATATGGTGAGAACCGTAAGGGCCAGCAGGAACACAAAGACGAGCAGATCGAGGCTTTGGATACGATGATTCAGAGTGGCCTTGGCGTCCAGTGCGATGTCAGTGTCCGTGGCGTAGCAGCCTGTCGTTAAAATACTCAGGATAATCCCCGCCAGAAGCACTGTCCTTTGCCAACGTCCACCCCAGGAGCCAGAATCAGGCTGATGGGTTGCTTTTATCCAGTGCCCCTTCGATGTCATCTCCTTTTCCGCATCCACTGTGTACGGGGACATTCTAGTTGATGTTTCTATTATTGCTTGCGCCCGCGGCCGAAAGCGAAATCGATTTTCGCGTTACGCCGTTCTACGCTTAATTGATTTCATGGGCCAGGAGGGGTGGGGTAGTACTGGGAGCGGGTCGGGCCGCGCTCCACCTATTCCAAATATTACTCGCAATACCGTTATGTAAAATATATATTAAAATATATTAGAAAAAGCTTGTCATTTTTGTGCACTTCACTCCGTAAAAAAGTCAGTTGAACCGTATGCCAATGCAGTGTGACCACACTCATGCAATAAAAAAATGCCAGGCTAACAGTTGCTTTTAAGCTTTAAGAAATTATGTAACCTGAACAAGTACACACTGGCCACCAAATGCCGCTACAAAAAAACATTTTAAGTTCTCTCCTTGCAAGGACTGCGGCATGGACACGGCATCCCACCTCAAGTTTCCTGGTCCAGCGAACCTACTCCTCCCAACCAGTGGATCTGAGTTTTGATCTGTATTCACATGATAACCCCACCAAGCTGCCACTGGTCACCCTGCACGGGCTCTTCGGCTCCAAGCAGAACTGGCGCGGAATAAGTCGTGCTCTGTCGAAAACGAATCCCCGAAATATCTATGCCATAGATGCCCGCAACCACGGCGAGAGCCCTCACACTGAGGAGCACAACTCGTCGAGCATGAGCGCGGATGTGCGACATTTTCTGGAGCAACGGGGACAACCCATGGCTGCTTGTTTGGGCCACAGCATGGGCGGCCGGACCATGATGTACTTCGCTCGAGAGAACCCGACGATGGTGGAACGATTGATTGTGGTGGACATATCACCGATTGGCCTGCCGCGTTCCACAGCCCAAATGAAGCTCATCTTTGATGCGATGCTCAGCATGAATATTCCAAACACCTTGTCCATGTCCGAGGGCCGAAAGTTGGCGAAGAATCTACTGAAAGATCTTGACAATGAAACCGTCGACTTTATCATGCTTAATCTACGGAAAAATTCGGAAACTGGCGAGTTCTCTTGGGCCTGTAACGCTCAGGTGCTTAGTAGATTTACATCCCGCATCGACGAGTATCGGAATAAGTCGGACCTACTGCCACCGTACACAGGACCCACTACTTTCATTTGCGGATCGAGATCGCCTTACATGAAGGAAGATCACTGGCCACAAATTCTAGAAATATTCCCCAACGCCGAGATTCATTGGCTGGATTCCGGACATCTGGTTCACTTTGAGCGCCCGCAGGAGTTTCTCTCGATAGTCACCGAGTTCCTCAACAGATCGTAGAGCAACGGAAGCATAAAATTATTTGTTTTAAAACCACATTCATAAATAAATTATGTTGTTACATATATTGTGTCATATTACCAAAGAGACATGTCTACAAACATTTGACACATTTTTTAATTTATGAAACATGAAATTACTTTCGAAATAAACACCAAAATTTTCGAAATGAGTGTCAGGAGCGCGATGTCCCTTCGGCGGTTGTGTCCACAGCTGGGAGCCCTTCGCCGGAACAGTATGCAGACCCTAAAATATGACCACAGTTCGGGGACCTTGGAGGATGGTAACTCATGAAAATCATTCCATTCATTCAATCTCACTAATCCCAAGTCTAAGAACAGTGAAGCAGATGATACAGGACCAGCTAGGAGTTGAGCCGGGCTATCACACTGTTCCAAAGTGTAGAGAGGGCCTTTTGAAGTATCACCCGAAGCCGGAAGAATTGCCCGAACGCTCCATGAAGGATTCTTTCACATCAGCCACTCTACTCCTGGGATCAGATCCGCTAGTTCGCGAACGCTTCGTTCAGGTTACGGGATATGTGAGAATAGGCAGGATAATGGAGGAACTGGACGTATTTGCTGGTAATAACTGAACGTAGTCTTTTTTTTATTCTACGCATAACATATATACTTCATAGTCTGGATCTGTCATCGTCATATCCATTTGCCCAATTTGCCGAAGGGTATTCCTCTTCCGTATACGTTCCTGACCCTTTTGGTGGATCAGGCCAAGTTCCTACAATCTCAATTCGACACAAATGTGGATGTGGATCTTTCAGGGCATGTTTCCTATACTGGTCGCAGCTCCATCGAGATTACCATGTATGTGCGGCAAAGTGGGAAGCTCTTATCGAAGGCTATTTTCGTAATGGTGGCCCGCAACGCTGTGAACAGTGCTCCGGCTCCAATCAATAAACTGGTGCCCGGAAACGAGCAGGAGGAGCGCATCCACAAGGAGGCCTTAGAACGGCACAACAAGCGTCAGAAGATCCGGGCACAACCAGAGTCGAAGGTGCCGCCATCCGAAGAGGAGGTTAAAATCCTGTATAATATTTTTCAGCGCACGAGGAGCAGCAAGGGAGATTTGGAGGCACCAGAGCTCCCGGAGGACTGTCGCTGGATGTCGGATACGCGGCGGGATTGCACGATTCATCCGTTTCCTGAGAACAGAAACAACTCGAACACCATCGGTGGCGGCTTCACCATTCGCCGGGCCTTGGAGACTAGTTTCATTGCGGCCAGTCTCTTCTGCGGCGCACCCGCCATGGTTAGCTTCTTATCGGACGTCACGTTCGAACGCCCGATTCGCGTCAACAGCTTTATAACGATGTCTGCTTATGTGGTCTATACCCACGAAAACTATCTCCAAACGATGGTCACGGTGACGGCCATCGATGCCGAGACCGGCACCAGAATTCACTGCAACGCCCTGTACCTCACCTATGTCTGTGCCAACAAAATGAAAGAGGTGATGCCCAAGAGCTACCACGAGGGCTTGTGGAACCTAAGAGGGCGGCGTCAATTTCGGCGCTTTATTAAATCAGCGAAACTGGAAGATTACGACAAGGATAGCCCGTCCTCAGATGACACAAAACCTGATACGAAACCGTGTAAATGTGGTGATGGGAAGAAATAAAATTTTGGATGAATTGGAGTCGTGGATAGTCCTAGGGAGGTGAAGTCGATAGGGTATATTCATATACTAGACACTTTTATTCGACCGAAAGAAAAAAACAATTAGGAATAAATTGTAACACCACTATCTGTACACTTATTGGACATACACGAAACAATGTATGATTGGAATTCTTATCGAGAATAATATTGACTATAGCCTGATCCGTTATCCCATGGAGCCACCTCTTTGGTTGGACAATGCATCCTCAACTCGAGCCCGAGCTGGCTGCATTTCGTTTTCCCTCGATCCACTGTTCGATCTCTCGCTTGAGGGCCTCGTTGGACTTCACCTTGTCCATGGTGAGTGGCTCGCGATTGAACGGATCTGTTTGGTCGCTCAGCAGATGTCGGGCAATAGTGGAACGATCTACGGTGACCTTCGAGCTGGGCAGCACCACGGGATCCGTCATCAGGGTGGAAATGATTGGGTCCAAATACTCATCCGGCGCATCGGCCAGCAGCTCCTGCTCCTCCTTGTACTGGGCGCCCATGCGCTTCACCTTGGCAGCGAACTCGGACATGTCGCCTATCAACTGCCCGCCTCCGATACGAATCAGAATGTTTTCGGCGTAACTAAATAGCTGGTCACTGTAGGATCGTCCATCCTGGGAAACGGCCAGGCAGAAGCTGTCGTTCTTGCTCAGGTTGATGTAAATATGGGAGATCTCGAGCACAGTCTGGGCCGGATCGAATTCAAACTCCTTTTTGTCCTTCACGTTGAAGCGCTCCTTTCTTGGTCCAACCAGATGCAACAGGAAGTAGTTCAACATGGCGGCAATCCGGTCCACCATACTGTTGTGACAGAAGATGCTCTTTATTTCCGTCGTCAATAGCTTGAGGGTGTTGATTGTGTCCCTTCCCAGGATGTTGTCGAAGCGCGCCAGCATGCCTAGGTGATGCAAGTTGGTCAACTGTTGTTGGCGCTCGTTGTGCGACAAGCTGTTCCATTCGCCGTTATCCTGGGCTTGCTGAAGCTGCTTAATCTGCTCCAGATTAGACAGTGACTCGTCCAATACAAATATGGCATCGTTGATCAGCAGATTAATGAATCGCAAAAAGATCGGGGGCTCAATGGCCTCAATATTTTGTTCAGCTTCAACTGCCAGGTCGCGGAAGCACTGAACGTGCTCCTTTTTTGTCCAAAGGAACTCAATGATCGCGTACATCGGGCGGCGATAGTTGAACTTCTGTTCGAATTGCACTGATTGGCCGGTCATCTCGATGCTGACGAAAACATTGAGCAAACTGCGAACCACTTTCAAGCGATCTGGATGATTGTCAAAGACGTGGGTAATAAATCTCTGTCGATTACTTCCCATCACCTGCGTCGGCAGCAGAAACTCTAGGGCCTCGGCGAGCTTGGCTCGCAAATGGGGATTCTTCACAAGGCCCGAGCTTCCCATAAACAACAGAATCATCTTAAATATGGCGTCGTGTGACGAGGCGTATATGTTAAGGTATTGGTCAGCGTTCAAGCGGCGGCAGAAGTTCAAGTAAGCTGCAATATTGTCAATGATGATTTCTGGTATGGACTGCATGTATGGAGCCACAAAAGGGGGTGTGTCTGACAGCAGCTCCAAGTTCCGCAACACCTGAGGGGAGAAATCCTTCTTGTCCAGACACTGCTCAAAGTTCTCTCTGGGTAGCATGGCCACTTCTGTCAACCAGATGGCGGAGGCTTCGAAAAACTTGACCATAGCGGTGTCGTTCGTGGGTTCCGATAGCGTATTTTTAATGCACAGCACCTGTTGCATTTGTTCCATCATCATTCGCATCAGGTTTTTAGTTAGCTCGTTGTTGGGATCACTGTTCACCACCTCCCCGTAGGCTGTCTGAGTGTTCTGCAGTTCGCGCATCACGCGATTCATACGTTCGATGCAAGGCCGATTGGCCAGTTGGAAACACTTGTGGGTCATGTAAAAGATTTCCGTCACGAAATTATACTTTTCGGCTGTTAAACGCTCTGATCCTTCTTCAGCGGGTAAGAGGCAGGTTTCCTCGTGGGCCTTTAATAGGCTAACACCCTTAGCCGCACGATCCTTGTCGGCCACTGCACAGTATGTAGGATCAACGAGAAGAACCTGTGAAAAATGAGAGTAATTTAGATCCAATCGGAATCCAATAGGAAACCCACCTTAAATGTTGGTTCGCAGAGAGGGGCACATAGACGAGTCAGAACGGAACAGAGATTATTCATAAAAGAGTCACTGGCCGAGCTGTGGACCGTCTGATCCAGGTTTAAATTAATGCTACTCCACAGATGACCACGGGATAGATTCGCGTCCAGACAATTGGCCAGCCACTGAAGCGTCTTCTTTTTAGTTTCGGGAGAAAGGACCAAAAGCTGCTTAACCAGCAGAAATATAGATTTCTGGTGATTGGATAGCAGAGTCCAGAGTGCCGGATCGGTATGGTTTAGCGAAAGATCTTTAAAGAACTCAAACTTTCCATTTTGAGTTTTCGGCAGAATCGAGATGCACAACAGACTGCCCAGTAGCGTGTCCATGTAGTCGCCACCTGAAGTAAATCAAGGAAGTAATACCAAAAAATCTTTCAATGGTACCACAAACCTTTCGCCTTGGGATTGGGTGTGGTGTAGTCAATCAGCAACTCTCCCAGGATCGCAGCTCGCTTGTCACGCACAAAGAAGCCTAAGATCCAAAATATGTTGTTTCGGAGCGTGATCAAGTTCTCCTTGACGATTTGTTTCTGCAGCTCGGTAAGCATGGGATAAAATATGGCCTTCAAGGCGCCTAGCGCCTCCATGCTCTCGTCCTCCTCCATCACCTTGCAAGTGACACGAACCAGAAACTCTTGGGTGGTGGTGTCGTGCTCATCGGCCTTCTCGAACAGTTCCATCCATTGGGCTGCAAAGTTCTGGGGAGCAAACAAGTCCGGTTGACGCATGCAGGTGCTGGCGTTGTTCAGAATCAATGCCAGCAACTTTGAGCAATCAGCTTTCTTCTCTGCCTGTATGCGCTCGGCTCTTGAAAAAGCACCTTGCAAATAGTGTATGGCCCGCGACTCTAAGGCATCCGGGCTGGCGTTCCCAGAAATCTGTGTTGTATCGGTCAGCATGAGACGTTCGAAGAGGGCGTGGGCAAGAAGGTCCTCGGACAGGGTTTCGTCACTGGTGTCAACCACCACATCAGCAAGGGAAAGCAGACGTTTGTTGGCAGCCCCAGCCTTGTCCAGCGTAAACAGGAGCACCTCCTCGACAAGTTTATGGGCCACGCAATCGGACTTTGGGGCCTCCTGGAGAAGGGCCGCGAATGGGTTCTCCCCGGCGCTCGACATCTTCTCTGAGTTCTCGTTTGGTGGTGCGTGGACGTAGCCCGATAGTGTTTACTTGATTTCACATATAATGCAGACGTTTAAAAAATATATAAAAATATTATCGGAGCTGAATTAATTTTTTCCTGCCCCCGAAAACTTGAGACCCAGATGTTTGTGTTGCCGGACTTCCAAAAATATGTTGCTATGTTAGCTTGTGACAGCTGTTTACCGACAGGTGTGGCAGCTCCGTTCGATATTTGAAGATACTTGGGAGCTTTCCAATTTTTGCAAAAATCCCAATAAACCTCAAATAAACCTTTGATGCATAAATCTGCATCAAAACCCTGTAACAAAATTTTTTATCGAAATTTTTTCAATTTTTGTAGGGGTACCCTTGCAAAAACTACAAAACCCGGATTTTCTCTTTTGGCCCAGAACCATGTCTGTATCTTTTTCAATTTTCATCCGATCCTCAAACTGAATACCTTAATCGATTTGTGGATCAATTCCGCATAAATCTGCATCAAAACCCTGGAACAAAATTTTTGATCGATATTTTTTCAATTTTTGTAGAGGTACCCTTGCAAAAACTACAAAATCCGGATTTTCACTTTTGGCCCAGAACCATGTCTGTATCCATGTCTGTGTCTGTACCAATTTTCATCCGATCCTCAAACTGAATACCTTAATCGATTTGTGGATCCATTCCGCGTAAATCTGCATCAAAACCCTGGAACAAAATTTTTGATCGATATTTTTTCAATTTTTGTAGGGGTACCCTTGAAAAACCTCGAAACCCGGATTTTCTCTTTTGGCCCAGAACCATGTCTGTATCTTTGCCAATTTTTATCCGATCCTTAAACGGAATACCTTAATCGATTTGTGGATCAATTCCGCATAAATCTGCATCAAAACCCTGTAACAAAATTTTTTATCGAAATTTTTTCAATTTTTGTAGGGGTACCCTTGCAAAAACCACAAAACCCGGATTTTCACTTTTGGGCCAGAACCATGTCTGTATCTTTTCCAATTTTCATTCGATTCTCAAACGGAATACCTTAATCGATTTGTGGATCAATTTCGCATAAATCTGCATCAAAACCCTGGACCAAAATTTTTGATTGAAATTTTTTCAATTTTTGTAGGGGTACCCTTGCAAAAACCACAAAACCCGGATTTTCACTTCTGGGCCAGAACCATGTCTGTATCTTTGCCAATTTTCATTCGATTCTCAAACGGAATACCTTAATCGATTTGTGGATCAATTCCGCATAAATCTGCATCAAAACCCTGGACCAAAATTTTTGATCCAAATTTTTTCAATTTTTGTAGGGATACCCTTGCAAAAAAACGGATTTTCACTTTTGGGCCAGAGCCGTGTCTGTATCTTTTCCAATTTTCATCCGATCCTCAAACGGAATACCTTAATCGCTTTGTGGATCGATTCCGCATAAATCTGCATCAAAACCCTGGAACAAAATTTTTCATCGAAATTTTTTCAATTTTTCTTGGGGTACCCTTGCAAAAACCACAAAACCCGAATTTTCTTTTTTGGCCCAGAACCATGTCTGTATCTTTTCAAATTTTCATCCGATCCTCAAACGGAATACCTTAATCGATTTGTGGATCAATTCCGCATAAATCTGCATCAAAACCCTGGAACCAAATTTTTGATCGAATTTTTTCAATTTTTGTAGGGGTACCCTTGCAAAAACCACAAAACCCGGATTTTCTCTTTTGGCCCAGAACCATGTCTGTATCTTTGCCAATTTTCATCCGATCCTCAAACGGAATACCTTAATCGATTTGTGGATCAATTCCGCATAAATCTGCATCAAAACCCTGGAACAAAATTTTTTATCGAAATTTTTTCAATTTTTGTAGGGGTACCCTTGCAAAAACCACAAAACCCGAATTTTCTTTTTTGGCCCAGAACCATGTCTGTATCTTTTCCAATTTTCATCCGATCCTCAAACGGAATTTGAGGAACAAAATTTTTTATCGAAATTTTTTCAATTTTTGTAGGGGTACCCTTGCAAAAACTACAAAACCCGGATTTTCACTTTTGGCCCAGAACCATGTCTGTATCTTTTCCAATTTTCATCCGATCCTCAAACTGAATACCTTGATGGATTTGTGGATCAATTCCGCATAAATCTGCATCAAAACCCTGGAACAAAATTTTTGATCGAAATTTTTTGCATCAAAACCATGTCTGGAACTTCAAATTTTCCGATCCTCAAACGGAATATCTTAATCGATTTGTGGATAATTCCACTAAATCTCGGAAATAAAATCAAAACCCTGGACCATTTTGTCTACAAATCATAGATCCACTTACAGATTTAAAAAACCAGTTTTTAAATACATTCACGACACTTTTAGAAAACGTAGTTTTATCTTGAAACGGAAACCTCTCTTTTTATATTTTCCAATTTGTTTATTGGCTTTGAACTTGTAGAATTAGCTGTCATAAAACAAGGAGCGTTATCAGAGAGCAGTTTTTTTAAATACTCGATTAAATGCACTCGATTAACCTTCTTAATCAATAGGATTACGCAGCTCATATCTGGGCCAGCAAAAGCCGCAGCCGCATGCACTCGAAAAATAAATCCAAAGCCAATTAAGACAATCCATCCAATCCGACCCATAATGAATTGTATAAAAATGAATACTGCAAGCGCCGGCCGCTGACGTAGCCAGGCACCACCCACCGGCTCCCAAGCCCCCCACCTCCCGCCCTCCAGTCAACGGCGGCAACGTTTCCAATAAATGTCTTCGTGTACTGTTAAATCGGCTTATGATCAGGGAAGGAAAAGCAAGCACATCGGAGTTCGTTGCTTTCACATGGTACTCGTATAATCGCATATCACTTGGGCAGTCGACGAGGCATTTTCAAACGGTAAACATATATGCCCGCAGTTCCATTTATTATTAGCGAAATAAGTGGGAAAAGCCAAACCGCAGCTGGAGCGTACACTTGGATATTGATTAACGATTTTTTCAGCAGTTTAAATACAAAAAAAACAACGATTGCCATACGGATTAGTATTTTTTAAAAGCCATGAGCTTGGTGCGCCCTCTGAATCCGGTTCTGCAGGCCATTGCCGGCAAGGAGCTTAATGAAGTCCCCCATCGGGTACCACAGGACATTGAGGCTCTGCGGGAATGGGTACTCAAGCAGCCACATCTACGGGCCTGTACTGAAGACCAGTTCCTACTCGCCTTCCTCCGTGGCACAAAATTTAGCTTGGAGCGGGCCAAGGAGAAGTTTGATAGATTCTACACGCTACAGTCTTCTATTCCCGAAGTCTTTAACGAACGACGATTGGCCACCGACCCCCAAGTTTTGGATATCATAAGAATGGGGTAAGTTAACTTACACAGTATTTAAAACTTTAAAATCATAATATTTTTAATGTATTTCAGAGTTATTTTACGACTGCCATTGGACCCAAACGACCCGGGTCCATGTGTAACCATTATTCGAGCTGGATCGTATGATACGAGCAAATACAAATTCCAGGACATTATTCGAGTGGGTTCCATGTTCGGAGAGATCATGATGTTCGAGGACGAGAACGCCACAGTCAGCGGCTATGTGGAGATAATGGACATGGCTGGAGTGACAGGTGCGCATCTCTTTGCTCTCCAGCCGCAGTTACTAAGCAAGTTCTCAGCCTATGCGGACGAGGCGATGCCGACACGCCAGAAAGGCATTCACTTTATTAACGTCCCAGCGGCCTTTGAAACAGGCTTTAATTCGTTGAGATCCTTTTTTCCCGCCAAAATCAAGAGCAGGGTAAGCCATCCATTGATTCCTATTTCTAAATCCACATTAAGCTATTGTTACTCTTCAGATCTCTGTCAGTTCTGATCCGGAGGCCATATCCCAGTTGGTGGGTCTTGAATGCTTGCCAAAGGAATACGGTGGATCTGCCGGAACCATGCAGGATATCAGCGAAGCGATGGAGGTTAAGCTATCTAGTTACGCCCCATACTTCCAGGACTCCCAAAGCTTCGGCACGGATGAGAAGTTGAGGGACATCGGAGCTCGTGTGCATCAAGATCATCGATCATCATTTGGGGCTGTGGGCTCCTTTCGTAAACTGGAAATCGACTAAATCCACTGCAGGGGATTTAGATTTCGAGTCTATTTAGATTAAAAATGTTATTTACCAACAAATGGTTTAATCTAATCTGTGACCAAGCTTCAGGAGGTTCGCAATGCCATTTAAATTGACCGTGAATTACCCTTTAAGGTTGCTAGGCGAATATGTGAATATTTTGTTTGTTTAAAATAAACTATAAGTAACAAGTACATTTTCAGGAACAAATCAGTTCTATTAGTCTGTTGAAATATCTATAAAATATCTGTTACCCTTGGGATGTCCGTCCGACTTTTTAAAATATTAAAACTTTAAAAAGTGTCGAAGTTGTTTTTATTGTTTGGTGCATAATGAACCAGGTATGGGTGTTTTTCAAGTTGATTGAGGTAGTCCTGGGCGCACTCTGTATGTTCATTCACATGCGTGGAGCAAGCTTGTGGCCCCAATACGTGCCACATGATGTCATATACTGCGCCGTTTTTCTTTCCTTCACGGCCCTAGCTGCCCTGGGGGCATTTCGCTTGTTAATCACTCAGAAATGTGTGCTGTCCGCACAACTGATACTAACTCTGAGTGCCATGATTGCACATTACTTCTGCGGCCTATTGGTGATGCGGGACATCGTAAATAGCCCCATTCTCAAGGCCCTAAACGACACCAGCGAATACATGGAGCATCCTGCTTTCGCCATATGCAAGCAGCAAAGTATCGCTGCCTTGGTCACGGGCACCATGTACCTAATGCACATGTTTCACGTCCTGGATCTGCTGATGCGCATGGAGCCCGGGGACTGGCGACGACAGGCGACGGGACTGTTCCAAATGTTCACCCTGGACGAGTTGGCAGGTCGCACCACCGGACTATTCGTCCTTTCTCAGCCGGTGGACGATTTCCTGTGTGACAGATGTGAATTCTACGACACGCTTGCCCACTCGCAGCCCATGCACTTCCGGCAAAACTACGAGGAGGAGACTCAGTTCATAAACCGCATGTGGTCCGTATTTGGAGAGGCGCGGAGGAAATTCTGTCTGACGGATACCTTCGATAATAGCGATGAAAGCTATATGTCAACGCCAACTATAACCAGCTCTGACTCCTTCGAACTACAGCTTTCCCGCGACGATTGGTCCATGGAGGACGAAGCCCTCCGATACCCAATCGACTGGCGGGGAGTTAGTGACTCCTCCAGCCTGTGGGCCCAGATCGAAGACAGAAGCAGTCAGGCTACCGCTAGCACCACCAGGTCCACCGCAGAAAGAAGCAATAATTGGGAACTTGATGACCAGAGAAAATCAGAGATCATGCTGGTTAACGAAGGAGCTACCAGAAAGAGTATCTGGGACGAGGAGGATAATTATGAAAAATCGAACATCTGGACGGTGAAGCGAAGTTCGACCAACCAGCCCTTAACCCCCGATAGCGAGTCGAGGGAAGAAAGCGACGAAGAATACTATGAGATGGAAAATGTCCAACTCGGATCAACCAAAAGAGATTCGGCATCCGAGACTGAAGCTCCGTTGGATCCTTTTGGTTTCGATAAAGATTCTCAGAATACACCGACAAATAACCCAACAAAAACACAAAAATCTGCTAAGTAATAAATGTAGATATTTATTTTTTAAATGTCGTATAATCTTAAATTTCTGTAATTTTTAAAATATGAAAATTTAATAAATTTTCAAACCAACAATTTTTGTAGCATTCTTTTGGGGTTTCCCCGTAAACGATAGTTGACATCGGACTATCGATAGTCATTGACAAAAAAAAAATAAACACAAACAAGTAAAGCTTTTTTTATGTTTTCATCACCTGGAGCAACAATCAAACTTTTAATCAAAATTATCAAAATTCGAGCTCCTTTTTTGACGCCGGTTAGCCAGATTTATTCAACATGACGAGTATAGTGAGTCTCAACGAGGACTGTTTGCTGTAAGTACTTCCCTTGCCTTTCTTTATAGGGTATAGGGTGATAACGTTTGAATTAGTCAAATTGTAGAGTTCCTTGATATCGAAGAACAACTGCAGTTGTGGCAGGCCACCGAGTCCACTTCCCGCCTCAATTCTGTGGTTGCATATGCCTGGCAGCGCCAAAGTAAACATTCTATTCACCGGGAAACATTCGACGATAGACCAGAACTACTCGAGGACTTTCTGCAAGCCATAAGGTCGTCAGTGGTGGAGCTAACATTGAACTACTTGCCCATGTCACAACTTGAACTGTGGAGGAAACATATATTTCCTAATATACGGGAATTGTACTACATGGGGGATGAAGACGGTGACGCAGACGTCGACTCTGAGGTCGAAATATTGCTGCACTGTTTTCCCCTGGTGGAATCCATTGGCCTGGGCGGAAATTGCTCTGGTCGGTACATCGACCAATTTAGAAATCTACGGCGACTGGACCTTCAACTGTGCTGGTTCTTGAGCACACAGTGCTTTGAGGATATCTGCAGAAACCTGCCGTTGCAGTCCCTGAACATCCAGTGGCGGCGGGCCGATGAGGACGCCTATGTACGAGCCATCTCTACTTTACACGACCTGGAGGAACTCGAACTGGAGATTGTCCATTTGGCACCGGAAAATATCCCCCAGCTTATAAACCTGCCAAAATTAAGAAAACTTCGCATTCACAACTTTGATCAGTTGGACGATCTTTTGTCGGAAATTGGCCGGTTGCGGGGACACGATGTGGGCCAGAACCATGTCTGTATCTTTTCCAATTTTCATCCGATCCTTAAACGGAATACCTTAATCGATTTGTGGATCGATTCCGCATAAATCTGAATGAAAACCCTGGAACAAAATTTTTGATCGACATTTTTTCAATTTTGTAGGGGTACCCTTGCAAAAACCACAAAACCCGAATTTTCACTTTTGGCCCAGAACCATGTCTGTATCTTTTCCAATTTTCATCCGATCCTCAAACGGAATACCTTAATCGATTTGTGGATCAATTCCGCATAAATCTGCATCAAAACCCTGGAACAAAATTTTTGATCGACATTTTTTCAATTTTTGTAGGGGTACCCTTGCAAAAACTACAAAATCCGGATTTTCACTTTTGGGCCAGAACCATGTCTGTATCTTTGCCAATTTTCATCCGATCCTCAAACGGAATACCTTAATCGATTTGTGGATCAATTCCGCATAAATCTGCATCAAAACCCTGGAACAAAATTTTTGATCGGCATTTTTTCAATTTTTGTAGGGGTACCCTTGCAAAAACCACAAAACCCGGATTTTCACTTTTGGGCCAGAACCATGTCTGTATCTTTGCCAATTTTCATCCGATCCGCAAACGGAATATCTTAATCGATTTGTGGATCAATTCCGCATAATTCTGCATCAAAACCCTGGAACAAAACAATTTTGATCGATATTTTTCTTTTACTTAAAATTAGTTTCCCTGAATAGAAAAAACTATACCCAAATCAAGATAGGAAAACTGAGAGGAGTTTTTTCATATCGGGAAAAACTTTTTCTGAATAGAACCCACTTCATAGATACACTTACAGATTTAAAAAAACATTTTTTAAATACACTAACGATACTTTTAGAAAGCATAGATTGATCTTGAAATGGAAACCTCTCTTTTTATATTTTCCAATTTGTTTATTGGCTTTGAACTTGTAGAATTAGCTGTCATAAAACATGGAGCGTTATCAGAGAGCAGTTTTTTTAAATACTCGATTAAATGCACTCGATTAACCTTCTTAATCAATAGGATTACGCAGCTCATATCTGGGCCAGCAAAAACCGCAGCCGCATGCACTCGAAAAATAAAACCAAAGCCAATTAAGACAATCCATCCAATCCGACCCATAATGAATTGAATAAAAATGAATACTGCAAGCGCCGGCCGCTGACGTAGCCAGGCACCACCCACCGGCTCCCAAGCCCCCAACCTGCCGCCCCCCAACGTCAACGGCGGCAACGTTTCCAATAAATGTCTTCGTGTACTGTTAAATCGGCTTATGATCAGGGAAGGAAAAGCAAGCACATCGGAGTTCGTTGCTTTCACATGGTACTCATATAATCGCATATCACTTGGGCAGTCGACGAGGCATTTTCAAACGGTAAACATATATGCCCGCAGTTCCATTTCTTATTAGCGAAATAAGTGGGAAAAGCCAAACCGCAGCTGGAGCGTACACTTGGATATTGATTAACGATTTTTTCAGCAGTTTAAATACAAAAAAAAACAACGATTGCCCTACGGATTAGTATTTTTTAAAAGCTATGAGCTTGGTGCGCCCTCTGAATCCGGTTCTGCAGGCCATTGCCTGCAAGGAGCTTAATGAAGTCCCCCATCGGGTACCACAGGACATTGAGGCACTGCGGGAATGGGTACTCAAGCAGCCACATCTACGGGCCTGTACTGAAGACCAGTTCCTACTCGCCTTCCTCCGTGGCACAAAATTTAGCTTGGAGCGGGCCAAGGAGAAGTTTGATAGATTCTACACGCTACAGTCTTCTATTCCCGAAGTCTTTAACGAACGACGATTGGCCACCGACCCCCAAGTTTTGGATATCATAAGAATGGGGTTAGTTAACTTACACAGTACTTAAAACTTTAAAATCATTATATTTAATGTATTTCAGAGTTATTTTACGACTGCCATTAGACCCAAACGACCCGGGTCCATGTGTAACCATTATTCGAGCTGGATCGTATGATACGGGCAAATACAAGTTCCAGGACATTATTCGAGTGGGTTCCATGTTCGGAGAGATCATGATGTTCGAGGACGAGAACGCCACAGTCAGCGGCTATGTGGAGATAATGGACATGGCTGGAGTGACAGGAGCGCATCTCTTTGCTCTCCAGCCGCAGTTACTAAGCAAGTTCTCAGCCTATGCGGACGAGGCGATGCCGACACGCCAGAAGGGCATTCACTTTATTAACGTCCCACCGGCCTTTGAAACAGGCTTTCAATTCGTTGAAATCCTTTTTTCCCGCCAAAATCAAGAGCAGGGTAAGCCATCCATCGATTTCTATTCCTAAATCCACATTAAGCTATTGTTACTCTTCAGATCTCTGTCAGTTCTGATCCGGAGGCCATATCCCAGTTGGTGGGTCGTGAATGCTTGCCAAAGGAATACGGCGGATCTGCCGGAACCATGCAGGATATCAGCGAAGCGATGGAGGTTAAGCTATCTAGCTACGCCCCATACTTCCAGGATTCCCAAAACTTCGGCACGGATGAGAAGTTGCGGGACATCGGAGCTCGTGTCCATCAAGATCATCGGTCATCATTTGGGGCTGTGGGCTCCTTTCGTAAACTGGAAATTGACTAAATCCACTGCAGGGGATTTAGATTACAAGTCTATTTAGATTAAAAATGTTATTTACCAACAAATGGTTTAATCTAATCTGTGACCAAGCTTCAGGAGGTTCGCAATGCCATTTAAATTGACCGTGAATTACCCTTTAGGGTTGCTAGGCGAATATGTGAATATTTTGTTTGTTTAAAATAAACTATAAGTAACAAGTACATTTGCAGGAACAAATCAGTTCTATTAGTCTGTTGAAATATCTATAAAATATCTGTTACCCTTGGGATGTCCGTCCGACTGTCTAAAAAATTAAAACTTTAAAAAGTGTCCAAGTGGTTTTTATTGTTTGGTGCATAATGAACCAGGTATGGGTGTTTTTCAAGTTGATTGAGGTAGTCCTGGGCGCACTCTGTATGTTCATTCACATGCGTGGAGCAAGCTTGTGGCCCCAATACGTGCCACATGATGTCATATACTGCGCCGTTTTTCTTTCCTTCACGGCCCTAGCTGCCCTGGGGGCATTTCGCTTGTTAATCACTCAGAAATGTGTACTGTCCGCACAACTGATACTAACTCTGAGTGCCATGATTGCACATTACTTCTGCGGCCTATTGGTGATGCGGGACATCGTAAATAGCCCCATCCTCAAGGCCCTAAACGACACCAGTGAATACATGGACCATCCTGCTTTCGCAATATGCAAGCAGCAAAGTATCGCTGCCTTGGTCACGGGCACCATGTACCTAATGCACATGTTTCATGTCCTGGATCTGCTGATGCGCATGGAGCCCGGGGACTGGCGACGACAGGCGACGGGACTGTTCCAAATGTTCACCCTGGACGAGTTGGCAGGTCGCACCACCGGACTATTCGTCCTTTCTCAGCCGGTGGACGATTTCCTGTGTGACAGATGTGAATTCTACGACACGCTTGCCCACTCGCAGCCCATGCACTTCCGGCAAAACTACGAGGAGGAGACTCAGTTCATAAACCGCATGTGGTCCGTATTTGGAGAGGCGCGGAGGAAATTCTGTCTGACGGATACCTTCGATAATAGCGATGAAAGCTATATGTCAACGCCAACTATAACCAGCTCTGACTCCTTTGAACTACAGCTTTCCCGCGACGATTGGTCCATGGAGGACGAAGCCCTCCGATACCCAATCGACTGGCGGGGAGTTAGTGACTCCTCCAGCCTGTGGGCCCAGATCGAAGACAGAAGCAGTCAGGCTACCGCTAGCACCACCAGGTCCACCGCAGAAAGAAGCAATAATTGGGAACTTGATGACCAGAGAAAATCAGAGATCATGCTGGTTAACGAAGGAGCTACCAGAAGGAGTATCTGGGACGAGGAGGATAATTATGAAAAATCGAACATCTGGACGGTGAAGCAAAGTTCGACCAATCGGCCCTCAACCCCCGATAGCGAGTCGAGTGAAGAAAGCGACGAAGAATACTATGAGATGGAAAATGTCCAACTCGGATCAACCAAAAGAGATTCGGCATCCGAGACTGAAGCTCCGTTGGATCCTTTTGGTTTCGATAAAGATTCCCAGAATACACCGACAAATAACCCAAAAAAATCTTAAATCTGCCAAGTAATAAATGTAGATATTTATTTTTCAAATGTCGTATAATCTTAAATTTCTGTAATTTTTAAAATATGAAAATTTAATAAATTTTCAAACCTAACAATTTTTGTAGCATTCTTTTGGGGTTTCCCCGTAAACGATAGTTGATATCGGACTATCGATAGTCATTGACAAAAAAAAAAAATAAACACAAACAAGTAAAGCTTTTTTTATGTTTTCATCACCTGGAGCAATAATCAAACTTTTAATCAAAATTATCAAAATTCGAGCTCCTTTTTTGACGCCGGTTAGCCAGATTTATTCAACATGACGAGTATAGTGAGTCTCAACGAGGACTGTTTGCTGTAAGTACTTCCCTTGCCTTTCTTTATAGTGCATAGGGTGATAACGTTTGAATTAGTCAAATTGTAGCGTTCCTTGATATCGAAGATCAACTGCAGTTGTGGCAGGCCACCGAGTCCACTTCCCGACTCAATTCTGTGGTTTCATATGCCTGGCAGCGCCAAAGTAAGCATTCTATTCACCGGGAAACATTCGACGATAGACCAGAACTACTCGAGGACTTTCTGCAAGCCATAAGGTCGTCAGTGGTGGAACTCACATTGAACTACTTGCCTATGTCACAACTTGAACTGTGGAGGAAACATGTATTTCCTAATATACGGGAATTGTACTACATGGGGGATGAAGACGGTGACGCAGACGTCGATTCTGAGGTCGAAATATTGCTGCACTGTTTTCCCCTGGTGGAATCCATTGGTCTGGGCGGAAATTGCTCTGGTCGGTACATCGACCAATTTAGAAATCTACGGCGACTGGACCTTCAACTGTGCTGGTTCTTGAGCACACAGTGCTTTGAGAATATCTGCAGAAACCTTCCGTTGCAGTCCCTGAACATTCAGTGGCGGCGGGCCGATGAGGACGCCTATGTACGAGCCATCTCTACCTTACACGACCTGGAGGAACTCGAACTGGAGATTGTCCATTTGGCACCGGAAAATATCCCCCAGCTTATAAACCTGCCAAAATTAAGAAAACTTCGCATTCACAACTTTGATCAGTTGGACGATCTATTGTCGGAAATTGGCCGGTTGCGGGGACAGGATGTGGTGGCAGCCACATGCAAAGACAGCATTTGGACCCGTACTCCCGGCGTACTGGCTAAACTGCACAACCTCCGTTCCCTGACGATTATCGACGACGAGGGTTGTTGTGCCATTGACTTTAGCGTTATAGTCAACTGTTTTCCCCGTTTGGAACAAATACATCTGGAAAACTCTCGGATCTGGCCAAATGCAGATGGTATATGGGATGTTGTGGATGCATGTCCCCATCTAACAGATTTTACGATATCCAACATGGTTCTATACGAAGAATTCTTTGCCTTCAGTGCGTCTACAATGAATCGTATTTTAGATCGGCGGGAGAAGACCCTGGTAATGCATTTAAATGAAAACGAAATGGAGTCTTTGGTGAGTCTAATTAACACTAATAAAAATTAACACTCTTATAACATTTTTTATGAGTTATACATTTTTTTCAGATTCGCGAGCGCTTTGTGCATCCAAAACTGAAACTTTCCTTTGAGCCGACAAGTGATGCTAGTTCATCAGTACCTGAAGAATGGATGGAGTTGGAATTGTTACCCAAGCTTTCGTGATATAGAATAAGGTTTCGTTTTTTTCCACTGACCCTAATTATACGTAGTTTTTACGTAGTTTTAAAGGCTATTTTCTCTTTAAAATGTCCGCCAAATAAAGAGGCTGATATTACACACTTATCTTATCATTTATGTTTAAAATTATTCCGTCAAGTGTGTGATTATGAAATGGAAATATTTAATCGGAAAATAACTGAATCAGACTTTAAATAAAAATCTCAAATAAAATCATCTTATCAGAAAATAAAATATAAAATCATTATATCAGGAATTGAAGCCTTAATTTTTTAATGGAACGTAAAAAACAAACAAATTTTCCGATAACATGTAAGTACTCGAGAGAATGTACAATAATGATTTGAAATGAAAACGATTCGCTTGATTTTTTCCACAAGGTTTAATTTCTGTTATTTTCGTGGACATCATTCACCAGTGAGGAGTCAGACAAGATTTCTTAGTTGGGGGATGTTGATGGGGTTTCCTGAAGTCCCTGTTAATGGGATGGGATCGCTTTGAGAAGGCGCCCGCCGTCCGTTCGATAATTGATTGATTAATAAATATATTTGAACTAGTTTTGAGTCTAATATACTTGGTAGGACTTGGTTGTGTGGAAGAACACTTCTCTCACACCTCGCTGTATGGCCGCGATCCGGCGGTGCGACCAGAAGAGACTGGCGGTGGACTTGGTGGCGGGCTAAAGTCCGTCTCCGTGTCGTTGTAGTTGTAGCGACTATCTGACGGGGATAGCGAACGATATGTACGGGGCGAGTGCGTATAGGAGTCGCGACGACCACGCCCCCAGCTGCCGCTGTGCCGGCGACGACGATCCATTCCCCGGTCGTCCTCTTCATCGTCGTCGTAGTCATCATAATCGCTGTAGTCAGAATACCGATCGCGATCCCGATCTCGAGGTGGAGGTGACCTCATGCGCCCTAGGGGCGGAGGGCGTGCTCCTCCTGCCGCTGTGGGGGGCAGGAATGGCGGCGGCAAGCCCATGAATGGAGAGAATGGCGCCGCCAGGAATGGCAGTGGATTTGGCATGTTTAGCAGCGGTGATCCCGGCAGTGGCAGCGGCGATGGAGCCGTTTTCAGTTCTGCCCCTAGCATCGACGCCCCGTTGGCATCCACAGAGGCTATATCCGCTGCGCCGCCTCCGCTGGCCATGGTGGTCAGTTTTCGCCGCAGCCCGGCGGCTTCAGCCAGCGCTTCTTCACACCGGCGTTCCGACTGACGAGCCGCCAGCCATGACTCATGTGCTCGGTTTTCGAGCGTTCCCATCTGTGCTTTGTGCGAAGCTATCTGAGCCTCGATCTCAGCACGCAGCTCATCATTCTGAGATCTGCAAGATATATTCATCAATTATAACGTCCCTATATAAAGAATAATATTAACTTACTTGAGTGTTTGAATTTCGTTCTTCATCAAGGTCTGCGTTTCCACCGTGCTCGCGTTTTCACCTTGATGTTGCAACCACTTGGTCTCCTGTAGGCTAAGTTCCCTATAATCCAAATGGGATCCTTATTAGAAACTTTTAAATATAATTTTCCCGTAAACATACTTCTTAAGCTCATTCTCCTTTTCCCTAAAGTAGCCGGAAAGAACCTCAAGACGTGTCTGGGCCTCCAGCTTGTCACGCTCCGATTGGTTAAAGTCCTGTTTGAGCTGCTCTATTTCTGTGGAGGATTGTTGCAGCTGGCTCTCCACACGCTGCTTGATGGAGACCTCTTGCTCCAGCTTCGACTGCAGATCTATGAACTTTTTGTGGGATGCATTAAGCTCACCACGTGTCTTGGCCGACGTGATCAGATCTTGGATATTTAAGTTTCCGTCTTTCTTTAGAGCCTTGAGACAGTCTTCAAGTGCCTCGATCTTGGCATGACTGGTCTGCAGTTCACCATGCTCTCGCTCCCATTTGGAAGTCAGCTCCAGAATCTGGTTCTGTAGGCGCTGCATTTCAAAGTTGCGGGACTCAAGAGCCTTGGCTAGTTCTAGTTCCATCTCCGATTGGATTTCCTCTAATCGCGTCTGCAACTTTGACTTTTCCATCTCCAGTTCGTAATTATCTTCCTGTAAGGATTTTAGTTCGCTGGTTAGGCGCGCTTTGGCTTCCGTAAAGGAATATTGAAGTTCGCTATTTTCTCGGCTCTTCTCCGCCAAGCTTGAGTTGATTTCAATTATAATCTCTGTGAAGTAAAATGATAAAGGTGGTTTTGCCAAAATCAAAGTACTCTTTCTCTACTTACTCTCTTGGTCGTTCAACTGCCTCTGCAGCTCATCGACGGTACTCATGAAGGCCTCATCACCATTCTGACTGGCCAAGACCTCTGATAACATTTTATTCAGTTCAAGACCGGCTTCGGCAGCATTATCAAGATCCTGAAATGGTCAAGTTTCTCATAAAGTTATCACTTCTTTTATTTAACAACGATTTAAACATACCCTCTCTAGTGAGACGACCTGCTCCTGCAACTTTGCCTTCTCGTACAGCTCTGTCTCTAGCTGCTTCTTTAAATCATTCACCATGTCATTGGAGCCAAAGGAGTTATCCTCGATGCTGGCCAGTTTGGTGCGCGTCGTCATTAGGTCGTGCTTGATGATGGAGTTCTCCTTGTGGGAAGCAAGCAAGCTGCGCTCCAGATGGTTCAGCTTCGATAGCAGCTCTCCCTCCTGGCTGCTGTTGCAAAAACAGTAGTAGACAAAGATGAAGAAGAGCGAGGAGGCCGCCGCAATGACCACACACAGTAAAAGTAGAGTGTGGTCCACCAGATTACCAGCCACGACCTCTATGAAATTATCTATGGATATGGATCGATGACAATCCTGCGGTTGAAAACGGGCACAGTACCCCTCCTCATTATTTGGAATGGAGCCTGAAAATAAATGTATGAATTATAACATAGGCCTCATAAATTGCGAAATAAACGTCACCTTGTGAAGATTTTTTTAGGGATCCCCCACCACCCTGACCGGGATAAAGAATCCTATGCAGCTCGTCACTACTATCCAGAGGAGCCTGTGGCTCTTTTCCAATGAAATTATTAACAGTATCGACAATGGTGGCAAAGAGGCCGAGGTTTAAGCCGTCCTCCTTTATTGGCACCTCCGGAGTAGGACTTGAGGTTGCAGGCAAAGCTACGGGCTCGACGGTTCCGACACCCGGACGTTCTGAAGGAATGTCTGGTAATGGTGTGGCATCTTCGTAGACTGCTTCATAAGCCGAATCTGTAAATGTTGTAGGAGTGGTTTGTTCTTCACTTGATGGATAGTGAGAGGCGTGATGATGCTGAGTTGTCTGTTCCGGTTGTTGCTTGGTGTCGAGTACTTCTGCGGACTTTCCATTCTCGATCTCATTGTCAGCAGGATTGAACGGCGGTTGCTTTTCTTCGTGTTGATGATGTTCATGTTGCTGCTGCTGCTGCTGATGCTCTTGCTGCTGGTGTTGATGATCATGTTGCTGCTTATCTTGCTGTTGCTGTTGATGTTCCAGTAGCTGTGCCTCTTGCTGATTTTGCTGTTCATCACGCAACTGCTTCTCTTGCTGTTGCTGCTCTTGCAATTTCTTATAATAGTCATTCGGGTTATCAAAGTTACTTTTTTCGAAAAGAGGAGGCAAAGTGCCCAACGGAGCTTCTCCAGTAGGAACTTCTGTAGAGGTAGCCAATGTTTCCGGTTTATCTTCCTTTTTCACCACAGGTTGAACAATATTGGGGTCAACAGTCAAGTCTAGCTTTTCAGTTTCTGGTTCGGTTCGAACCTCTGCTGAGAGAGGAACTATTTCTTCTTTTTCGTTTTTCTCAGGCTGTTCAGAATCTGTCTCAGTGGCTCCAGTGTGTTTTGGTACTTCACTGCTTACAGTTTCGGTAGAGTGCACTTCTGAAACAATTTCTGGCACCTCAGTGGAATTTACGATTTCCGCTGGTACCACATTTGGAGAACCGGTCTCGTCTTTCTTATCAAAAATAGTAGGCAGCTCAGGTTTTACGTTTTTCTCGATGGGCTTCTCTTCCACCTGCTCCTCCTGCAATTTCTGCTTTGCATTCTCCAGGTTATCAGTCTGCTCCGTAGCGTTCAGTTTCGGGTCGATCGGTTCACTAACATTAATTGCTTTTTTATCGATCAGTTTCTCGTTTAACGATTCGTTATCATTGCTATCTGCGTTTATATCATCATCGTTCGCTTCTTCGTTTTCGTCTTCTTCGTCCTCCTCGTAATCGAAATCGTCGTCTTCAAGTTCAGCGTTGATAGCTGCAGGCAGTTGTGATGACTCCTCAGTTCCGGTTGCAGGCACTTTAACCTCTTCTTTGTCCGCTGGAGCTTCAAATTTTGGGGCTTCAGTAGCCTCAGGAGTTTCTTTGGTATCAACCACCACGGCTGCGGCTTCTTGCGGCTCTTTCGTTTCAACAGCTGCTGAGGCCGCTTCTAATTTCGATGCATCAACGGGAGTAGGGATGCTCTCGGTTACTGCCGGTGTGACTTCCAACGGCAGCTCGGTGCCATCCACAAGTTGTACTTGGGCCTGGGTAGTTGCCGTTGGACTGGGTGCCTGCTGATTAACGGAAGATCCTTGATCCACCACAATGGATTCCACTTTAACATCCAGCGGTGATGTGGTAGTCGTAAGCAATTCATCCACTAGCTCGGAGGCGTTAAGAACGGGCTGCAAAGGATCCGCTACTATACTCGGCTTCTCCTCCGGCACAGGACTTCCAGGAACCACTACCGGTTCCGCTGCTATACTCGGCACCGCTTCGGGCGTAGGACTTCCAGGACCCACAACTGGCAGTTCGTACAATAAATTCTTGTCCGGCACTATCACCTTCTTCTCCATAATGAAATCCTTATTCGCATATCCGCGACGTCCACCAATTTCGACTCCCCATAGCTTCATGTTGGATCCGGCGCTCTTGGACAGAACACGAATGGGGGCGTTGATTTTAAACGGGATCAACCCTTCACCGCCGGACAAATAGCTGATTTTTGCAATGCCCGTTGAGATAATTTCTACAGACCAATAAACATCATAAACGTCAATTAGTTATGCAATTAGAGTATAGGTTTGAAACAAAGAAGCATGGTGAGTGTTTCCCAATAGGTATACACAGATTACAACTCACGTTCACATTTTGGGTCAGCACACAGTCGCTTGTCTGAGAGTACTCCACTCGAAGCCCACGTCAAAGAGGGAAGACAGCAGATGGCCAGGGCGCTCAAGAGCAGCAAGTCACTCAGCAGAGGCTGCATTTTCGCTTTCCCGTTGCCCAGCCGCATTTTGCATTGTTTTAGGACTCGAATTAACAGGTGAATTTATCTTATAGCGCTGCAGCTTTATTTTTTGTGTATAAAAATTTCGTTCACTTTCAGCTGAGTTGGCTTTTAGAGGTGGAGATACATCGACAAGAAAATCGATGTTTTACAAATCTTTGAAAACATCGATGATTGGTGGGAACTATCGATATTTTTTTTATCATTTTGAATTAAGGTCGTTGATAAAATAAAAAACAACAACCTTAGGTTTTTAACAACAAATTTTTATATATTTTTGGTAGTTCTTTTTAAATTTTACTGGTTTTTGAAATACAAGAGAAAGTAGCATTTTTTAGTAGGTTTTCTGTGCCTCACGAAAGGGTTTTGTTCGAAATACGATTCGGCCCCTCTGGCAACACTAAAATCACACCTGCTTTCACGGCTCCATCGGACGTAATTTTTTTTGAATGCACCAAGTAAAATAAATTTAAGCCGCTTCAATAACAAAATTATAACGCCTTTAGTCCGCCGTTGGCAAATAAAATTCTGCGTGGTAAAATAAAACGAAAGGTGTATGGTGTTCTTGGGGAACAGCCCAGTGACCTTGAAAGTTGAAGTTTTGTTGATTTGTGCGTCTCCAATCGAAGCATAACGCGCAAATATGTAAACGCTTTTGCGATCCTGTGTATCGTCCGCAAGTGCCAAATCTTTGTGTTAAGCATAGCAAAATAATATATTATTTCTGGCAAGGTGTATGAAAAAGGTTTCCTCTGACATCATATTTTGGCGTTCAGAGAGAACACAGTAAAGAGAGCGCCAATGCACAGCCGTTTTATAAGATTCTATTGACTCTTACTAATATGATTAACTTTAAATAAGCAACAATTACAAAAAAAATTAAGTTATTAGATAGCATAGTGAAGTATAGATGTACATAAACCTTTTGTTTTGATTCTGTATTGTGTTTTTTTTTCATACAAATTAAGGGAGAGTGCAATGCTGTCATCTTGGCTAGTTTCTGGCTAGACTTTTTTAACATATATATTTGGGAAGACCATGAATAGTAAAATATTCTGGATTGAAGCTTTATCATAACTGACATTTACCAAAATAGCAACGGAAATCATATCTTAAATATATAATTAATACAATTTTAGTAATTGAATTTTTAGCATAATAAATGTAAAGTTTGTTTATTTATTATGTAGTTTGTAAAAGTTTTCGTATAGCTATTAAGAGGGTTTCTAAGGCATAATTATATTATTATCATAACTAAGGGTACCTATTTTATAGCATATTTTTAATATGTGTATCTTATATATGAGCGTTCGAACTGCCAACACTGAGAGAGAGTGCGTGGGTTGCCAGATAGGCAGACTCAGTCTGACGTAAAATATATACGGGAATATATTGTATTGTATAAGAACAAAAAACATAGATTAAATTCTCAGTTAGCACAAATTATAAAAGCTATCCAATTCCCAGTAACATTGTAACGATTTTTGGCTTATATGTAGAGATCTAGGCATTTTCTGGAATAAAAGTGAATAAAAATAGTGATAATTAAAGAGTGCTTACAAAGTCAGTAGGTTCGGGTAATAACTCCAATCCAATAAGTTGATTAAGTCGATTAAAGCATTACTTTGCGACTGTCTGGCAACGTCAGTGGCTCGCCAGCATGAAAATGCGCAACTCGGTTTCTATCTTTTGCATTTTCAACGTCTTTCTGATCGGTTGCTGTTAGGTCGCGGATGCCTAAACAATTCAGTGCTGGCTGATAATTGGAGCACGGTTCGGTTAAGTGCTCGATAAAGCTCCACAGCCGACTAGCTCGGAAATCGGAAATCCTTTCGACGACAACAAATTGTACGGAATTGTGTAACAAAAAAGGTGCATAAAATGCGCCAAAGCAGTCTTGGCCATTAAATGGCAAAGTGGGGGAAACACAAAATAAAAAGAAACAGCATGTGCGTCAAGTGTGAACTGCGACATACAAAGTGTGAATGAAAAGACCAAACCCCATAGTAGATATCAATATGTTAAAAATAATATAAATGTAAAACTCCTGTGGCATCAACTTCGACAATAACAACTTTGTATGTAGAGACCAGTGGTTCCTCTGGCTTCTGGCTTCGATGGTCGGACGTGACGTAATTTGTGTATTTATTCTAAAAACCGAAAATTCGAGGAAAAGCTAGCAAGAGCGTGCAATTGTTTGTCCCTTTCGACTGCTTCTGTAATTACCAATTGCAATTTGCCTTTTAATTTGAGTTTTGCATGCAACAGGGCGCGTGCTATTCACAAAACTGATGCCTCCCCACCAGCCCACCGCCACAGCCCGTCCCTCTCGACGCAGCCACAGCAACAGCACACGCGTGAGAGAAAGGCAACCTGGTGTGTGGTAAACAAAAATGCGAAAAGTGCAGGCTAAAACGATAACAAACAACAATCGCAACTGCAAACAGTCTGAATTCTTTTCATTTTTTTTTTTTTTTTTTGGCTCCTCAAACCAAAACACACTAACAATTAGGTAATGTTTTTTATTTCATTCCTTTTTGCGCTCTTCTTTCGCTCTTGTCGCTCTCCTCTTTACAATTTCCTTTTGTTTTGAAACATTACATTGCACAGTGGGATGAACTTCCTTAAACTAACTTTCTCTAGGGAGTAATAAATAAAAATATGTGTGAGTTTGATTATTATATGGTTGGAATTCCATTCATAAATAGCTTAAAGGCAATGTCCTCATAGTCATAAAAAATTTTATATGCATATGGCTCATTAAATTTTGCTATTTAAGATATTTATCACCAGAAATTATTAAAAATTAAATTCCCAAAAATGTTATCATTCGTTATGGGGTTGCTGCGGCTGTGTGCGTGTGCTGTTGGTTCCACTGTGTGTTCGTCGGTGGAAATTTTTGAGCGGAAAATTTTTAGTGTTTTATAAATTTTACCCCCTGATTACGGCCTCAAACGGTGGCCGATGCGTTTGTCAAATCGACCAGACCTACTGTATCGTCAAGATTGTGGAATTTAATCCTTTTTCTAAACAAGTTTTTGTTTTTTTAACTAAAAAGTCTTTAAATAGGTCATAATATTGATAAAAAAAATAAATAAAATCAAACAAACAAAAAACAACACCCGAAAATGTAAACGGTAAGCGCACGAACGAGAGAAGCACAAAAATCAGAAACCAAACACAAGAGCATAACAAAACAAAAATAAAAAAAAGAGTGTAAATAAACAAAAAACAAAAAAATAAAGTGAATTAAATGCTAAAAATTAAATAAAAAAACAAGTTGGAGCGATTAGAAGATACTTGCAGAGGAACGAACCCATTGAAACGAAAGCGGCAACCAAGAACGCTTAGCAACAATGTTGCACAGCAATTACGACAATGCACAGTCAACAACAACAACAACAACAACACCAGCAGCTACAACAACAACAACAACAGCCAGTGCAAAGGCAATAGATGGTGCTGTGTCGCCACTAGCCGTCGCAGTCGCAGCCGCCGAGGGTCAGACGGTGACGGGAATCGTGGCATCAGCGGATCTAGCACCGTCAGCTGTGCCCGAACGGTCGGAATTATCAGAAACAGCTGATGCGGCGGCGGCTGCTTCTGCTACTGGTGCTAGTGGAGGTGCTGTCGTGGGTGCCGCGTCAGAGGTGCCGCCTGCATTCGATGCCCAGATGCGAACGCAGCAACGACAAAAGATTAAGAGCTACCACGATGCCAAACAGACGGCGGTGTGGCAAACCGATTCCCTGGCCTCCACTTCCAGTCCGGATTTTGCAGCTGCCGCTGGGGGTGGCGGAATAGGACCAGGACGTGTCGGACCAAATGTATGTGTGGGTCTACCTATGCGAAGCATCATCCTGTCAACGGCACCAAGTCTACTGCAGCGAAAGTCCTCGGATAGCTCGCTGGCGGCTAGCTCCATACCGCGACGAGTATCCTTTCCGGAGAATGAGTTGGTGACAGGTTACCTGGAGCCGGCTAATCCCTGGAAGCAAGGTGAGTGCAAGTTCTTTTATTAGTATTAGATATGAAAGCACTAGGCAGGTACAACCATAAAAAGAGATACATACGTATAGATCTAGTTTTGTATCTTCCGGATTTGAAGTATTCATTAGGTTGGTCCGTGCTTGGGATCTTATCGAGTGTGTCTACTACACGGAAGTGTAAGTTCCGCCTGAAACACTTCCTGAAAATGAATACAAATCGATTAGATATATACATACATACATATGTATATCTGTGAAAGGATTCTCGATACCTGTCTGCCAATTGAAATGAAACCAAGAACAACTATCAATAGATGTGCATAGAAGAGAATTTACAGAAGAATTCTTCCGAGTGCCGCCAAGTCGCTAAAATGCGCAAAAATATTTATTTGGGATGGCGGCGGCGGTGCAGCCAATAAATGCGTACTATAGAAATATAGTAATTCAGATACAATTCCTACTTGAGATACAAATTATAAGCAGAAATAAGATGTATATTTTATAAATTTATAGCCCATTTATAGACCATTTTAATTACCTTATTATGCAGTTGTTTACCTGGTCTGGCTATTGTATTTTTTTTTAATTCCATATTCCCCTCAAAATGATGTCTATTATTGCTTTTGAGTTCCCTTTGATTTTGTTATTTGTTATTTTCACGTCAGCGATAACAGGGAAATAGCTGATAAGATACGGTTATACGGTTAGGTTCGTTTTTTTTTTTTTTGTTTTTGGAGAGAACTTACTCTCCCCTACTGGCTCTTGACATGTTTTATTATTATTTTATTTAATTACCTTATATACCTTATTTTAGCCGGCATTGGCTTTTGCCCAGCTTCGCTTTAGCTTTGCCTTGGACGCCAATCGTGGGGTTTGCTTTGTGCTCGACATTCGTCTCGATTGGTTTGTGAATTTGATCAAACGATTGTTTTTTTTTTTTTTGCTACTTTTTTTTTTGTCACCATTATTATTTAGCTCACAAACTCTCAAGAACATACATACATATGTAAATGACATATATATATATATGTATTTTTATTTGTCTTGTACAATTATTTGTTTACTTCGATTCCTTCCTTGCCTTTGTTTGTGTCTTTGTGTTTGTATTTGCTGGCCGATTTCTGCTTTTGCTTTGCTTTCCTCTCTCTCTGTGTAGGTGTGTGATGTCATCGATGTCAGACAAAAGCACAAAAGTCCCGCAAAAGAAGACATTTGTGACAGACAGACTGACGGGCTATTATACATACATTTGTGTAAATAAAAGTATATCTTACATACATGATGTACATAGTTAGGATGTAATGCTTTCTTAGCTGATATTCGGCTTTTAAGCCAATCTTAATCAGAGAGATAACAACTAGAACAACACAACACATGCTTCGAAAAATGTCACGAGCTCGATTAGTGCTTATTGGCGAGGTATGTAATTAATTTATGCAATTCTATAACAAAGCACAACAAAAGCAACAGTAAGCTGAACAAAAAAAACTAATTACGACGGATAAAAACCGAGTAAATATGAGTAAGCGTTTTCGTAAATAAAGCAAATGTTTGCATTTAGCTGAAATGTCACTTGGTCTCGCCTACAATACTTAATTACAGTTCCTTAGTCAAGTTAGTTTATTGGTTTATTTATCTAATAGATCTGGCTAGAGAACTCCAGACACTTATCATTGCCGAAAAATTAAGTTTCTCAAACTACCAGCATGGCTACCAATTTTTTGACAAACGGCCCACTGTCATGACAGTCGATTCGTTAATTCAAGTCAATGGCAGCAGGTTGATACCCACAATCAGATAAGAACACGACACCGTTCTAAAGTGGAATTGACGTTGTTTGAGAACATAACATAACCATTTTAGTTACTTTTTAAGGTGAATTGGGGTTTTTAATAAAAAAAAGAACAGGAAAGATATTAGTTGTAGGGAAGCTATAAGATATAGTCAGGAGATCCTTATAAAATTTTATAGAAAAAATAAGGTGACTTAAAGAGACATCTATAGAGAGGTAGGACCTGCTATCTTTAAAAACTTCAAAGTTATGGTACTTCCTATCCTTTAGTTACATGGTAGCTATAGGTAATAGTCAGGCGATCTTAATTAAACTTGGTGGAACATATTATTTGAGTTTAAAAGACATCTGTAGAAAGTCTGTACCTTCTATCTTTAAAAACACCAATGTTATAATCCTTTCTATCCTTAAGTTATATGGAATCTATAAGATGTACTTGGGGGATCCTTATTAAATTTCATAGAACAGATCAGGTGACTTTAAAAGACACCAATAAAAAGTCTGTACCTTCTGTCTTTAAAAATACCAAAGTTATGACCTTTCCGATCCTTCAGTTATACGACAGCTGTGGTATATAGTCCTCCGATCGCATCCTTTTCGATTTATATACTTCCAACTGTAGCAATGAGTAAATGTCCAAAGTTTGAACTCAATACCTTTAAAACTAAGAGGCTAGGACGTAAACGGACAGGTAAATATCGTCTCAGGAGCTAGTCCCGTAGGATTGCAGACCTGACACTCTCTAATGATTTATTTCGCTATTCCAAGGCAAAGTTAGTCTAGTTTCTGGTAGAAACATAGCTCTGTATCTGATACCAACTCCCAGTGGAAAATAAATGCACTCATAAAACAAATGGCAAATGGCGAGAACAAGTTTCCGACATTGTAAATGTTTAGCACCAAATTAACAGCAATTAATTGAATAATTTTTTTTTTATTTTCGTTCTCTTGCCTTCGTTTTGAACTGTCTTGGAAGCAGAAGCGGCCCAAAAGGCACAAAAATCAATAGAATAATAAAAAATTAAAAAGCCATTTAATAGGCATAGTCGTCGTGGCCTGGACAGCAGGCGGCGGCATCACGCGATTCTACAATGTTTATGCCGCGAACTTAGTCATTTTTATCTACTCAATCGATAGACTGACAAACGCCGTCTAATCGTCAGAATTCGCGCACTTCTATTTTCGAATATCGATCATACTTGGCTCTACTATTGAAAATAAACACGGATTATAATTATAATTTGTGCCTTAATTGGCAGCTCTTCAGGTTGAATCCCAAAATAAAAACAAGTCAACATGATATAGGAGATATAATTTTGGGAAATTTTTCTATAAAATTCTCAGGTGGGCTCTTGTTTATTTAGTTTCTGTCTCGCCCCGAATGAAATCATCAAAAATAGATGAGAAAATATGGTAAATAGTTATCTGGTATGGTTCCAAAAAGATTACACGGCATTTATCAGCTCCCAAAATAGTTGTATTTGTTTATTTAGATTAGAAGAGCTTGTTTACTGGCTTTTTAGAGACTTCCTGCTTGAGAGCTGCCTCCCATCCATCAAAACTTAAATATTAAATGGCAATTAATTGCTTAAATATGTTGCCAACTTTCCTCAAAGAGAAACGTCAAGCACGGTCGTCACATTGTCTGCCCGGTTCGTGTGATATTCGCCATAATTCAGATTTTTGAATTATTCTACTCAACGCTAATGAATCACTTAACAGATGTTGAGCCTCAAGGGGAGAGCTCCGAACTATCATATAGATGAGGAAAAACTTTTGAAATCTAGCCAAAAAATTTAAAATTCTCTTTGGTTTTTGGTTTGCGGCGGCATCTTCTTTGTTGGCATCCTTGTGGCAGATCTAAAACGAATCGTTTAATTGCCTTTAACACCGATGTGACTAGATAATGCAATGATAGATTCATTTGTTTACGTTCTTACGTTCATAAGAGGTGCAAGAACTATTTATATAGAAAGAGGTGCTCTTGGCATTTGGCAGTGTATCCTAAGGTTCCCGAAATATTTCTCAAATTAGAGACTTTGTGGTTTCTAAACTTAGTTCCCTCATATACATATGATAGCCAGACGTTCCAAGATGAGTTGCAAATTACAAGTTCACGACTTTATGTCATCAAAAAAATAACAAATCGTTTGGAAATTGCCGCCGCAATTTCATTTACTTTTTTGTTTGGACTTGTGTCGAGGCCGGCAATTGTTGATGATGATAATAGGTCTGGGGGTTCTTAATGGAAGCGGGTGAAGTGGGCAACACTCGCACGCGCCATAAGTTCTAGTTATTTCTCATATTTGACCATATATTTGGCCAAACATTTGTTGCTTGATTGGGACTCGAGTTTATTGACTCGACGACGACCAATTGAGGAATTCCGATCGATAATGATATAATTAGAGATGAGTCTAAAGCGAAAATTAGTCATATTTTTAATAAACCTTGAACTTATTTTACAGTCTACCTCGTGAAGAACAATGCCGATGTGGTGGACCAGTATGTGCAGTCGTGTCAGAAACACAACACCCAGCCCATCAAGAACGTAATGGACCAACTAAGGAACCTGGACCTGCACCAGGCGAGGCAACCTCTACTCTCTCTAAAAGAAATCCAACTGGCGGCCAATGATTGTGAAGCCCTCGAGGAGATATTCAAGAGGGTGAGTAGGACACATGGTCACATATCCTATCCAAGGCTTACTAAAGGTGGATCCTTACAGGTACAATACAAGTGCATCGATTTGTCCGACTGCACGCTGGACGAGAACTGTCTGACGGCACTCTTCCAGATGATCGAGTACTATGAGGCCGCCAACGAGCTGGACATATCCTACAACAAGGAGCAGATGACGAAGCGCTGCTGGGAGCTGTGCGCCTATATGGTGGGCCGCAGCCAGGAGTTGCATTCCTTGAATGCCGAGTGCAACCAGATCACAAAACTAGGTGCTGTCAGTCTGGGTCATGCCCTGGGAACCTCCAACCTGCACACCCTCAAGCTGGAACACTGCGGTCTGAGTGGCCAGCCGCTCATCAATCTTTGTAAGTTGGATCCACAGTTTTGTGTCACTAACCCTGAAGTATCTGAATATCCGTTTCAGGCCGTGGTCTGAACCACAACAAAATGCTCAAGGAGCTATGGATGGGATACAATGATCTGGACTGTGTGGATGCGCAGCACATAGCCGACATGCTGCGCTTTAACCACAGCATGGAACTCATAGACATCAGCAACAACAACATACGCAACGAGGGAGTCATGTACCTGGTGCAGGCACTCGTCCTGCAGTCCACCGAGTTGGAACGCCGGATGGGTGCCCTGAAGCGCACTCGAGCCATCGAGGTGGACGAATGCACATCGCCCGTTGAGGCCGAACCCCCCACAGTAATACCGGAATCGGTCCACTCTAGCTCCAGTCCCGAGAAAGATGATGTCGATAAGGAATCGTCCCTGCGGACAACTGTTCCATCGTGCCCCGAGGCCATGCCAGAGGAGGAAGCCGCGGATGAGTCGGTCGTGCCTGTGCTAGTGGACTTGGATAACGATAATGACGACGACAATACGGAGGACACCGTGCGCATCGTGAAGAACTCCGGTACCAATGGCGGCAGCGGACAGTCCATGCTGGACAAACTGCTCTCGATGAATAGTGACAGTAGCAGCGAGGAGGCGCCCTCGAACATATCCACCGACACCTTGGCTGCCTGTTGCTCCGAAGATATCAGTGAGATCAGCAACGAGATCTTCGATGCAACGGCAACCAAACAGCCGCCAATAGAATCAGTAAAGGAAACCATTCCGGCGGAGGGTTCTACCCCTCAGTCGGAGGTTGATACAGCGCCGAGTGCAGAGACACTAACGTCTACTGTGCCCGTGTCCGAGGAGCCGCTGTCTCCAGCGCAACAACAACAGCACAGTTCCCAAAATGAACGCAACTTATGTGGTAAGTATCTACCCTTTCCCTTCCTGTCATTGGAATTGGAGTATATGCCTCTTGATGCCATTTTCCAGATATTACTCCTTCAACAGAGGCTAAAACCGTTGAACCCAATGAATCCTGTGTACAGAACAACATCATTAACAACAACAACAATAACAACCAAGCCCACAACAACACCTACAACAATAACAACGTACCATCGCCGACGGGAGCCGAAGCCGGAGCTGTATCCACCCTAGCTGTAGTGGATGCGCCACCAACCGTAGAAATTGCATCCAACCGGGGCTCTCCACCAGCGGCCATATTCGAAGTGACGGCGGAGGAGAGTGACTGCATCAACGGCAGCGGAGCGGGAGCCAGCGGGTCTCGGCCGCTGGACGTGAACAAGAACGCCAAGGTGGGCGACGACTTCGAGGACACGCACAGCACGGACTCGGCGTTCGAAAGCGCCTCAGAGGGCGACATCAGTCGCAATCTGCCGGATGAGTTCAGTCGCCTGTCGGTTTCATTGGAGAGCACGCGGCTCGACTTGGGTGGCATTGAGACGGGGACCATTGCCAGCGAGTCCACCGAATGCCTGATCCTCGGCACTACGCCGACAAAGGCGGACGAACCGGAGGTATTTTCGCCGCCTAAAGTCACCATTTCCGAAGAGTCGCTGTTGGTGGACAAAGATCTGAGTCCCGGGCCCTTTTCCTGTCCCAGCCCAGCGCCGACGCCACCTCCGCCTTCAACGTCGCCGGGTGGGGCGAGTATCGGGCTGAGACGCACGGAGTCGAGTTGCGCCTACCTCAACCAGTCGACGCGTAACCGATCCCAGAGCTCCGACAGCCTGTGCAGTGAGACATCGCAGGATAGCTCCACGGCAGCCCCTGCCGCCGCCGCTAACGATCCCAAGTTCGCCGAGAAGCTGACCAAGAACGACACCTTATCGCGGCGCCAGCAGGCGGACTGCACGCTGGAGGCCATACGATCGCCCAGTGGACTGAAGGCCCTCACCGTTTGGAACAACAACCTGACCAAGGACTGCGCCAATGCTGTGTCCGAGCTGCTGCAGAAGACCATATCGCTGGAGTTGCTCAACATTGGCAAGAACTGTCTGTCCAACGATTTCGTGGCCACCATCAAGGACAGTCTCACCAAAAACACAACGTTGACCACTCTGGGTCTGCAGAGCGCCCACCTAAGCGCCAAGGGCATCGAGACGCTGGCCTCCATCCTGACATTCGGCGGCAACAGCAAGCTCCAGCGCATCGACATTCGAGACAATAAACTAGAGGTGGAAAGTCTGAACATAATCGCCGAGGTCCTCAAGTCTAACAAGACGCTCACCCAGATCGACATCAACGACGAGCCCAAGCGACTGACGGTAAGTTATGGTCGTCTGTCAGGGAAGATTCTGTCATTGTCATTGCCATTGCTCATTGCCCAGGAGACCATAAGTCCTCATCAACATGTTGTTGCATCTCGATGCCACTGTAGAAGTTGAGTTAATGTTCAGTATTATAAAAGTTAGTAAGAGAATTATAGTTTAAGAGTTTATAGTTATAGTTTTTAATGTTTATAAATTGTGTAACAAAAAAGTTACTATAACTTGTTTATTGCAAGTGGAACAAAGAACATAAACAAGTCCTTGATAAGATCTGTTTTTCATCCACAAGAAGGATATCTTTAAAGATTTCTTTTGAGGTATTTCACATTTTATCAAGGACTTCGAAAGCTACGGCTTGCCGAAGCTAATGCCTCATCGTTGCCATGACTTAATGCGATTACGATTTTGGATGGCTTTATGTTGGGAGCATGATGGCGTTGATATTTGATTTTTTTAATTGAAACGTTTTCATTTGTGGTCATTTGTGTGGTTGTTGCCTCTCTCATCTCCGTTAAAGTTGCCCATAGTGCCGATAGTAAATGTTATACCGCCATCGCCATTGCCCCAGGATAGCGTAAGTAAACCCCTCACTCAATTAGCTCTTCCCCTTCTGCTGCTGTACTCTCTGTACTGTCCACTGTCCACTGTCAACGCTTGGCTTGCAACTGATAACATCGCTAATAGCCTAAATAGCCTAATCGCTAATCGCAAACGCCACACGCACTCCGCTCGCCTTTTATTCGTCCTTACCACGGCCTAAACACGAGCTAACCTAGCGCACTAGAAGCTTACTTGTCTTGGGAATCTAGTGCTGGGTGTGCTCCCCTCGATGAACAATAGCAGTTGCACACCCACTGCCACAACTATCTTGGTGGATACTTGAGTGAACAACTCGCTTTTGTTGTCAAGCTATTGAAGAGCTATCCCACACCACCACCTCCGAGGGCCAAAACACTAATGATAATCTTTACTTTTCTCCATTTCAGATCGGTAGCGATGCCCATTTGGATTACACAAGGGTGCTGGGCACCGTGCGTTCCCTGTGCTCCCGAAACGAGAAGCGGCAGGCCCAGGAGTTGGCGGATAGATCTGCGAACGTGGGCGGCGGGGGCAGCAGTGCCGGCGGGAGCTTCCCTGGTTCCCGGTGTCGCGGCGGTTACTACTTGGGCTCGCGGAAGATATCGCTGACCTGCCACAGTCGTCCATTCGTGGATGCGGTCACAGGCACTGTTATAGCCAAGCCAGCGGCGAATGCGACCGCGTCCGCTGCAGCAACCGCCACGCCCACACCGGCTGCCTTGCTGGAGGTGAAGCGGAAGGGTGGCTCCCGGCTCCGCTCCCCGGGACCAAGTCCGCCCACGGTGTCGCCCTCGTCCTCGCCTAACCGAAGTCGTTTCCACGTGTCGCGGGTACCCGAGGTGGCCAGTCCATTGATGTCCCCCCTTGCTCAACCTCCACTCCCACATGCGCCGCACACGCCACGGTCGGCCAGTAGCTGCATGTCCATACCCACCATCGCCGGATCGCCTGGAGGCAGCCAGAGCAGCCTGAACACCGTGGGAGCCCTACCCACTTCCAGTTCGCTGCCGGCCATGGCTTCGGTCACCTCATCCACGCAGACGATCAAACGACTTTCGGTTTCGCCTCGATCGCGCTTTCATGTGTCCCGCATCTACGAGGATCCCCAGGTGCCGATAGCCAACCGGCAGTTGCCTCCCATCACTCCCCACACGCCGCCCCTCGATCTGCCACCCACTCCCATGCTGAAATCCGCCCGGAAGGCTGTTCAGCTCACCGAGGCCGTGGAAGCGGCGGCAGCAGCCGTGCCGGCGTCCAGTGTTGTGATTCTGGAGCCCAGCGATCCACATGGAGATACCCTCGACAATAGTACAAAGGCCGATGAGGCGGCGGGGCAGAAGCTCTTAAGCAACTCACCCACCTTGAGTAGTTCCAGCTCAACGTCGCCGGGCAGCAGCAATAGCAGTGGGAGCAGCAACGGAACCAGCAGCATTACCTCCAATGATTCAATCATTTCTGGCGCAGAAGCACATCCACCTCCTTTGCTCACTTGTCCCCTGGCAGTGTTTGGAGACAATGACATTACGTTGACGAAGGAATCGGCTGCCGTGGTGGCAGGGCATTTAAATCCAGTGCTCGAAGCAAAGCCAGCTTCGGAACCAGCGCCACCAGCTGAGCCCATCCCGAATCCGCCAGTCCCTGCCCGTAAGACCTCTTGGATAGCCAATCCGTCGGCGGTGGACAAGCTGCTCACGATCTTCAACACAGGGAACATATTCCAACGCAGCTCCTCTCCGGAATCCAAGGCCAGTCAAGTTTCCGCTAGTGCGGTCACAAACAACTCACAAAGTTAGTATCTCCTCAGAGATTATGTAAAGTATGGTTGTGGGTTGAAGGCTATCTTTTTGAGAAAACTACTTTCCTGCTTCATTCTTACTAATATTTATCTCTCTGCTTTGTAAGATGGCGGAACAGCGACCAGTGGAGGAGCCATCGGTGGTGACGGCTGCTCTGCGGTACCAAACCCCACTCTATCGACCGCGCGGAAAATATCTCCAGCATCCTGGACCTCGCTGACTGGCAGCAACATCTCCAACTCTAGCCAAAACGCCGCTTCGAACGTGGATACCGGCAGCTCGTCTATTCTGGAAACGGCATCGAGGCAGTTGCGCGACTTCAGCAAGCAAGTTTTTCGGCAAAACATTTCCTTCAACAACAGTGGAGATGCAACCTCATCGGGGACAGTGGCTCCGCTGGAGGGGATCAGTACGGCCACGTCCTCCTCCAGCAGCACAGAGTCTCCGTCGCCGCCGGAGTGCAATGCTGCCCATATGCCGTCTAGCCTGAAGCGCCAGCTCAAGGAGAACATCTCTCCGGAGCACACGATCAATGAGGAGACGCTGCACACCCTGCAGAAGCTGTCGCGTGCGGAAGACGTGGCACTTAAAGCGGAGGCGGCAGCGGAGCTGGGCGACATTGAGATCGTGATGCACAGCGAGGTGGTGGACTGTCGTCTGCCGGAGGAGAAGCAAGAGGAGCAGGAGGAGGCCGCCCAGAGTCTTGTTTAAAAAGAAAACTGAGAAGAATAGAAAGAAAAACGCAACTCAACCGACAAAAAGCAACCACCCACCCAGCATTCCCATGGCGCTCCTTTGTACTGTACCCACCCGCCTTGAAAACTATGAATACGATGCCGAGAATGATGATAATGGTAAATGGATGTTAGGGTTAGCCCTACCGTAATCCTGGCAAACAAAACAAATATGATGAAGTACACAAGTTATGACTAACTTTGTTTTATTTTTGGTTAAATTTTTTTAAGTTTTATAACACAAGAAACAAGAAAATATAAATATATTTTAATAATGAATAAGGCATAAGAAATTCAAAATAATGCTCAAAATAAACGGTTGCCAGTAACGACAGCAGTTTGATTGAAGTGAATACTGAAATCTTAAGTGGATAAAGTTCTATAAATGTAAAATATAAAAACATAAAACCATAAAATTGTACACACCCACACAAACCCGATCTAACAATGTAAACTATTTGGCTAAGTGCGCTCGTTGGATGAGGGCTGGAAGAGTTGAAGAGTTGCTCAGGCTCCCGGAGGGAATACCTTGTGGAAGACACTATTACAAAATTTGTACTTACCAAGACGTTAACAAGAAACTGAAATCAGCCACCACAAACACATTGTTATACTTAAGTTAATTTTAAACTGTACAAAGAGCTTGAATGTTACAACTTAATTTGGGAATTCTTCCCGCCCTAAGATTATTTACTTAATATCTATGATTACAAAGTGCAATGCCTTAATTTTTTAATTTTTTATTTTTTCATATTCCCAAATACCCCACACTCACCATTCTTGCTAGCAACTCAAATGAAGTGCGAACCTGGATCAGCTCTGCCAAAGTATTATGAATTGGAACAATTTTCAAAAGAATTACAAAACTTAAATTAGGTACTTAATTATCAGCATAGCGATTGCTACTAACTATGTAACTGTGTAACTATGTAATGAGCCCACCAGTCAAGCCTCTAAAACCATAAGTTCTATGACATTATGCAATTAATAATCGTAATCATTCTTAAATCACACACAACTCAAACGCAAAAGCAACAACGGATATGAATATGAACGAAACGAAAAACAAAAGTACCCAAAATAAATCCAATTGATCTCATTATGTGATATTTGTCGTAGTGCCCAAAGCGTTCACTGTACGTGTATATCTATAACCAAATTATACGAGTTAAGTACAGGATGTACATACGGAACACTTGAACTCTAAGTAATCTTACTTAATCCCATCCCCCCTCAACACCCAACACCCAACACCCAACTGAGACAGATCCCCAGAACAGCTTTAGTTTAGAGTTGACTACAAACGAGATACGATACGGAGCTTGAGCAACTTTTCAAATGGTCGGCCCATCCAACAGAGCGACACAATCGTTATAGATGAAATATATATATATATATACATATACAACATACACCATAAAGAAAACCACACCCACATACATCTATATTAAAAATATATATAAAATATGTTAAAACACACACACACATTATTTGATTCATGGATGATTTTGTAAATACCGCGTGTGTACTCTCTATTAGGCAGTGGTACTGGTACTACTCCAGACTCTGAATTTTTTTGTAGTCTTTGTTAATGATTTTTGTTTTTGTTTACCATTTTATTGTTTACATCTATAAATTTAACTATATATAGATATATGTATATCTCTATATACTATGTACGTATTTAAGTAGTTAAACGCAAGCAACTTTTCAAATATTTTTCAAACGTACCAATCGAAAAGGTTTCTTCTTGAAAGTTGAGTGCCACTATCGAATTGTACTTAATTTACAAAAAGGTAGAAGCCATTTCATGGTGCTCGTTAGACATCTTTTCGAGGTGTTTGCCTTAAAGCTGATCCCTACTTTCGGCAATCGAAATTCTACCCCCATGGATGTTTTTATTTACACTTTGAATCATCTACAATCTAAATTTGTTAACCGTCTAGAGCGATGATTTTGTTTCTAATTGGCAAACCACGTATTTTTTAATAATTTAAGTTTATAAATTAGAAGAAAACAACCTACTAAACTGAAAAATTTAATGAATAAACATGAAAGCTGTAACGAAATCAATACTCATTTTATTTCGTTTGGGATCTACATATAATAGCTTTTGGACTGGATACGCTTAGAATTTTTAGAATTTAGTTTTTTTCCAAAATTTTTACAAAAAGTTCATGTAGTTACTAAAGGACACACAATTTACTTAACATAGCTAGCCTATAACCGGCGAAATCGCTTGTGGAAAATAAAGAAAACACCCTAATCTTATATAACCCACGGTCCATCTCGTGGGCAGTCTCATCGGGCACCAGGTCAGTTAATGATCGGGCAGGGATGTAGGGATGCAAGGATAATCGGAATGCAGTTACTGCTGCCGGTATGGTGTTCCAGTTCCTTGAAGAACGATTGGGCCTCGGCAACCTGGGGTTCGTACTCCACAGAATTATACTCTTGCAACGCAAGCTTCCACGACTTGCCTCCAAAATACGGAGGGTCCCCGGACACGATGAGCTTGTCCCGCTGATGGACGGGCCGTGGGGAAGACTGATCGTCCCAGAGCTCTCCATCCCAGAGAAGGACTCTCAGTTGCGGACAATAATCGCTTATTACAGAATCGTTCTGGTTTTCCATTGAGAATCGGACCTGAACCACAGAGGCTCCGAGATGAAACTGAAGGGCGATTTCATCAGATTCAGATGAGATCATGTTGACAGTCACTCCGTTGGGGCCATTCTCATTCATGCCCTTGGGCATCTGCATGATGTCCGTAATGTTTGGCATGAGTTTGAGGTAGAAGGAAATGTCTACGGTGAAACTGACCCACATTTGGTTTAGGACTACTGGCTTTGTCATCAACAATCCCCAACACGGCTTGGAGGCACGTCGACACATCGCAGGACTGTTCTTAGACGGATAGGAGACTAGCCCGAAAGCTTTCAGGAACTTAATTCGAACCTCCTCAGGGGAGATGTTTTCCTGGTCGATTTTAACCGCCGATTTCAAAGGAGCCCTCTTCGGTCTTTCACTGGCAACTGATGAGCCGGTTTCGAAGGCCGTATTTCCGGTTCCGACGACGACACTTCCTCTTAGCTTGTGCACATGGGCCATCAGTGCCAGGAATGGGTTCGAAGTCTTGAAGTTGCTGGAATCCTTTGCTTCTTCTCCAAAGCCATCGCTCTTCGAAAGGTTTGTCCTTTTCGCAATATTGAAATTCTTCAGAAGAGGAGTCTGCCAGTTCCGGGTCCAATGTGTCCAGAATGGCGGAACAGAACGGCGTTTAACGTTGATCCTAAACATCACCCTGGGATTGTCTTTTTCCTGAAGTATCCACTTGGACTCTAATGTTTATATAAATAGGCCATATATACTTACCTCCATTTCAGTGGATGAAGTCCATGTCGCCAGCCATTTCTTGACTAGCGGATTTTTGAAAAATGCTCGTAGTAACATTATAAAATATTTTTTTAGGTTTTCAGCAAATTTTGTATAAAAAATTTTAATAATTTTTTATTTTTAGAAATTTTTACCACTTGGTTTCTGTTTAATACAAAAGTAATCTGAGTAAAATAATTTTCAAAGTTTACTACATCAACAAAGCCAACTTGTTCTCAACCTTAAACATTTTCTTAAACAATAACTAGCTTCAGGCCTTGAAGGTAAAGCTAGTTTCAGAATACCAAAACCTTATACTTAATAAGCAAATAAAATAAAATTTTTTTAAAAGCTGAATATTTGTCTAATATTTTATTTGAAAAAGGTAAAAGTAACGATGAAGTTCACTTACATTGCTCGTAAAGATAAGAAACCGCTGCCATGGGGCTAATTAAAAATCTCATTTGCTTACGTAATTAAACGCTGAACATTATCAGGTAAGTGTTGAATAAATATGTGTTAATCGAAATTACTTTTCCAAATATAATGCTCACTTGCCAGAGCCACAGAAAAGTATCATAATATGCTAAAGAGTCAGCGCCATGACAACTGTTGATATGTTCCGGGAAAAAGGAAAAAGCTGAATGAAGGTGGCATGGGAGCTTCATTCATGGACACAAGGACTCGTAACAGGGGTGGCTGCTGGCACAACAGAGCTCTGTTAGCAGCGAGTCCTTAACAGCGGAGTAAGCCTGAACCGGCGACCGAGCTTCAGTCTGCGGATGTTCGAATATCTGAGCTCAGTCACTTTGCGCACATCGTTCGGTGCGGATCGCAGTCGCATTTATCTCGTGGATTGCCTGTTGGAAGGTGAAAGTGAAACCATGTCGGCATCGGAAGCAAATTCGGAACTGGAAGCCAGCACTATACCAGCGCCCAAGTGCTCCAATGTGAACAACAACAATAGTGCCCGCTCCAGTCGGGTGGGTAGCGCCGTTTCCGGTGCTGGCCAGGATATGGATGACCTGGCGGAGCAGCGGTTCGGCTGGTGCGGCTGGCATCCGCAGTGGCTCCAGCGCTTCTGCACCGCCAAGTGGGCGCTCTTCTGGCTATGCTGGGGCGGAGCTCTTCAAGGTGAGAGGCGGCGGAGGAAATCTCTTCCCATTAATTCATTTAAATGGTTCGTCTCGCGAATTTCTCGCCCACGCACTTGGCGTTATTTATTTTTTGGAGACATCTGAAATTTTGACTTTCAGAAACCAGGGATTATCTTAAGTGCTTTGTGAAAATTTTAAATTGTGTGAGTTTTTTTAGGAAAAAAGAGGATAGTTTGAATAATTAGGTGATTCAGGAAATAAAAAATAAATCATTTAGGATTTTTTGCAGATGAAATTCACTTGGAATTCGATTCAAAAACCATAAAATATAAGGGAAACGATCACCCAAATATTGTGGTATTTAAATGACTTTAAAATAAATTTAATCACTTAAAAACTTTGAAAACATATTTTAATTAACAATAGTAGGTGATATAATCCCACACATCTGTATGTCTAATGAATGAATTCCCCAAGTGCTTAAAAATATTATTAACTAAGGAAATTCATACTATATAATCTTTAGAAAAGTAAACAACCATAGTTTTAAAGTGTGATTAAGTGCTTAAAGAATTAAAGGTTACATTTATTTCTCAAAGAAAACTTAAAGAATTGAAATATAATTTGTTTGTTATAAAATAAATCAATTATTCATAATTTCCAATAAATTTGTGAAAAGTCTTAATAGGTATTATTATTTTTAGGAATAGGCAAAGATTTAAAAATTTCATAAATCCATCCATAAGATACTATATAGTTTCCATAAGATAGAACTAACAAGCCCAAATTTCCCACACACTTCCAATTAAAAAAACTTGAAATCATGAATTAATCCTTTGGCCTCTTAAATAATTTTATAAACTGCCGTGTTTTTCTTGATTACAAGGTAAACTTTTTCAAGAAAAACTTTTAACCAGCCGAGCTAAATCCAAAAGTCTCCAGCCAAGACAATGCAATAAAAAAGGCGATGAGACAGGACAGGACATCGGCATCGCTTCATTAGCATCCTGGGCATCCTGGGCATTCCCAGGCCGGCCAGCAGGTCTGTGTGCAACAGATAAGGATTCGACCAAGGCGCTGGAGCTGGCAGGGAGTTTCACTGAATAGAAGCGAATTAAAAATTAATATCTGCCCGGGGCAGTCGAGGGAGCTGATGATGTTGCCAGTTTTAGCCCGAGGATGCATTAACCTCAAAAATTTCTAGCACTTTGAATAGTTTGAAAGGAGCGTTGGAGTGTAAGGAAGGGCCTCAGTTTATCCTGCCACTTCTGGTCGAAGGCAGTGAGGTCCCGAGTGAGGACCCTTGACGTTGTCATAGGCCTTATTGCAGCGGCATAAATCAAAACAATGTTAATCGCTGTTTACCCAACTCCAGATCCTGTGTGCCCATGGCTACGGTGGAGGCTCATGTTCATGCTCTGGCTCCGGCTTGGGTTCATCTTTCCACTTTAAAGCGGTTAATTAAAATTCGCCAATTCCACGGAAGCTGGTGACACGTTTAAGCCGGTTCCAGGGGATTAGGCAGTGTGTCAGAGATTCAATGAAAATTCCTAAAGTGCAGCACTTTTGGTTTGTTGCCAAAAACGGCAGGGAATGCAAACGTGAGGAATAATGGGATTTTAAGATTAAATCGTAGATATATTGCTCTGTCAACAATACAATTTTATGTTAAATAAATACAAAACAAAAAGATATTTAGCTTAAAGAAGTTTTGGAGTAGTTTCATAAATCCATGATCACCTTGAAATCCCTTCCCAGTATTTGGATGGATGGCCTGCTGGCATCTGTTGCACATTGCCCATTTCGGACTGACCCCCGACGTGCGATGGCTTCCGGTGGGCGTGGGATGTCGTCGGTGTCCCAGGCTTTCCACTATTGCATCCCCTGACCTAGCTCTTGGATGCCGCATGCTGCTCAGTGCTCAGTGGATGCGGATGCGAATGAGCATGGGACGGCACGTGACCGAAAATATTAATCAGTTGACACGGAATTAACATAAATCATCCGCAACAATTTTGGATTGCCGCGTTCCGCTTTCGTCATGTTTTATGGTTGTTGTTTATTGCATAGGATAGAGCATCTTTTTGTATGGAAATGGGTAATTTAGCCAAACAATTTATATCGGAAGTATGAAAATAGAAATGGTTTTCATTGTACATGTGCCAGTTTTGATCCCAAAGATTCTAGATTTGAATAATTATAAGCATTTTTGTTCTTAGGGTTGGAATGAGACTTGTTTTTTTTGGGGGTTTGTGATTTATAATACAGATTTTGCTAATCTGGCAAATGGCTAATATTAATAAACCTTCCTAAAACCAGCCTCTTGCTACTGCAATCGATGCATTTTCAAAAATAGAAGATTGTCACGTATCCCTCGCCGCCGACAGCACTTGACTAAGGAACACTTCAAGTTAAAGGTCACATAGTCACCCCCACTCTATTGGAGAATCTTAAATTATTGCACTTATTGTGGGGTAAATGACTTGTAAGTAACGCCTCCCAATCCGGAATCTGGGTTGCCCCTCGAAAGAAGACACCTTTTCATTCAAGAATAGAGTGACCAGAAGAGGAGTCCCTGCGATTATTGGAAAATAAATTGAATTTGTTGTAGAATAGAAAAAAAATCATATTCACAGCAACAATGGCTTTTAAGGAGGTGTAAGAGCCTGGCCAGAACTAATATATATTTATTTATAATAGAAAATTCATCTAAGCCCTCAAAATCAATTTGTCGTGCAGATATTTAATTTATGACCCGCCCCAGCTTCACACCCCCTGCCACGCCCCAGCATTGTATTTCAATCTGTTAAGGTGCAGGTCTATCCCGGGGTATCTCGGACTTAAGACCATGTTATGACACTAGATTTGAGGGTTGATCCGGAAAAGAAGAGGGTTGAAGGGAAGGCGTTTACCGAGTTAGTTACTTCACTTTTTCTACAAATTAAGTTTTTTTCAACAAATTTCTAAACTTCTTTTCAGGATTGCTTGTGAACGGATTGATAAACGTATCCATCTCCACGATTGAACGGAGGTTTGGACTGCGCTCCCGGCAGATGGGTTTGGTGGCCAGTGGCTACGACCTGGCCTCCTTTGCCTGCCTGGTACCGGTAACCTACTACGGAGGCCGTCGAGGAGCTTCCAAGCCGCGTTTCATTGCCATCGGCCTGATCGTGATGGGCCTGGGATCGCTGGTCTTCCTGCTGCCCAACTTCCTGGTGGGCCAGTACCGGGCCACTATTGCCGAGGCGAATGTCTGCGAGACGGAAAGCATCTTGAACTCCAGCCATACAGTGGTTGGTGGCTGCCATGGCGACCGTGACACTGACTAATCCTTGTATTGCATTTTTTGTAGGGTTCCTGCAAAGCAGCCTCCACCAGTAGAGCGGGGGAGAGTGAGAGCCTGACCTGGACGGTGTGGCTGTTCTTTGGAGCCCAACTGCTTCATGGAGCCGGTGCATCGCCCCTCTTCACACTGGGAGTCACTTATATCGACGAGAATGTCTCGAAGAAGATGTCATCTGTTTACTTGGGTAAGTTCCCAGTGCAAGTCCCATTGATAAGGCGGCAGGCGGAGAAACTTTTGTCTGCCACAGTCGCCCGGCAAATGAAGAGCTGCACAAATACCCGGGGGGGATGATGAGACGATATAGATATCAAAGTATCTGCTAGTTGCCTCACACATGCATATTTATTTTTATTTGCCGTATTGGCAAACTGCGACATTGGCTACAAAGGGAAGTAAATACTATTTACTGTTTGCGCCCCAAGCCCGTTCCGATCTGAATCCTGGCAGAAGGATGGCGAAGTGCCGGGTCGGCGGGGGTCTCGTCTCTGCCGGCTTTCATCCTACCCCTTGTTGACCCAATTTTAAAGGGCAAGATTGTTGCTGACTCAGTTGGGAAGACGCGGGTCTTACCAAGTCCCAAGACCGAACGCCACGGCAGCGCAAATTTATTGCCTCTTAGTTAAGTTTATCGTGGCATCCAAAAGACGACAGCCAAATTATCAAACCCGTCCAGCATCGGTTCTTTGCTTCCTTAGTCCTTGCTGTCTGGCTTTGAAACAATTGAAATTCGCTCCTGCCAAGGAGATTTACTCTATTTAGATTTGCACTAAAGGGTCCTGGGTCATGGGGTGGCCGCAGGCAGTTGTTACAGTTCGTTTCAAATATGTATGATGCGCAGTTGACTCTTTACAAAAGGTAATACTTATCAAGAGGACTAAGATTCCGCATAAATACTCAGTATTATGTGCAAATTTAAAAAAACTTATATTTGTGTAACGTATCTTATTCTTGAAGTAATTTGCAATATTATAAGCCCTATACATTCCATCTAAATCTTCTATATTAAATTATCTTGAGTAATGAGAGGTTTTGGAATCAACATTTTAAAAGTTACTTGTTTTCAGGAATCTACTATACAATGGCCACGATTGGTCCCGCCATTGGCTATGTCCTTGGCGGACAATTGCTCCTGATCTATACGGATTGGATGACCGTGGACCCCGTCCAGTAAGTAACTTGATAAGCTGCTCTGATTGTTATTAATCGCACGACTTAGTGAGTGAGTAAATGGAGCTGGCAGGTGACTTTAATGCCACTCCCCTGTGGCAGTCAGGCAGGTGGGATTGTGGGAGGGGCTGTGTAACTGCCGAGCTTATTTGTTACCCAAGGCAACGGGCAAATGCCACAAGGCAGAGACGCGTGTAAATATCTCTAGAGAGTAATAAAACAACATTTCGTGCTGACAACGAGGAAATAAGGTGCGAATGAGAATGGGCATTTGTTTGATTCACATTTGCGGGGGAAACATGGAGCTAGGACGTTTGGAAAGGACTACCACCAGATTCCGGAGCAACAAGCATCTGCATCTGCGAATCAGCATGGTTACAACCGCATGGCTTATTGTCAAGGTGATGCCATAAGTCATAATGTCCGCTCGACCTCCGCCGCCCACTTTGGAGTTACTTTACCCCCAGCAGCATGTTCGTAAATTACGAGGACATCGTGCAAATTTTGTTTATGATTTTTAACATGTTTACGAGTGGATAGGACTAAACAAATGTTTTCGGCGACCTTTTTGTTGCCAGTCTTGAGCGATAAAGTCGGCGGATAATAAATGAGCGAAATTATAAATCCTTGTTTCGGAAAATTGGTATTGTTAGAAAAGGAGTTCAGAAGAATGCATGGGAAGGACATTATGGCACCCAGGGGAGGCTATATCTTTAACATTAGACATCCGATTTCCAAAAATGCATGGGGAGGACTCATGTCGCCATGGAAAGGCTATAAGTTTGCCAAGTTTTTTTTAAATCTGCATCAAAATCTGGAATCAAATTATTTTTTCGATTTTTTGTCAAATTTTCTGGACGACCCCCTTAAAAAATCTGAAAAATGCATGAATCCAGAATTTGGCCTACGGCGACGGCCATATCTTTGGCATAAATCATCGGATACTTCAGCGGAATACCTTAAACGATTTGTACGTCGATTTTCTTTAAATATGCATCAAAATCTAGAAACAAATAATTTTTTCGATTTTTTGTCAAATTTTCTGGACGACCCCCTTCAAAAATGTGGAAAATGCATGAATCCAGAATTTGGCCTACGGCGACGGCCATATCTTTGGCATAAATCATCGGATACTTAAGCGGAATACCTTAAACGATTTGTACGTCGATTTTCTTTAAATATGCATCAAAATCTAGAAACAAATTATTTTTTCGATTTTTTGTCAAATTTTCTGGACGACCCCCTTCAAAAATGTGGAAAATGCATGAATCCACAATTTGGCCTACGGCGACGGCCATATCTTTGGCATAAATCATCGGATACTTAAGCGGAATACCTTAAACGATTTGTACGTCGATTTTCTTTAAATATGCATCAAAATCTAGAAACAAATTATTTTTTCGATTTTTTGTCAAATTTTCTGGACGACCCCCTTCAAAAATGTGGAAAATGCATGAATCCACAATTTGGCCTACGGCGACGGCCATATCTTTGGCATAAGTCATCGGATTCTTAAGCGGAATACCTTAAACGATTTGTACGTCGATTTTCTTTAAATCTGCATCAAAATCTGGAAACAAATTATTTTTTCGATTTTTTGTCAAATTTTCTGGACGACCCCCTTCAAAAATGTGGAAAATGCATGAATCCAGAATTTGGCCTACGGCGACGGCCATATCTTTGGCATAAATCATCGGATACTTAAGCGGAATACCTTAAACGATTTGTACGTCGATTTTCTTTAAATATGCATCAAAATCTAGAAACAAATTATTTTTTCGATTTTTGTCAAATTTTCTGGACGACCCCCTTCAAAAATGTGGAAAATGCATGAATCCACAATTTGGCCTACGGCGACGGCCATATCTTTGGCATAAATCATCGGATACTTAAGCGGAATACCTTAAACGATTTGTACGTCGATTTTCTTTAAATATGCATCAAAATCTAGAAACAAATTATTTTTTCGATTTTTGTCAAATTTTCTGGACGACCCCCTTCAAAAATGTGGAAAATGCATGAATCCACAATTTGGCCTACGGCGACGGCCATATCTTTGGCATAAATCATCGGATACTTAAGCGGAATACCTTAAACGATTTGTACGTCGATTTTCTTTAAATATGCATCAAAATCTAGAAACAAATTATTTTTTCGATTTTTTGTCAAATTTTCTGGACGACCCCCTTCAAAAATGTGGAAAATGCATGAATCCACAATTTGGCCTACGGCGACGGCCATATCTTTGGCATAAGTCATCGGATTCTTAAGCGGAATGCCTTAAACGATTTGTACGTCAATTTTCTTTAAATCTGCATCAAAATCTGGAAACAAATTATTTTTTCGATTTTTTGTCAAATTTTCTGGACGACCCCCTTCAAAGATGTGGAAAATGCATGAATCCAGAATTTGGCCTACGGCGACGGCCATATCTTTGGCATAAATCATCGGATACTTAAGCGGAATACCTTAAACGATTTGTACGTCGATTTTCTTTAAATATGCATCAAAATCTAGAAACAAATTATTTTTTTCGATTTTTTGTCAAATTTTCTGGACGACCTCCTTCAAAAATCTGCAATATGCATGAATCCAGAATTTGGCCTACGGCGACGGCCATATCTTTGGCATAAGTCATCGGATTCTTAAGCGGAATACCTTAAACGATTTGTACGTCAATTTTCTTTAAATCTGCATCAAAATCTGGAAACAAATTATTTTTTCGATTTTTTGTCAAATTTTCTGGACGACCCTCTTCAAAAATCTGCAAAATGCATGAATCCAGAATTTGGCCTACGGCGACGGCCATATCTTTGGCATAAGTCATCGGATTCTTAAGCGGAATACCTTACACGATTTGTACGTCGATTTTCTTTAAATTTGCATCAAAATCTGGAAACAAATTATTTTTTCGATTTTTTGTCAAATTTTCTGGACGACCCCCTTCAAAAATCTGCAAAATGCATGAATCCAGAATTTGGCCTACGGCGACGACCATATCTTTGGCATAAGTCATCGGATTCTTAAGCGGAATACCTTAAACGATTTGTACGTCGATTTTCTTTAAATCTGCATCAAAATCTGGAAACAAATTATTTTTTCGATTTTTTGTCAAATTTTCTGGACGACCCCCTTCAAAAATCTGCAAAATGCATGAATCCAGAATTTGGCCTACGGCGACGACCATATCTTTGGCATAAGTCATCGGATTCTTAAGCGGAATACCTTAAACGATTTGTACGTCGATTTTCTTTAAATCTGCATCAAAATCTGGAAACAAATTATTTTTTCTATTTTTGTCAAATTTTTGGACGACCTCCTTCAAAAATCTGGAAAATGCATGAATCCAGAATTTGGCCTACGGCGATGGCCATATCTTTGGCATAAGTCATCGGATTCTTAAGCGGAATACCTTAAACGATTTGTACGTCAATTTTCTTTAAATCTGCATCAAAATCTAGACACAAATTATTTTTTCGATTTTTTGTCAAATTTTCTGGACGACCCTCTTCAAAAATCTGCAAAATGCATGAATCCAGAATTTGGCCTACGGCGACGGCCATATCTTTGGCATAAGTCATCGGATTCTTAAGCGGAATACCTTAAACGATTTGTACGTCGATTTTCTTTAAATCTGCATCAAAATCTAGAAACAAATTATTTTTTCGATTTTTTGTCAAATTTTCTGGACGACCCCCTTCAAAAATCTGCAAAATGCATGAATCCAGAATTTGGCCTACGGCGACGGCCATATCTTTGGCATAATTCATCGGATTCTTAAGCGGAATACCTTAAACGATTTGTACGTCGATTTTCTTTAAATCTGCATCAAAATCTGGAAACAAATTATTTTTTCGATTTTTTGTCAAATTTTCTGGACGACCCCCTTCAAAAATCTGCAAAATGCATGAATCCAGAATTTGGCCTACGGCGACGACCATATCTTTGGCATAAGTCATCGGATTCTTAAGCGGAATACCTTAAACGATTTGTACGTCGATTTTCTTTAAATCTGCATCAAAATCTGGAAACAAATTATTTTTTCTATTTTTTGTCAAATTTTTTGGACGACCTCCTTCAAAAATCTGGAAAATGCATGAATCCAGAATTTGGCCTACGGCGATGGCCATATCTTTGGCATAAGTCATCGGATTCTTAAGCGGAATACCTTAAACGATTTGTACGTCAATTTTCTTTAAATCTGCATCAAAATCTAGACACAAATTATTTTTTCGATTTTTTGTCAAATTTTCTGGACGACCCCCTTCAAAAATGTGGAAAATGCATGAATCCAGAATTTGGCCTACGGCGACGGCCATATCTTTGGCATAAATCATCGGATACTTAAGCGGAATACCTTAAACGATTTGTACGTCGATTTTCTTTAAATATGCATCAAAATCTAGAAACAAATTATTTTTTCGATTTTTTGTCAAATTTTCTGGACGACCCCCTTCAAAAATGTGGAAAATGCATGAATCCACAATTTGGCCTACGGCGACGGCCATATCTTTGGCATAAATCATCGGATACTTAAGCGGAATACCTTAAACGATTTGTACGTCGATTTTCTTTAAATATGCATCAAAATCTAGAAACAAATTATTTTTTCGATTTTTTGTCAAATTTTCTGGACGACCCCCTTCAAAAATGTGGAAAATGCATGAATCCACAATTTGGCCTACGGCGACGGCCATATCTTTGGCATAAATCATCGGATACTTAAGCGGAATACCTTAAACGATTTGTACGTCGATTTTCTTTAAATATGCATCAAAATCTAGAAACAAATTATTTTTTCGATTTTTTGTCAAATTTTCTGGACGACCCCCTTCAAAAATGTGGAAAATGCATGAATCCACAATTTGGCCTACGGCGACGGCCATATCTTTGGCATAAGTCATCGGATTCTTAAGCGGAATGCCTTAAACGATTTGTACGTCAATTTTCTTTAAATCTGCATCAAAATCTGGAAACAAATTATTTTTTCGATTTTTGTCAAATTTTCTGGACGACCCCCTTCAAAGATGTGGAAAATGCATGAATCCAGAATTTGGCCTACGGCGACGGCCATATCTTTGGCATAAATCATCGGATACTTAAGCGGAATACCTTAAACGATTTGTACGTCGATTTTCTTTAAATATGCATCAAAATCTAGAAACAAATTATTTTTTTCGATTTTTTGTCAAATTTTCTGGACGACCTCCTTCAAAAATCTGCAATATGCATGAATCCAGAATTTGGCCTACGGCGACGGCCATATCTTTGGCATAAGTCATCGGATTCTTAAGCGGAATACCTTAAACGATTTGTACGTCAATTTTCTTTAAATCTGCATCAAAATCTGGAAACAAATTATTTTTTCGATTTTTTGTCAAATTTTCTGGACGACCCTCTTCAAAAATCTGCAAAATGCATGAATCCAGAATTTGGCCTACGGCGACGGCCATATCTTTGGCATAAGTCATCGGATTCTTAAGCGGAATACCTTACACGATTTGTACGTCGATTTTCTTTAAATTTGCATCAAAATCTGGAAACAAATTATTTTTTCGATTTTTTGTCAAATTTTCTGGACGACCCCCTTCAAAAATCTGCAAAATGCATGAATCCAGAATTTGGCCTACGGCGACGACCATATCTTTGGCATAAGTCATCGGATTCTTAAGCGGAATACCTTAAACGATTTGTACGTCGATTTTCTTTAAATCTGCATCAAAATCTGGAAACAAATTATTTTTTCGATTTTTTGTCAAATTTTCTGGACGACCCTCTTTAAAAATCTGCAAAATGCATGAATCCAGAATTTGGCCTACGGCGACGGCCATATCTTTGGCATAAGTCATCGGATTCTTAAGCGGAATACCTTAAACGATTTGTACGTCGATTTTCTTTAAATCTGCATCAAAATCTGGAAACAAATTATTTTTTCTATTTTTTGTCAAATTTTTTGGACGACCTCCTTCAAAAATCTGGAAAATGCATGAATCCAGAATTTGGCCTACGGCGATGGCCATATCTTTGGCATAAGTCATCGGATTCTTAAGCGGAATACCTTAAACGATTTGTACGTCAATTTTCTTTAAATCTGCATCAAAATCTAGACAAAAATTATTTTTTCGATATTTTGTCAAATTTTCTGGACGACCCCCGTCAAAAATCTGCAAAATGCATGAATCCTGAATTTGGCCTCCTGCGATGGCCATATCTTTGGCTTAAGTCATCGGATTCTTAAGCGGAATATCTTAAATGATTTGTTAATCGATTCTCTTCAAATCTGCATCAAAATCTCAGAACCAATATTTTTTCAGATTTTTTGTCAAATTTCATGGGAAGTCCCTACCCGAATTTCCAAAAATGGATGGGATGGCATGGACTGCGTCTAAATCTAAGAACACATATTTTTTGTAGAATTTTTACCCAATAGATTTTTAGATAAATTAACGTATTGATAGTAGATCTTTTGTAGAACACTATTGAATTTTGTTTCTCACTCTTTTTAGACTGAGCTTAACCAGCGATAGCAAGGTGTGGATTGGAGCCTGGTGGATGGGATTCATTTTTGCAGCAGTCATGTGTTTTCTCATCGCCTTTCCCGTTTTTGGATATCCGAAATCCTTGCCTGGGGCAGACAAGCTCCAGCTGGAAAGAGTTTCTGAGGCACATGCCACCAAACCAGTTGATGTCGGATCGGAGTCGGATGAATCGGGTCAACTGACCAAGAAATTGGGCAACCTACCTAGAGCAGTCATTAGTCTGCTCGGAAATCCGACATTCTTCTTCCTAAATCTGGCGGGGGCCACCGAGGGTCTGGTCATTGCAGGTTTCGCTGCTTTCCTGCCCAAGCAGATCGAGAATCAATTCAGCATCTCCCCTATGCTCTCCGCCCTGGTCATGGGTCTGATAACAGTGCCCGCCGGTGGCGGCGGAACTTTCCTCGGAGGCTATCTGGTTAAGAAGTGGAATCTAGCCTGCAGCGGCATCATTAAGATGTGCTTGACGGTCACCACAGTGGCTGCATTCTTCACCTTCTGCTTCATTGTGTCCTGTCCAAATCCTAAGTTCGCTGGCGTGACCACAGACTACAATTTGGACCCCAGAACCGGGCCAATAGCCTTGGATGCAAGTTGTAACATAAACTGCGGGTGCAGTCGCTCGAACTACGATCCCATCTGTGGCATCAACGGAGTCATGTACTACAGTCCTTGCTACGCGGGCTGTGGCCAGGAGGAGCATGTGGATAGTCTGAAGCACTACAACAACTGCAGCTGCATTGGTGGCAACGTTGGTTGGGTGGATGACGGAGCTGCTTCTTCAGTCCTTGGCCCGGACGCCACCAACCTGAAGTGTGACTCCACTTGCCAGAGCTTGCCGGTCTTTGTGGCTCTGTGCTTCATCCTGATGGTATTCACTTTTTTGGCCACAATGCCAGCTCTGTCAGCCACATTGAGGTGAGTTATCTTTCTGTTTATTTTATTTTAAACCTAATCCTTTCGTTTTTCAGGTGTGTCCAGGACGAACAACGCTCCTTTGCTTTGGGTCTTCAATGGATAAAAGTGCGATTATTGGGCACCATTCCAGCTCCTCTGATTTTTGGAGCCCTGATTGATGAATCCTGTATTTTATGGCAAGAGAAATGTGATGAAGATGCCGGTGGAGCTTGTCTTTTCTATGATAACTACTACATCAGCCGGTGGGTATTATGATGCTTATATTTTAATGATTTTATGATTATATCATGTGTCAAAAATCTTACAGATACATGTGGCTCTTGGCTCTGATCTGCAAACTGGGTTCGGTGGTCTTCTTTCTGGGTGCCTGGTGGTTCTATGTACCGCCCAGAAAGCCCTCAAATTCCAACAACAAGTCGGAGGTGATCTAATGAAGCCGCTCGAAATGATATTTTTATTCAGCCCAAGTCATGTGGCCCATATTGTGGCTCGACTGTAGCTATAGGATCTCATTTTATTACATGAATGTCACTATAATGCATAGGAATTCCACTTGGGAATCATTTTACAATAATCCATTTCATTTTATCAGATAATATGATTATTATTTGAAATACACATGTGTAAGGATATTTTTAATTAAAATAAAGTTTTATATGTACTACTTGTAGCAGAGCTTCAGAAACATTTGCCGGTGAGATAGCATGCTCTTAAATAAAGCTGGAAAGTAAAATGGAAATGATTATTCAACAATCTTAAAAGTCCTCAGACTTACTCCATCGGTTTCCAAGGACCATGGGACACACTGCATGACGTGACAAAGGATTCGGTTCCCAATCGTTGTGGAGGTTGTACCAAAATAAGGCGGTTCCTTTCTTTGGCTGAATGCTGATATTGGCAGCTGGGAATACAGTAGCACCACCCATTTCGACATCACTGGCCTACAAAACTTTATCGTATAACTTGTATTTAGTTTTTGAAAGTTTCTCAAACTTACATAGAAAAGGAGTGTAAACAAACGATCTCCTTCAGCGCCAGACTCCTAAATTAAAAAAGATTTAAGATTCTATGCAGTGGACATTTAGATTTTACCTACTGGATGTTTTTTGATATCCAAATAATCACTGTGCTCCTGAAAATAGGTACCCAGGCCATAATTTGCTCTGGCCAGATACGTTTTAAGTCCGGCATCTAGGCCGGATATATCTCTCATCCGATTCACCAAGGTTCTGTCCAACTTTTCGCCGTCACCCTCGTATATTTTCACCTGGAAAAGTCGATATCCTTTATCCGGTGTTGTATAATTATCCGTGTACCCTTGGGTCATATCCTCCCTAGTTAAATTACTGGTTAGCTGGGCAATCTCACTGTCGAAAAGCACATCGTGATAAAGCCAAATGAGTGGATCTTTGCTTATTTCCTCTTCTTTCAAAGGAGCAATTCGCATAAAAGGTGTTGTTGTAGTATTATAGCGACAAACTAATCTGGGCCGATCGGTATACTTTCCCCTACATCCTTTTTGTATGGGAGTGGGTGAAGGCTTGGGGGTCAGATAGGCCAGGGGAATATTTGGTTTTTGTGAAAGTTCCTCCAGGTAAGATGGTATGTCGTCGACAGAACCTGAAAAGAAGAGAATATTTTGAAATATACGGATGGATTTTCTTTAATTGGTAATTTACCCTCTTGAATACGACTAATCAGAAACATCTTTTTGAGATCTTCTCTCTTAGGACCATAGATTTCGGCGGCTATACCATTTCGTGGTTCCTTGATAAAATGTAAAGCTATTCTGTACCACTGGGCCGCTCGTCTAAACTCCGACTCCTTGTACATATAGTTAGCTAGGGCTTGGCAATCGGAAGCTGACATCTGGCTTCTATAAGATTTTAGTTTAAGTTTATGAAATAAAATTAAATTCATAAACAAAGACTAACTCTAGTTTGTGGCCTGAAATAACACCATTAGCCATATCCCAGGCCTGTAAATCGTAAACAGATTCTATACGATGCATTCCCAATAAAGTCTCTTTCATATCCTGAGAAACGGGTGTACGATTAACAAAATTGTGCATTTTTTCAAGATCATCTGTAAAAGTATAAGCTAAGTAATTAACCTTCCGTTGAATTTGAAATTTAAATACCTTTAAAAGATTCATTATTCTTAATATAAGCCATTACTTTGGGCCAGTCTTCGTGAGATCGTCTCACAAGATCAAATAATTTAAGAGGATTATTTATATACTCTTCACTGTCAGTATTTTCCTGTGTTATAGATTCTAAATATCTAAGACGTGTTTTAATTAACTATGCATGTTCATAAATAATTTAGCTTACTTTCTTAGAAAGTCCATTTTTTTTCGAAGAGAATCCACATAATTGGATAAATGTTTCATGTACGAATTTTCAATATCTCGTAGCTCAGCCAAAGCTCGAATGGAAGTTGTATATGATAATTCGTTTTCATCTTCGTTTTCATCCTTTTCCTCACCATAAATAGTATAAAAAATAAGTATAAAAAGTAAAATTCTAAATAGAACTGCTCTCAGCCACATTCTTAAGTGAAGTAATCCAGAGTTTTTATTTAGCAATTATATTTTTACGGTCTAATGAAAAAATGTCATGGTGTATTATTTAAATTTTCTATCAGATCAGTATACAGTATTTCTTTAAATAGCTAATATGGTATTTATTTATTTATTATTTTTTTTTATTTATTTATTTTAGTTCAAAGTTATACAAATACAAATCTGATTTTAACCAGAGTTTACTTAAAATATTGACATCGTTTAGTTTGTCTAAAAACTTCTGTTTAAAAAAAAATATATTGGCAATTTTTTTTCAAATTTTTTATTTTAAATAATCTTGTTAAATTTAAAAAACTTCTTAAAAACGTTCACATCAAAACCGGAAACTAAAAAATGGCCAAAACGTTTTTCAACACTTGGCTAACCGATTACACACTTGCGCACAAGGACAGATTTAAAAATGCCATCGCTATCAGTGAACTGATAAGGGTTTCCGGTAGATGGCGTGTAAGTGCGCGTATTCTACTTAATAAATGTTGAGTTAATTTTGTTTTTATAAAATAATAATACATAGTTATTAATAATCTTGATCATTTTTTGCAGCTACTATATCTAATTTGCTTATTTTGAAAATTAGGTAGCAGTATTTTCTATTTTTCTTCGTTAGAAAAAAAAAAAAACTGAGACTCAAGATAAAAATTTAAGAGTCAAAAGTTTATTTTAGCAAGAAATTTTGCAAAAAATGTCTCTTTAATTTATTTGGAAGAAGAGTGTTTCTATCTTAATAACAGAAATCTACAATTAACCTTTTTTTCACTGTTTTATGTTCGTATCCTTTTTATATTGGACCCACGGCCATTTGTACTTCGCATGGTCTCAGATTTGAAGGGTTCTTTTCCGTAATTTTTTGTTTTTTCCCGGCAATATTTTCCAAGTTTCTTTTGACATACTTTTGCGTCGCTTAAGCTACGACAAATATTTTGATAGATGAGCTTAAGCACTCGCCGACACCGTCGTTGATATTTGAAACTGGAAACTGCTCTGCTTTGAGTTTGCTTACAAGTGGCCGTTTTGCCTTCACCGTTCCCAACGTCTTCACCGGGGGCCCAAGATTTTCCACATTTCCCCCATGGCCCCCAACGGTTGCACAGGATTTTCTTTTGGGTATTGTGTTTGCTCTTTGTGCGGCAGATGAAGTTTCGAGTGTAAGTTCTTAAGTGAGTTTTGAGCGAGACTTTTCCCTTTAAAGATTGCACCGGAACGCCGGTGTAAATAGGAGGTGTTTGCGGAAATCTTACTTTTCTCGCAAATGTTCGATTTTTGAGGAAATGCGATTAATTGGGCTTCGATCTCTTTGAAATGGGTTTGTTGAAAATTAGTGAAATTTCCTTCAGCGAGGTTTGGAGACTGATTCATTTATTGATATTCATTAGCTTCTTTCTAGTTTCGAGTTGTTAGTTTTTCAGTTATAAGATTTGATTCGAAATCTTAATTTTTCAAAATTAAGATTAATTTTCTCATTTCTATTTCTAGATCCATACATCGTATATTTAGGTTGTATATTTTATTCAATGTCACTGTGCTTCCAACAAAAGGACCAAACTAAACAAAAAGACAGACCTAAAGGACAATAATACCAAGGAGATCCAGAATGCGGGAAAGTGGAGAAAGTTAAGTTTTCAAGCCGGAAAATTACACAACTTACCCGCGGGCGGGGGGCAGTAAGGCGGGTTACATATTCTAAGGCTGGGATCAAGCGGCCAAACAGGGCCTAAGAATATTTACGATTAGACGCAGGAGTCGCATTCAGACAACATTCTGAAGGACTCATGCATATGTATTATGTGCATGCACGTTTTATCCTTGTCCCTATATGGATGTGTGTGTGTGTGTGTTTTTGTGTGTGGACGGAAGTGGAAGCGAAAATGGCTCACGCAGTGTCCTCCAACTAAGTCTCCCTTTTCAGCCACTTGGATCGCTGCCAGCTTGTGTCCCAGCACCAGCACCAGGACCACGACCAGGATACTGCTTGTGTGTGCGTGTTCCCGTTACTGGGTAAGTGTGTGAGGGCCAGAGGACAGTCCTGAGTCCTGCTGACATTTGAGTGGAGACAGACAACCACTTGACTGCTGACTCGCCTCGGAAAACAACAGCAGCTACTGCAGGGCAAGGCGCGAGTGTAGAAAGTAAGCCAGAGGACAGGCCCTGGACTAGTTGGCTTATATTACAAAAATATTTTTTTATTCAATATTATTTTCTTAAAATTTATTAAATATTGTCTCTAACTGACAGTTTTTCTGGACATTTTTATGTATTTTATATTTTTTAGAGTTCATCCAAAAAAATGGTATTTTACTTCCTGATATATATAACCGAAAGAGCTCGAGTCCTCTGACAATAAATGTTTTTTGGGAGTCCCACATATTGTACTCTTGATACTGACATTAATGTGCGTATCTTGGATAATTACGACTATGAAAATGACTGCGAAAGGAGATCAGAAACAGTACAAGGAAGACATTGTCTGGCATAGCCGGACTTAGGGCCCAAACAGTTGCCATAAGCTGGCTAGAAAGGACCAGAGAAAAATCCAGTAATAGTGGCCGAGCTGTAACCACAAGAATACAACCAAAAAAACAAAAAAAAGAAGAAAAAAAAAACCGAAACCGAAATGAAATCCAATGGCAAATATGATGAAAAGCCCAGCGAGTGGAAAACTGTATTGAAAGCTCACACAGCTCCTGTGGGTCTGTCTCTCCATGTCTGTAATTACATGCGGATTTAAGTGCTCTGGGATTGTAGTTGTTATTTTCGTTTTTGGTGGGAACAATGCGAAAAGTCCTCTCTAGAAAATAGAGTAGAATAAAGTAAACTGGACTCAAATCACTTTGATGATTTGAGGCGATGAAGTGAGAGTACATTAATAGGTTTAATTGAATGCTGAAGTTTTCAGAGCAGATCAAATGCACTTGTGGTTACTTATTGGCAATCTTTGCTTTTTTTGTTTTTGTGGGATTTTTACAGAAGCTGGGCGTGGGAAAAGCCTGACATGGACGAGGTTTGGTTTGGCTTTGAAGCCTCTAAAAGGTAAGGTAGAATATATTAGCAACAAGTATAAGAAAGTTCACTTTATTAAAAAGAACTACAATAAAATATACCTTTCCATTTCCTATCTCAATTTAAATTCCCATACGTCCCAAGTGATTTAGAGTCTCAATTAAAATTACGTATACGCCCCATTTACCTTCATAAAAATCATTTAACTACTTGTGAATTTTTTTTCATGAAATTAGGGCTACAGTCTTTGAAAAGATTTAATCATTTTCGTATTTTCTTAGTCCTAAATATATTAACAAGTTTGGTAGGGTCAAAACTTTGTACAGAACTTACTGAAACATTTGATGTGCACTTAGCACATCTGAGTTCCTAACCGGAGGCTTTATTGTTTGGGTTGCCCAACTATTTGCTCATTTAGCACTTTCTGTATATATTTTTTTCTTGTTACTGACTACACTTTGGCAATTGTCTTTTACATGCAAATGTTGCCCAACATAAAATGGGTTAGCCTGAAGGCAGCCGACACTTAATTTTTTTTACTGCTGCCTCTCGGATGCGATGTTGCTAGAGTTCTCAACCTACGCCCAGGGGTATGCAACAGCTTGTGTTAATCACTTGCCCAAAAGGCCTTAATGAGCACCGCAACTACAACACAAAAAGCAGTAAGAAAAGTAGAACGTGTCGATATTATGAGTACCCTATATTCCATGAAAGGTAAATAAGAAATTATTTACTATTCCTACTTTTTGGCTGTCTATTTCTGTTGGTGAAATATTCATCTACACTCCACATTCGAGGATTAATGACAAAATTATTAAAACACTTCTGAATACAATATACCTTAATGCCTCCAAGTACCGGGTATAACAACAGGATGTAATAAAGACATCAGCTTCTCGACTTTAATACACCCAATTGGCATACCCGATTCCGTGTGGTTTCATATAAGGCCACAGTTGAGTGCACTCTAGCCCGACCATGAAAATAACTTGAAAAATTTTCTTAAAACCAAAAGTATCTTTAATATTTCATATAGTTTGGTGTATTGAATTACTGAAAAAACGGACAGACTTCTTAATTACTAGGTGTTAAAAATGGGACGAAAAAAATCAATTTGTAATTATGGGCACCGAAAGTGTGCGAACCTCACAAAAAAAGACACAAATTATATCACGTTGGGTGAATGTATAAATTTTGCAGAATAAGTGAAAAATGTGTTAAGTGCATTAAAATTAAATTTTATTTTCCCCAGCGGCGGAGATATGCGGGACATGGATATACAGGCAGATATAAAGGAGCGTATACTTATACCTATATGTATGTATGAACACAATGTACACACGTATGTACAATGTATGTATATATGAGGATAGGTAGGCGTTTTCATGGGAACTCTCCTCTTTTTCATTATGTGAACTCAAGCAGCAACAACAATACAGAGAACAACAACAGGAGGAGCAACAAGAAGATGAACAACTGTTAAGGCTGAAGGATTAA